CTTAAAAATTTCAGGAGTTAGCCTATGAGGACCTGCTGCTCGCGTCAGATTTCCCATAGCTTTTTCAACTTCATAAAGACTCGGAGGATTTAAATCAATTTGCCATTCAGCTTGACTGGAGATCGTGTGTAACCGAAGTGTGGCTGAAGGCCAGTTGAACTGATCCCTAAGGTATTCTGCCCATCGATCCAATCTCCTGGATTAATAAGGAATGATATAACCATTGTTTTCCGAGATAGTTTCGCTAACAGATGGATTCCTAATACCAGTTTCCTTTATAAGTCGGGAATGTTGTCTACTGTTATCTATCGTCGCTGCCTTTTCCATCTATCTCGCTTTCGACACCCACCACTGTTTGCAGTTATTGCGTAGGCTTTTTATCAGCCTGCGCCTAAGATGACTCCGCTCTTCATCATGTTCAGAGCTAGGTAGGATGAGTTTTCGAGCATTCATCAGTCCGGCGGATGTTACTGATATTCATGGCCTCTTCCCAGCCATATGGTTTACCTTATTAGCAAAAAACGCCGCTGTTTCCAGGCTTTTTGATATCATTCGAAGCTGCCTCCGGATGGGAATCGCTTAGATGGTCGCCAAACTCTGTTTCTAGTTGTTCCTGAAATACATCTTTAGCTTGGACTTGATCTATACCTGCTTGGTATACTGGAGAAATCGATAACTTTGTGAAATCCCCAAACATAGACATTTGCAAACTGAAAATACCTCAATATTTTTATAAAACATTATTGAGAATTTCATATGGTTTATCTTCGCATTATTTATTTTAACTTTCTATTATATGCCTTGTGTCCTTTGTATGATAGTTATTTGTAAGTGAAATTGTTACTTTCTAGCACAGAAAACTACTATTTTGATTCATTGTGAACTTGTATACGTCAGCAAAATAGACTGACTGTTATTTTTTATAAAATTTTTTATTTACTACTAAATAACTTTTCAATAGACAGTGTTACACACCAACTGATAATGGGCAATTAATGTGAATACTTGGACAGATTTATCATGTATTCTTGTGGTCTGACTGTGAATGGATCATTTCAATAACGCGATTGGACACTACTAACATGACATTTTAGAAATAAAGTGAAGTGTTGTACCGTGACTAGTTCTGTTATAAGTTTCCTATGCTAGACAGACCCAAGAAATAACTGTACACGCATGTTTATAAACATTGACCGAGTGATAACATCACGCTCACCTATTAGTAAGGGAAGAGCTAAATCTTGGCTTGAGATGATCAGTTAGTTGACTTACGTCTATTGCATTGTGACGTATATTGGAAATGATGTTAACAAAGCAGGAAATAAAAAGTTTCAACTTCCCATATTTCATTTTAGTTCACATTTACTGGAGAAAGTTGATTAAAGTTATAAACGAGAAATTGATCACAAAAGTAGTTTTTTTTTAGAACTAAATTTATGTCCACCGGTGTATGCTTCGAAGCCATCTAATCATTCAAATTCTCAGATTAAATAACTGAATAATAAAGTTGGAAAAGCTTTTTCTTCCAGAATTAAAAAAAAAGTATTTTTGTGAAATATCTTATTCCATGTTTATTGCTTGGTAAATTTTGTTAGTTCTAAGACGGGTTCATGACATTACAGAATTTTAAGAGAATGAATGGGCTTTATAGTTTTGAGTGGTTGAGTAGTATGGTTAGATTTAACTAATGAGTTGATAATCGTTGATCGTCAATAATTATCAACTAATATCAATTTTTATTATTCGTCAAGTCCTCAAAGAATTCGATACTACTAATAAAAGACTCAGTTCAAATAGTTTAAGCATTGCGTCTGATAAACTGTGAAAGTTGAAGTTTTTTTTATTGTTAATCAAGAAAATGAGAATATAATCTTATCAATCTTCATGACGTTTAAATATATGCAATTTAGTAAAAAAAAAATGACAACATTAGAATTCGATAGATTTTTTAGTTATTTAAACGTTGAAATATCACTTTAGTATACTAACGAAATCCTTCGAGGAGCAGGAAACATAGATGCGCACTGCTGATGAGTCCTGTACTAGGACAAAACGGCCATCCAGTGCTTCCAGGTACCTAATGGTGGTCTAACAATGATTGATTGATTGATTATTTCAATGTAAAACAACCATCTCCATAATACTAGCATGGAAAAATCAAAAAAGGTGCTCACTAGTTAGTGACTAGCTCTGTGAAGAAATTCTCGGAGTTCTAGTGAGAAGACATGGTTAGTTGAGAGTTCAATCTTGTTAAGTATAGGCAGTAACCACTGAAGATAATGACCAAGGTTGCACAAAATCCTAAGATTCATCAAATATAACATTAACACCGTTGAATGACGGCTTGATGGTTGAGAGGTTAAACGTTTGCTTGCAAGATCGAAAGTCCTGACTTCGATTTCAGCTAGCAGCGAGAGTCTTGGATGTGCACTGCTGATGAGTCCCATACTAGGATGAAACGTTCATTCAGTGCTTTCAGGTTTCTAATGGTGGTCTAACAATGATTGATTGATTGATGATTTCGATGTAAAACCATATAATATCCAAACACATAATTGAATGATATCTATAAGTATGAATTACCATAGTGATAATTTGAAATCTATCACTCACATAAAATACCTAGCAAGTAATTCTTCAATCTAAAAAAACTGAATCGTTAAATTTATGCTTAAAACTTTTTCATGAACTTTGAGAATAGCTTATAGAAAACTTTTTAACTTCACTTCAATGTTACTAAATTAGTTATTTTTTTGTAAAACAACCAATATGCATAAATTAGGTTTATGTTAATTTAAACATATATTGGCTATAAAATGTGACTGATCAGTTCAAAGGAATTTAGATTATGACTTACAGTGATGAAAAGATTTCAAGTAAATGTATATCATCTGTTAAGATTTTCAATTGTCATTTCGTTAAAGCACAAAGTGAAACGTTAATGGTTTATTGAAATCATGAACTGATCACTATTAAAAACCTAGAAACATTGGACTACCGTTTCGTTTTAGTATGGAACTCATCAGCAGTGAACGAACATGACCCCCAGCCGCAGGCTGAAATCGAACCCGGCACCTACGGTCTTGCGCGCGAACGCTTGACCTCTAGACCACTGAGTCGGCATCTGACTCTGACTAACTAATTTAAAGTATTGCGTTACCTCACCCATTGTCATCGGTAAGTCACGGCTTCTCAAGTTGTGATTGGAACGAAATATGGGAGGAGCACACAACTCACACAAATAGTGAATGACTTTATAACGATAGAAATTAACAATATATAGCAGTAGTAATGAATACTTAATTTATGAATATAATTGAACAGAAGATGAAGATATAATGATATAATTTAGAGGAATGCATCAACAATGTGATCACACATTGTTAGTAGGAAAATTATGTTCTGGGCTACTGTGATCGGCACATTCTTGGCCAGTCAGCGCTGGCGCATAGCCAGAACAGGTTCTAGATTATTCCAGTGCAAAAATTATAAGCATGTGAACATTTTTACCACTATGATTGGTAATATTCGACTTCGTTTGTTGGAATATTGTAGCTACCTGTTCATGCCATAATTTAGAAACAAATTTTTAAAGTTTCACAAAAAACTCGTAGCCAGTGGATATTAATTAGCCATATCGGATCTGAGGCAGGTATTACAGAAATGACACAGGACGATCTTTACATTAACATTATTATTATGAACTATGTGAATTTATGAATTTAGACCGTTGGGTTCTCACTCAATAGTTTTCAGATCCTACCTCCGGTTGTTCCATCAATACGTACTAACAGGTCATCTTAGAATGGGACGAGACACCTATCCATTGCTCTATAACTATCCAAAGTTTATTTTAACAGTCTGTCATTCTTTTAATAATTACCACTTTTAAAGTTAGAGTAGTTAACTTATTCAGAGTATGTGATGGCCGTTTTTATAAAATTTCTACAATAAGAAAAAAGCATCCATTTCAAACATATAAGTCTTCGGTATATATATATATATATATACTCGAATAATCAGTTCTAATGTATGGAGGCGGAAACTTGGAGCATCACAAAAGCCATCATCCAAAAGGTACAAGTGTTCATTAACAATTGTCTGCGTAGAATACTGAGGATCCGTTGGTTGGCACCATCAACAACAACTAACTGTTGGAGAGAACAAACCAGATTCCATCAGACGAAGAAAAGATCAGGAAGAAGTACTGGAAGTGGATAGGGCAGGACACACATGGAGAAAAGCACTCAACTGCATCACACGAAAAAACCCTCACTCGGGATCCTAAAGGTCCGAAGAGAAGTGAAAGACCACAGAACACATTACGCCGAGAATAGGAAACAGACATGAGAAGAAAAAAAACACCGATTGGATAGAACTGGAAAAAAAATAGGCTGAGGACAGAATAATAGGTTGAATAAATACCAGTCGGCAGCCTATCCTCCGCTGGGTGTTGTAATAGGCCACTTGTTCTGTCCGCGTTGTAATACACGAATAATGTAGTGAAGGAGAACACAGGTGGGGCAACCGAACTGTAAATAGCGAAAATTACAGAGTTACTCAGTAAAATTGGAAAACCATATCGTAAATCGTTCATTTGCAAAATAACAGTTCATCATATCGAACAGAACTGTTCCTGTTGCAAAACATCAATCCATTGTCACTATTCATGCGTTTCATACAAATTCCATTGTGTTCTTCTAACTCTTCCTTTCTTGATCTTCCCCCATGTTCTGCTGCCAGACATTACGTTGACACTCACGTCATATACTACTTATAAGTAGCTCACACCACAATAATATTAAATTTATATTGATATAAAATTATCTGTAATAATTGTTTAACGAATTCTCGAACTAGTATTGCAGTCATTAATTTCACCTATTTTTTCTTTTTTTCTTTTTTGTTTTGTAATTTTGATTTGTTTATTATTTATTATTGAATTAAATATGAATACAATGAAGAATAAATTAAATTGGAAAAAATTTCTACCGAATAAAATGTCAGCTGCTAACAACAGTCAAGGAGAAATAGCTCCCCCATTAATTACATCAGGTTAATTAAATTATTATTACTTATTTATTTATTTTATATGAATGAACTGGCTAAAAACAAAAAAACAATTATTATTCTATGAGAGATGAGAAGATGACAGTTTAAATTTTTTTTTTGTATTTTGTTTTTGGTGATTTAATAAAAAATTAACGTATTTATTTACCGTTTATTATTATAGTTCAGTACAAAAACAATTTGTGCTGTCAAGAGAGAAACAAACAATAATTGAAAATCAGAGCATAATATAGAAAAGAAGTTATCCTTTTTATTCCGACTATTCAATAGTGGTAGTAGTAGTAGTAGCAGTAGTAGTAGTAGTAGTAGTGGTAGTGGTAGTAGTAGTATAATAGTAGTAGTAGTATTAGCTATAGTAGTACTGGTAGTGTAGTGGAGGAGAACACAGGTGGGGCAACCGAATTGTATTTAACAAAAATTACTCAGTAAAATCGAAAAATCATATCGTAAATCGTTAATTTGCAAAATATCAGTCCATCATATCGAACTGGACTCTTCCTGTTGCAAAACATCAATCGATTGTCACTATTCATGCGTTTCATACAAATTCCATTGTGTTCTTCTAACTCTTCCTTTCTTGATCTTCCCCCATGTTCTGCTGCCAGATATTACGATGACACTCACGTCATATACTACTTATAAGTAGCTCACACCACAGTAGTAGTGGTTGTACTAGAAGTATTTGTAGTAGTAGTAGTGGTTGTTGTTGTAGTATGGACTCAAACCAAATAGTTGGAATGAAGTTTTTACTAAAAATAGTAACGAATTGTAAATTTTCTTGACGACAGAGAGGTTAAATAATAGAATAGCAAAAAAGGATTTTTCAGTAAGTAGCTAATATTTCTTTACAAAGGAAACTATAATCCAAACAAGTTCTGATGGTCATTGGAAAATATTGAAAGTGTAAATACAAGTCCATTTCAAAGAGTAAACCAGAAACTCTACACTATAGTGCTAACAGTATCTTATTTTCATAAAAAACAAGTCAGCTGAAATAGTTTGTGAACTATGAATAAGACTAGTTTTCAAAGTTTTTAGACAGTATGTAAATCAGCTGTGTAGAAACGAATTATTACTAGTACGATTTTAAACCATCTGTATTTTACAAGCTTTATCCTATGATAGCGAACTGATTGAGTTTAGAATTTTGTGCCATTTAATCCCGGCTAATCGGTTTAAAAAGTTGGCATTCTCACTCGATACCGAAGTTCCTTGATCCAACTCCCGCTTATGAGATCGTGGAGATGCAGTGTTGTCGAGTGCCATTCTAGGACTTCATAGCCATAGAGCTTTGCTAGATCATCACTGGTTTTGATCGGCTTGTGATTTCAGTGAAGCTCCAGAATATGTTAATACTTTTCCAAAAATCCTACAATGGATTCAAAGTCCCTTCAACAGTCAAACACCCATGATCATTATTGATTGAATCTTGTTGACTGATACAATGAAGCCTTGCAAACTATATTACATTGTTGGGCGTTAAATGTTCATATTGTAATTTAATTCCTACTTATTAATATTTACAAAAATGTTTGTCTTATTTATTTTCAAATTTTCAGATCAGACAGATGGTAGTTTAAGAGAAGCTGTAAGTGATGCATTTCAAACTAAGGAATTCAGATTACTCTTGGTGTTTTATGCAGCTCAAACTATTGTTAATGTGATAGTTTGCAGAAAAAGATACATGAGTCTATTGTTTATTTAGTTAATTAATTATATATCCGTTACCACCTTACCCGAATTTGAGTACTTATTATATTTGTTGACTAAGCTAAAACTACAGTTGTAACCAACTAATAATCAACTCCACTTTGTGTAACTTATTTATCAAATACGGATTTATTTATTCAACCTAGTTAATTTAAATGGTACTGCATCTTTGCGTAAACCAAGGTAATTGATCACAGTTAAAAGAAATGGACTCGAAATTGAAATTATTTCCAATAATGCTGTGAATCTTGTAATGAGGGTTACTGAAAAATCTTCAAAACCAAATACCAACTTTAGATATATCATGAACGCGATTTGTAGATTAGGATACAACTAATCAAATCAGATCCTAGAGCGATAACTTATACTGATCAATTATCAATGTGGAAAGATGATGTTCAATGTAAAATGAACCACCATATATATGACTAATTAAATTAGTTTCATGTAGTTTTTCTCATTGATACGTTTGACTATATAAAACAAGAACAATTAACATAACAAAACAATATAAATTCATTTTATCTCACTGTTTTTTAATTAGAGTTTATGTTTAGAAGCAGCTGATGAGAAAGAGTTAGGTGAAGTTGATTAACTAACTTCATAAAAGCTGATAAAAGTTTAGATGAATTTCTTGTTATTGCAAATAATCAGAACATAGTTGGATGTTACTGATTGTACTGTTATTTATCATGATACCGTAGTGCCAACAGGATGAACAAACTATCTCTTTCATCTACCGTTTGTTGTATCGATCTTAAAAGGTCCTATAATACAACCTATGCTCTTAGTTTCTGACTTCGATTAAACTTTCATTAAATTAACAAAAGAGTCACAACTTGATAGTAGGAAAAGCTCATAAGAGAGCTCGAAAACTATCATATTGAAGTAGATAATATCAGTAATTTTTCGACTATTTCGCTATTCTAACTTCTTATATTTTTGCTTGCATTCAATTAAGCCATAATAATATTAATAAGGCAGAAATAATTTGCATTATTGTGTTAATGAGATTGTTGAGTTACTTTGAAATCATGAATCGATCAATGCTAGACCACATCACTAGAAACCTGGAAGCTGTTTTCTCCTGGTATAGATAGGACTCATCATCAGTGCGCAGCGTCACTGCTCCTGTGACTCGTACGATTCAAACCCAGTAACTCAACAATCTCCACAGTCCTGTAATGCAAATTATTATGTGTTCACTAGTGATAAGCTTCTTGAGGGAGTTTTCCGAGTTCTTGTGAGAAGTCGTGACCAGTCGAGTTCAACTCTATTCCGATGTGAAGCAGTGCTCACCGAAGATAGTGGATGAGGTTGCGCAAGACGGTAAATTGATTGAAGCTGGACACTAACATCGTTGGATGCCGGCTCAGTGGTTCGGAGGTTAAGCGTTCGCTTGCACAATCGAGGGTCCTGGGTACGAATCCTACAAGTTACAGGAGTCGTGGATGCGCACTGATGATGAGTCCCATACTAGGACGGAACGGCCATCCAGTGCTCCAAGGTTTCTAATGGTTGTCTAACAGTGATCGGTTCATGATTTCGAAGTATAAATAAGCAAGCATTTTCTTCAAATAGCAACTATGGATATTAATCCCCGTAAAGAGATGTTGATTCGCACATCACTGGTTTAAGTTCATTATCAGCTCATACTTTCTTTTATAAGGTATCTAACTCAAACGTTCTTATTTTTCTAAGACATATTATGGAACATTTAGTACTATAATTCCAAGTTTCTGAAATATTTCCTCACTAATTTAAATTTTTTTTCTTTATCTTGCTTAGGACGTTAAATCACTTCGAGGCGCACTAAGTCAAGCTGAAGCAAGTCGACAAAGAAGTAAACGATTAAAACAGTTAGTTGAAGAACGTCGGATAACTGTAAGTGATTGACATGAATCTTCCATCGGTGAATCATTGTATAATTTTCTATAAATAACATTTATTTTAATAACAATGATATCAAAGCATTCTTTTTGACGACAGCCTAATGTAAATTTAACCGAGGTGTATAAATATCGAATCCCACTAACGAGTTCAATGGTCCAATGAATACAAGTGAAAATCGAGTTTTCTGTAGAGTATTGGATAAATTATAGTAAAAATTATTAGGTTCGTCACCAAGTATGCTTGAAACTACTATTACGGGTTCACTTTAGTCGATAAACGCGAATGAGACAATGAACCAGCCTACAGATAGGCTACCTTGAATCCCAAGCTGTAAACAGAAGGCTTGATAAGCGTAAAAACTATATTCTACAAACACCCAGCAAGCACAATGCATTCAAGCACACAAATCTCGTTTATTTATACATCATAGAAACGTCCTTGGGACAGTCTCAAAAATAGCACATAAAAATACACAGCAGTCAATCACAACCATTGATTTTCCTAGTGGGAAATGAAATCTCAAAGTCAACTGATCAGCCCTTGCTAGCAAACGTGAAATCCAAATTAAGGCATTTATCAAGCGAGATCTGGGGATCTAACGTCCCAAACGAGTAACTTAATGTTTAATTCCTAAAATGTATTATATGAAATTCATCAGAAATTAAGACTATGATGTGCTATTCGTTGACTTTTTTAATTTTACCAATGTTAAGTTTAACTACACTTATAATAATAACTGAATTTATTTTTGGCGAATATAAAAAATTTTCACATTTGCATTCTGTCAGTATTCGATTTACACTTAATTTTTATATTGAACTATTATAATTCAGAGTGTGTAGTTAGTATAAACACAGACAATGAGGTGAATGAGTTTATAATTTATGCAGTATATTATTTCATTCAATTTTCTCACCAAAAAATTGCATAAACTAGTCACATGTTTCAGATACCAGTCGTCAAAGAAAGAAATTAATTGAAATTATGCATCGATCAATGTTAGATTATTATTCCAAACCTGGAAGCACTGAATGGCCATTTTTTCATCCTAGTATTATAGTACTACTTCTTGTCGATATACAAACTTCTTACGGTCTATTATTATTCACTGAGTACTGACTGACTTGTGATGGATGATGTAATTTTCTCGATCAGGTTGCAATTCGACCACTAGTGTACGTGACTAGACATAGCGTGCAATACGCTGTGAAATGTAAATTAGTGGTGGAAAGTTTATTGTCGGCCACTTTCTGTTACGGGCTGCCGAACTCCGTCATCAGCCGCCGTCTTCCCGGCGGCACTGTCCTGGCCGTCGTATGCCGCCTTCGCCTCACCTCTCTCACGTCCCCAGCACCACCAACTCCGCCCAGGGCCCCTTCACACCCACCAGCTCCACCGCGGCCTCAAACTCCTCCAGAAAGCTCCGCAAATCTCCGTCCCCCAACTCCTTCGGCCACGGGAGCTCCTTCCTTCGAGCAGGCAGCGACACCAAATGTAGTGAACGAGAACACAGGTGGGGAAACCGAATTGTATTTAACGAAAATTACAGAGTTACTCAGTAAAATCGGAAAATCATATCGTAAATCATTAATTTGCAAAATATCAGCTCATCATATCGAACTGGACTGTTCCTGTTGCAAAACATCAATCCATTGTCACTATTCATGCGTTTCATACAAATTCCATTGTTTTCTAACTGTTCCTTTCTTGATCTTCCCCCATGTTCTGCTGCCAGACATTACGTTGACACTCACGTCATATACTACTTATAAGTAGCTCGCACCACACAAGTACTACAGATACTGTTCTCAAAACACCATAAAAATATTGTTTGTTGATTCTCATTCTGGAGGCTAATTGACTTTTTCTAGGACACCAAAAGTAAACTCATGTCAGATAAACAAAATGCATATTTATATTTTATTTAATAGTCCTCTATATTCGCAGTAGAAAGCAGTAGAAAGATGATACACCACAATAATAAATATATTATTTATTGGAAATAACCGAAATTATGCAAATCGTTAGATATGCTTCAGTCCTTAAAGAAAAAAAACCACACCCTTAATCCGTTCAATAAATAACCACAGTTATCATGAGATGATATGGAGTTCGAAAACACCTAAACAAAATTTTAATTTTTTTTGTCAAATACTTTGAACTACTACTAAATGGTTCATCACTTCGCAGCATTAATTACCACACCGTGTACAAGTGCACAGAATTAAATTATAACAATTGATTACAAGTGTAATTGTTATTTATTACTTCACATTAAATATGCTGCACTGATATTTGATTATCAAGTAACTTGATCGTTATGTGGTGCGAGCTACTTATAAGCAGTATATGACATCAGTGTCAACGTAATGTCTGCCAGCTGAACATGGTGGAAGATCAAGAAAGGAAGAAGAGTGGGAACACAATGGAATTTGTATGAAACGCATGAATAGTTACAATGGATTGATGTTTTGCAACAGGAACAGTCCAGTTCGATATGATGGACTGATATTTTGCAAATGAACGAGTTACGATATGGTGTTCCGATTTTACTGAGTAACTCTGTAATTTTCGTTTAAATACAATTTGGTTGCCTCACCTGTGTTCTCATTCACTAGAGTTACAATACGCTTTGGTTAACAATGAATTAAAACAGTTTAGGATAGAATTAATGTGTGCGCGCTTCCTATTAAACTAAGAGTAAAAAAAAACTGTGCCTTAATCAAATATCATTATATGATTCTAGATAAATTATTAACTAACTGTTGCACTATAATTAACCATTTGAAATTATTATTGTCATTATTATTATTATTATTATCGTATACACCACTTAGATTGATGGAAGGCATACATACATATTTCAAACGGTAAGTAAAAAATTATTGATCGATTGAATCTTCCACATCATTCATTCAAACAGTTTAGTGTGTATGCACTCATTAAATTTTTTTTCCATTCATCATTATACACAAACACCTATTTCGACGATTACCGATCGTTTTTCTATGAACATATTCGACAGATTGGTTGAAAAGCGTCATCATTGTTGTAAAGTGTGACATCATTTTGAGAAAGAATTCTTTATCTTCTGCTTACTTATGACTAAGATCAAATATTTCTATGTCTTGAGGTAAACGTAAACACACAATTAGATTTTTAATCTTTCAAAACTGAAATCCACTAAGTAGTCACATTAAAGATAAGAAGAGATGGTATTTATTTAAACCACTACACTTTTTTAAGTAAGCATGGAAAAGTTAACTATAGAATGAATTGTTATTGACTTCGAATAGCCCTCCCTCATCTCTGTTTAAGTGTTACGCTCGAGTGAATGACCTATTTTATTTTGATAATTGAGCAAAACAACAGCTAAATGAAGTTCAATATATATGTCATTTTCAAAATAGTGAAAAACATGTGACGCTTGGTGAACATTGAAATGTTTGGAAAAATTAATAACCTGTGTTTTTGTATAAAAAATTAGTTGGCATTTTTTTAGTTCTTCACATTGTATACTAGTAGTAGTTGATTGACATATCCTATATTGTTATTCTGCTGAATAAAATCATCTACATCTCGTCGTTCAAGGCGGATACTAACTACCTACCCCTCGAACACAGGTCTCATATGGTCGGGAAAAAAAATGAAAATTTTGTTATTGCGAAGAAAAACGTCTCACGACATGTGAGACAAACGATACTAAGTGTGTTTGATCTAATTTCCGTTAAACGGGGTTTCATTTCTTACTACCTACCCTATGCCATACGATGTTATATACCTTGAGTTATATGTAGAGCTATGTAGAGCTGACGGTTTCCTATGAGACCAGAGATTTTTTATGATCATTGTGGATAGTTTGGCCAGGTTTTGCTAATAGTCTATACACAAATTTGGTTTGCATAGTGACCGATTTGATTGATACCAGTGATTGTCTTGCAACATTCCTGATGGCAGTTGTCACAGGGACTACGCTGTACTGTACTGTGTTGTATATCACCGTTGTTCATAATAATAATAATAAGTTTAACAGTAGTATGTAAGCTGGATATGCGTCGGATTGACACTGATTGCCTCCTCGATCAAGGTTTGGAAATAATCACTCTATGCATTCATTGGTGTTTATAAATGGTGTGGTGAATGATGCGCCAGGTGCCTATGTGAATGCACCACAGCATTGAGCTGTAACTAACTGTTCAGGTTGTTTGTAGTAGTGACAACACGTGGACAGTGTTTCGGTTCTCCTGAAAACCACTGTAAAATTACTCTTGCCTAGTGAAGATGAATTTTTAATCTAATAGAAAAAAACACATCTAGTTCAGTTAAATAGGCCTTAAAATGCAACTACTCAAATCCAGAAGCATAAAACAGCGTGTGATATCATCAAAATCAAGTCTTGTTTTATTGACTTTTGTTGATTTTCTTTTAGTTAGCCCACGCTATGCAATTTGAAGTTCAACAGATCACGGATACTTTATTAATGGATGATAAAGTATGTAGAATATAATAAATTCATTGATTTTATAATAAATAAATTTCATATCTGATAACATTGTTTCATTTTTTTTAGCATTCACAACATAATTAAATAAATAAATTAATTAATTAACCGACAGAATTTTCGTGATGAAAGTTTCTTTGCAGCTAGTTGTTACTATTGTTACTATTCAAAATAATGAATGAAATTATAATTTACACATTAGAATGACAAAGAGATTAAGGGGGGGGTTAGGATTGAAGAAAATTAATTTTGCCAAGAAGTAGTAGTGAGAAGACAGAGGCAGGTGCGGAAGGTTGTATTGTGCAAATTTACACTCTTAGTCAATTAAAAACGAAAACATTACATTGAATACTCTATTTGCACACCATCTTTGAGTCCTGACTTCCAACGCTCCAGCCTTCTTCCATTCCTGTTGTTGCTTCCTTTACTTCCTGTTGGTACTCCATTTACTTCTTGCTTTTGCTCCATTTGCTTTCCGTTTTCCTCTTGTGACCGTGAGATTTCTTTCACGTCCCTCTTATACTACTTATATCGTTCGTATAAGTAGCACACACCACAATAGTAGTAGTTTTTTTTTTATTATATTCAATAAATAATATCAGATAAAATATTTGAAAGGAAAAATTCAAAAATGAACTTACTACTCTAAAAACAAAAATAAACAAGTATTAAACTTGTTTTGAATAATTAGAAAGTTAAATTAGGAGGATAAAGAAAAAACATAGTCAAGTGACTGATTGTTTGCTTTTTTGAAGATTTCAATAGTAGTTCAATAAATTTGAATTGCATTTCTCCCCCCCCCTCAGTATCTATCTGACTGTGTTGTATCATTTATTGTCTATCACACCGTAACTTATTGTTTTGATCAATATTTTTATCTTTCTAATTTCAGTGGTCCGAATTCGATGAATTCTTTCAAGCTAAAGGAAGTAAACGTTTATTATTTTATTATCAAGAGGTTAGTTTGAAGAGAAAAAATTCGCATTAGTTTAAAGTTATAACGAACTTCACTATTGAATGATAAAAAAAACTGGGTACGTTAGTTTCAATAGCCCTACAGATAAATTATCTTTCAGATAGAGGAGATCAAAAACTCTATGCAATTGCAAATTTAGGATTTTAATAGTAATAGGTTCGTCACTAGGTACGCTTGAAGATATTACGAGTTCACTTTAGGCTTGGTAAGAGTAGAAAGTATGTACTAAAACACCTAGAAATCACAATACAATCAAACACACAAATCTCGTTTATTTATACATCATAGAAACGTCCTTTGGACAGTCGCAAAAATAGCACACTAAAATACACAGCAGTCAATCACAACCGTGGATTTTCCTAGTGGGAAATGAAATCTGAAGGTCAACTGATCAACCCATGCTCGCAAACATCAAATCCAAATTAAGGCGTTCATCAAACGAGTTTTGGGGATCTAACATCCCCAATAAATAGTCAATAATCAGTTTGGTCGTTTCATGCATAATGGAACTGAAACAGAATCAGCTGCATTCGATTCGATATTTTAGACAACACTGTCTCATATTAATTGTTTTCGGTAACTGGCCACATCAAACTTCCATATCATATAGACTAACTCATTAAGGAAATTTCTCCGATCCAGACTGTAAGTGATCGTTTTTCATTCAACGAAACATACTGCGCAATCTTTAAAACACAAGAGATTTAACGCTGTGAATTCATCACCGCTGAAGTGTGTCAGTAAGAAATTACTAGAGTAGATCACTGCTGAGATTCTATTTAATTAATTGCTTACAAATTTATGTTACATTGATAAGAATATTTTAACAATTATTATAGATCAACATCATAGTTAACTGATAATCATTTTGGGGTAATAAGTTACTTCATCGAAAAATCCATAGTCTGTAACAACAATCATGACGTGTTTCGAATTCAAAGCACAATTGTGCCATTTTCATCTCATCACACTGACTTATTTTAACGCAGTTTAAGGACAAATCAGCTGAATTTCATCATTGTTGTAATCTGAAGGAAATATAAAGCTACTAAATTATAATTCATGAAGTCATAAGCAATTTTTTTTTCAGTCAGTCATTAAGAAAATAGAGTATTCCTTCACACTGAAAGTGTTCATTTTTCAATATTTCAATAGCCTTTAAAGATAGTTTTCAACATAATAAACTAGTAAGATCAACGTTTACACAACAACTGAAAACTTCTAATTATACTTTTGAACTTGTAATTTAGTACAACAATATGTATAACTATTTTTGATCTTCAGTTCTTCTTCCCCGATCAATGTTACTTTCTCAAAACAACTAACATTGAAATCTAACTGGATCATTTTGATCAATAAACTTGTAAAATCTATATTTATTTATTTTTGATGTACAGGCTGCTGGACAAACAAGGAAAAGAATATTCATTGCTACTGGAACTCATGAAGTAAGTTCAACACAAAGTTAACATTTTTTAAAGTTTTTTTTAACATGAATTCTACTATAGCTTAAATTAAAAAAACTGACCTTAGCTAGATCAACATATTAAAAGCCTGAAAGCATTGCACAGCGGTTTCGTCCTAGTATTGTACTCCTTAACATTGTGCACCCACATCTTCACACGCAGGCATCAAACCTAGGACCTTCGATCTAGACAAACTCGGTGAATTTAGAAATATATGAATAATACTATGATATTATAACCAATTAATAAAAGAATTCAAGGTGTTAAATTAATTAACATTAATTAATATGAATGAATCGCTATCACAACTCACGATCTCTACATTGAAATCTAATGTGAATAAATGATTCATCTTAGCCAATACAAGTCAATATATGAATGAATATGCAAATTGACTGGTTTTACAAACCTACTAACGTGTATTGAATGTCCGTGAATCAGTTTTATAATTTTATTTTATGAACTTAACTTGTTCCGCATATATGTATTATACATTGCAGTCTATAGATACTTTGATATTTTCACTTAAAGAGAAATCTAACAAACATTTACATCTTTGGTGATCGAAAATATCCAACTTATTAATCGAACCGTCATATATTCAAAATAAAAAATTTTCAGGTTTAAGAATCTTCGTGAGTTGTCAATCAAGTTAAATAGATTGTCTTGAATGTTTTTGACATATCTTGAAACAGACTGATTTGTTCGAAAGTTGTCACTTGAGCTAAATACTACATTCTGCTACTGACTGAAACGGATCAAAATTACTTTGTCAAACCAAAGAAGAAAATGTGACGGTATAAGGCAGACTGATTGGTCCTTCACTTAGTCAATAATTAAAACATACACGCAATTACAATCGCAATAAAAATGTTGTTTTTAATGCTTCCGTCAATCGATAAATGTCATAGATTGAGAAAACAGTTCTTCATCAATAACCTTATATATGTATAGAATTTTCAAAAATCAGTGGGTTGACTTACTTGACTAAGAAATGTAATTCATCACCAAATTGTAAATTTGTGATGCAGAAGGCTCCACTAGCTTTAACCAAATTACATCACTTATAGCGTAGGTGAAATGTCCGTCTGCTAAACAAAGGACGAGTTTACTACACAGCAGTTCACTCCATCCTAATATATATATGTGTGAAACATGGCCAGTAAGGATAGAGAACATTCATAGGTTACTAGTGTTCGATGATAGGTGCCTTCAAAGCATTACTCGTATATTCAGTGACCACTGAGTAAGCAATGCTACAGTTAGGAGACGGGTACTATGTAAGGATGGCAAGTCGATTGATGGAGTAAAAAATCTTCATCCATTGAAATGGTTGGCACATGTGTTATGTATGCTCATGATCAACCATCGACTGCCTCGATGAGCAATATCTGGTGTAGAAGTAGTCTGGAAGAAAACTAGGGGCGGCCAAAACAAAACATGGCAGAAATTCATGAAGTCACTGATGACTAGATTGAGCCATGTTAATAGGTGTAGACTACCTAGTTGGGATCCACGAGACAGTCGTAACCGGTGATTAGAAACTATGAATGACATGGCTCAAAATCGTCTGAAGTGGTGCAGGTGCATCCAATATTTGTGTTCTCTCAAATTCTAATGTGCTGAGTTCCCCTTAAAGTTGTTTTTTGTTGTTTAACTTTATTTCGCTAAGATAAACTTTACGAATCATATCTTCGATCCCTAATCATTCCCATTACTTCTGATACTACAAAAACCTCTGCTACTATGGGATGAGAATTACCAATTCCATCTCTGTGTGTGGTAATGTGGTAGGTATGACAACCTAAACGTATGTGCGTGCGTACGACGTTCTACGTTGTAGCTGACAGACAGACTGATTAAAAAGATTCCTGGTTATCTTATTGAGCACTAAAATGATTCACAGATTCACAAGTAGAAGGTGATTAATCGTTCAAGTATTTGCATTTGTTTAAAATTATCAGCTCTGTTCATATTTCATTTATGTAAGTTTATTAATACCATTATTCATGATTTTTCTATCCTAATTTAGGTACTACGTGGTACATGTTTCATCTTTCTACGAATTACTGACAAAGCTATTACAACAGCAAATATTGGTACAGAAGTTTTATTTCAACAATTAGATGCAACTGATGGACGTTTATTTGAATCTGTACAGAATTATTTAGAAAGACTTGCATTACCAGTATTTGAAGGATTAGGTGTAAGTTTTTGATTTTTGATTTGAGGTGTTGAAATTATGATAAAAGAAAATTTTTTTTGGAATCAGTTATTAATTCAGTTATTAAGTAACATTTGATTAGATACTGTAACCACTGGACAATATCTTGTTTCCAGTTTAATAAAGACATAAAAATAAACGGTGAATTAAACAAAGCTGGAGAATATCAGTAATTTCAACGGTTGTGTTTCATGTCTATGAATGAGAAACGTTAATAAAACAAAGGTGTATTGCGATTAGAATGTAGTAAGATTGTTGTCTTCATTTTCTTCTACACTAGAAAAATTCAGTAAACACTTTTAATTACGACTTGTTCAACTACTAGAGTTATGGAGATTAGTGTTTTTACACATTGAAATCATCATTCAATCATTGTTAAACCACCGCTAGAAAATTGGAAGCACTAGACGGCCGTTTCGTCCTGGTATGAGACTCATTAGCAGTGCGCATCCACGACTCAAGCACCTCGCAAAATTCCAATCCAAGACCTTCAATCTTGCGCTCGAAAGCCTAACTTTTGGTCAACTCGACCGGCGAGGCGCACGAGTCGTGGATTGGCACTGCTGATGAGTGTCATACCAGAACAAATTGACCATCCACTGCTTCCAGGTTTATAATGGTGGTCTCACCTTTAAATACTTTTAAAATATGCACCATTCATGATCAGCTTGACAATTCTGACTCGTATTAAAAGTAATGACAGTGGTTATAGATCACAACCCAATACTTGGTTTCAGTAATCAAATTTATCCCCACATCTTTGCCACATTCTCAATTTTTTTTCACCATTGTTGTGGTTCTTCCACTAATTAGTTAGAAAGCGTATTTCGATGTTGACTGACTTTGTTTGCTTGCTACTAGCGTTTAACCGGATATACAGTAGATATATTGATTGACTTGTAAGCGAAGCCATTCTATTCTCATTGCGGTTTCTTAAATAATGTTGTAAACAAGATGTTACTTCAATTTCAGATATGAATTTTATTGTTGCCACAGTGTATGTGTATTTAAAAAGGATAAATATGACGATAATCAATCCAACTATGCATATTTATTCGTAAGGTATTCGAGACATGAAATATCAATCATCCGTAGTCGTCCGGATCATTATAATATTCACATATCTATCTATCTTTCTGCACCCACTGAGTTGCGATTGCACAGTACCACTGGGTATAGTAGCCTTTTTCATACTCTTTTAATGCATTGGTTGGTGGGTTTCGTTTTATATTGACCTCCCTTAGAGATAACATCAGCAAGCAAGTAGATAGATAAGTCAACAATTATTTCATCCGTCGTATTGAACCATCTGTCATTTATAGAGAACTATTAACTTTCCAAAGATTATTAAATCCAAAACGTTCATATTTCATCATCACAAACGAATCATCTTATTTCCTTCCTTCCAGATAACCATCTCATGTTCATAAGAATCCATTCTTTAATTCTTTTTTTTTAATGGATACATAGGAATCAGATACACTTGAAAAACCACTTTCAGAAACAATAAATATGGAAGAATTCGTTTCAGTACTGAGAAGATATTTAGATGCGCTGTCAAGTGCTAAACAGAATATGAGTGATAAACTGGATCTGACTTCTGGACAAGAGTCACAAACACTCATACAAATAATCAATTCAAATGAAATTGAAAATATCAGTAAGCTTTCTTTTACTTTGATTTTATTTATGATTGGGTACTAACTACTCCCTGGGGATTTCCAGTATTAAGACGAAGCGAGCGGCAATTCAGTGAATCCAGGTTTTCAATGGTGGTTTATTTAAAATATTTGTTATGGATGTTAAATCCCCAGAACTCGCTTGATAAATGCCTTAATTTGGATTTCATGTTTGAGAGCAAGGGCTGATCAGTTGACCACGATATTTCATTTCCCACTAGGAAAATTCGTGGTTGTGATTGACTGCTGTGTATTTTAGTGTGCTATTTTCGTAACTATCCCAAGGACGTTTCTGTGATGTATAAATAAACGAGAGTTGTGTGCTTGATTGTATTGTGATTTCTAGGTGTTTTAGAACATACTTTCTACGCTTACCAAGCCTTCTGTTTACAGCTTGGGATTCAAGGTAGCCTATCTGGACGCTGGTTCATTGTCTCGTTCGCATTTATCGACTAAACTGAACTCATAATAGCTTCAAGCGTACCTAGTGACGAACATAACAATATTACTTTGTGGTTTAAATTATGAAGATCTTAATTTTGTTGAAAGTTTTATTTGCATGATAGGGCTGTGGAGATTGCGGCGTTATTTTCACGTCATGATACGATCGATGTTAGACCACCACAAGAAACCTGGAAGCACTGAATCGCAGTTCCTTTCTGGTATGGGACTCATCAACAATGCGCATCCACGACTCCTGCATCTCGCAGGATTCGACCCCAGGAATTTCCGTTTTGCTCTCGAACGCCTAAGCTTTGGCCCAGTCAGTCAGTATCCAACACCGTTAATGTCTAGCTTTGATCTGTGAGGAAGTTTCCCCAAGTTCTAGTGAGAAGTTGTGACCAGTGGAGCTCAACCCCTTTCCGTTATGTAGCAGTGCTCACCAAAGACAGTGGATGAGGTTGCGCAAGATGTTAGATTGATTGAAGTTAGACATTAACGTCGTTGGATGCCGGCTCAGTGGTTCGGAGGTTAAGCGTTCGCTCGCAAAGCCGAGGGTCCTGTATTCGAACGGAACGGCCGTCCAATGCTTCCAGGTTTCTAGTGGTGGCCTAACATTGATTGATTCATATATCGAAAGATTTTCATATCATTGATACTTGAAACTTACAATTTCAAATTCTCACTATCATTTCACAGTTGGCATGTATTTCAGAGACTCATTTAGCAGAGTTTTAAAAAAAATTTTTGAAATAAGACAAATGTTACTTAAAAAAACTTATGGCTTACTCATTGATATTGAGAATAGATTTTTAGAAATATAATATTAAGATTCAGAGTTAAATAAACTCAAATTTTAGAACGTTTAAAAGATTATATCAGTCATTAAAAATTACTGAACCTTTATCGTGGAAAGAACTTTTAACGATTTACAGAATTGGTTTTCATTAAGTATTTTCAAGTGATACCAAATTTACTGTTTATATAGTTGACAGTTCTGAAACAATGGATCGTTTAACTCGATTAGTCGAGAAATGGGTCGATCAAATTGGACAAATATTGAACCAATCTGATCAAGTTCGTAGAGAATCAGATGATGTTGGACCTGCAGCTGAATTAACCTATTGGAGAGCTCGTTTAGTTCGTTTCAATAAGTAAGTCGCTTAAAATTATAAAATATTTCTTAGAATAATTTTATCAAATTCTTATGGCCTATTAAAAATTAAATTGCATGAGAATCGAAGAACACAACATGTAAATTATCATATTGAATGTAAGGCAACAATATACAATGACTGCTCATTGCCATGATCTTATTTTCTTATCTTGAGTATGTATATAGTTATGATATATATATACTATTATGAAAGCTAACCGCATGAGAGTTGGGCCTAAAAAGTTTATTTGTTATAAGCACTCCTAACTATCGAAAATCTACCAGTTTATTTGTTTAAATATCTTGATGACAGTATCAAACTTCATGCCGTAGTTACTCAATAGATCTTTCTCTGAAACATAATTAACTGTTCAAGAATAATAATTTAACTATATATCTACCTTTCCGAGTGCTAGTACCATGTAATGAGCTCATAAATGTGTTTCGAGGTTATTTTAAAGAAAAATATTTTAAACATTAAGTTCTGGGAGAAATTACAATAATTTTAAAACTCAGACTACACTATGTTTCATATGGCTCAAATAATTTTCTCATTGATCAATAAATTCTTCGTAAGCCTGCAAAACATTCCTTCAAACTAAAATACCATATCAGGCATTTAATGACTCACGATCTGACTCCGATATTTATGAATATGCTATTAAATATGCTAATAAATAAAACTCCTTTTCAGTTTCCGTACATCACACTTAAGCGAACATCGTTTGTGCGACAGCGGTAATAAGAAGCTAAATCAAGTTTCCGTTGGATGAGTTTATTTCAAGCAATCGTTCATGCAGAGAGACATGAAAATACAAAGCGTTAAAGCAAAGTGAAGCGAAGTGGAGAAGGCTGGCGAGCCAACTCAATGTTGTAATGAGGCATGACTGAGCATTTATAGTCAGAAAAAAAACTAAGCTAGACATGTGCTAATAAGCAAAGTAAGCGTGCACACGCATACTCGAATAAAAACAACCAAGCTATGAGCGAGTGATTGACAAGGTCAAAAACGTGTGAGTAACTCAAGAATAATAGATTGGTTAATTAATTGTTCAGAGGCTGTAGGGCAAGTTCTATGGGTTCGACACATTTGTACACACACAACAGGCTGTTTTTACACTCAACAGTAATGAATTCACGAACAATTAATTACCCGTCAACAACTTCACTCCTTTAACTACTTAAAACAAATCAATTCTCAGTTACTTTACATGAGAATACGTAACAGTTGGGGAAATAACTTTGAACCAACAGAGAGATTTAGCATGTTTTCCAACTTGTGATATTTTTTTATCAACATATATCCTCTGGAGACCCTGCCGAAAGCCTACAATCACCTAAATCCAATCTTGAAGTAATAGAGTAATCCAATTTGTGCACAAGAATCACTCTCACTAAATCTCTTGAAGGCGTTCCAAAATAAGTGGTTTACAAGAGAACCCTGACAATACAGTAGTATTCAAATTCAATGAAGTTGAAGATTTCTATCATTTAGATATTTATTAAACTAATATGAAGAAAAAAAAACTATTTGTTAGTCGTATCATGTTACATATATATGTGAACCTTGTAAAATGTCACACTATAAGTGAATCCTTTTTTCATCGAATAACATTGTCATCTTTTTTTGTGATTATCTATCATACTACTACGCCTATTTATTCATATATATATTCAGCTTACTAGATGAAATGCGTAAACCAAGTATTCAAGCAATTATTTCTGCTTTACATTATGCCAAAGCACGTGTAATCAAACATTGGCGTCAGTTGGTAAGTTTGTGTAATGCAATATTTCTTGTAGAACTTATCTGTCTCGGTATATAATTCATTCATTCTCTTTTTTCCAATGCATTTAGTAACAAAGAAGCGTTCATATTATGCTCAGCTAATCGTTCACCGATGGTCGACTTCCATGTTTTTATCACTCATCAGTTCAAGTTACCATATCATATTAACATAGAGAGATCGAACTATCAATTCAAATCCCATAGTAGTAGAGGTAGTAAAAGCATTAGTAGTCTTGGAGAAAATAAGGGATCTAACATATATATGGTTCGAGAAGTATGTCCCAGTGGAATCAATTTAAAAAGAGAAAAAACGTTTCATAAGCAATTGAGGTTAAAATTTGACAGAAGACAAAGAGTGGATGCACCTGCACCACTGCAAGCGATTTTGAGTTATTTCATGTGTCTCGAGCATCTCAACCAGGCAGTCTACACCTATCGGCAGGGCTCAGTTCAGTCATCAGTGACTTCATAAATTTGTGCCATGTTTTGATTTGGCCGCCCCTAGTTTTCTTCCAGACTACCCCTACATCAGACAGCATCGCCCGTCGAGGCAGTTGGTGGTTGGTCAAACGCAGCACATGCCTCGACCACATCAACGGATAAAAAGTTATCACTACATAATACCTGTTTCCTAAATGTAGCATTGCTTACTCAGTGGTCACTGAATATACGAGCAATGCTTTGAAGACGCCTTTCATTAAATACTAGTAACCTATGAATGTTCTTTATCCTTAGTGGCAATGTTTCAAACCCATATATTACGATGGAGTAAACTGCCGTGTAGTAAACTCGTCCCTTGTTTAGAAGTCGGATATCCTACCTGGGCCATGAGTGACGCAAGTTGTCAAAAGCCAGTCGAACCTTTTGTATCCGTGCCGTAATTCCGTCAGACCTTAAAGATAAGTGAAGCGGCCAACACAGTCATTTACTCAACTCCCGATTACTAGTTCAGGTGCCGATGCAAGATAATCCTGAGGTAACAGTTTTCGTTTCGAGGGAGAGAATCGCATTCCAAACGTGCTTGCATTGTTGCTTAAGGTGGTCGGAAAACTGAACTTTGTCAGCATCTTCACTATGATCTGCATACTCTAAGTTAACAAGTGAATCTCCAGGTAGGTCAACCTTTGAAAAGTCAGATGGTCGGAGGTGCTGTCTCTAAAAGCATTTTAATGACGAAATTGAATAAAAATAGGGAAACTGAACAACCCTGACGAACACTGCTTGAAGTAATCGATTCCGATGATAGTTCGCCATAAGTCCTCACCCGACCAGTAGTGTTCGAATAGAGAGCTTGTACAAGGCTAATATACTTCTTTAGTACACCCTTCATTGACAGACATCGCCATATAACTTCATAATTAGCAGAATCAATCACCGTATTAAAGTCAAGGTATACACATATTGCCGGAGGTCAAAATGTGTGTTTATGTTCTAGGACCTGACGGAATGTGAATATTTGGTCTTTGCCTCCACGTCTAGGTTTGAAACCAGACTGGCTTTTTTTATTCAGATAGTAGTGAACCTCTTTAAAACTCACATAATAATGAAATGTTTTTACATGAAGCAGATGAACAGAGAGATTTTCTAACGTTTCATCTAAACTAATTCAAATCATCAGCTAAATGAATGACTTACTCTATTTTCGGTTTCTCCTTTATTGTTCTACGTTCTATTCACATTGCTCATGTCTAATCTACTTTTTTTGTTCTCTTCTTACAATGAATTTTCTCTAATGTTATTAGGATGATCGTATTATCAATAGCCTTAATGAAGCAAAAGATAATCTTAGATATTTGTTTACACTGGACAATTTTTTCAGTTCATTTTCCAATACTAATCCAGTAAGTGTTAGAATAAATTATTTTTCATTCATCTTTAATTCATTCAAGTCTTGTTAACGATTATCATTTCATATATCTATTTATTCACATCAATAATAAGTGAGTGTTTAATCAAGTGAATGAAATTACACTAAGTAAATTTGACTAGTTTATCATCAACTGATCATTGAATAATGACCAATGTTTCATGTATGCCTAAATCTTTGAGTGATGGTCGAATTCTGCCACTAATACCCAGTTTAAGTCACATGTGAACTATCAGTTTCCTAGGTATTGCAATTAGGCTTTCCTGATGAGTGACAACTGGCACGCAACGTTTGTTCAGAGGAATTTCATGCTGACTACCTCCAACAACTTAACTTTTCAAATTTAACAATAACAACGATTCACCAATCTACAGTCATTGTTGAATAAACTGAAAACTGCTTATTTAAAGGATGCATTTTCCAATGACTTTGTATGTTGAATTTTCCTACAGTCCTTGTGGGAAGTGCTGTTTGTGCCAAAAACTGATTTTATATTAGATTGTTTGAATCGCCCTTCCCACTATTATCCGATTACTGAACGATAAGGTTGGATGTAAAAACAATGTAACCAACTTCATCTTAATCGCCGAATTACATCAGCTCAGGATAATACGAATTGATGTGGCTTTTGTGGAAGATCAGCTTGCTGATATCATAAAGGATTACGGGATAATTCAAACTAGAAATCACAATCGACAACAGTATAACAAAAGGTTCGTTTCGTAGGAAATGTAGTAATCATTAATAAACTGTGTCGTTTAAATTGGATATCGTTTCCTGAAAAATGTTAAATTCACCACAGATATTGACTCTTTCGTGTTCGTCATTACTTAACCCAAATTTACCGCTCATAATATGATATTCATTATGGATTTATGGAGATTTTTATTTTTCACTGAAATCATGAATCAATCAATTTTAGACCACCGTTAGAAACTTTGAAGCATTGGATGGTCGTTTCTTCCTAGTATAGGACTCAGAAACAGTGCGCATCCGCTGCTTCACAACATTAACACTGTCCGATGTTTACTCAGCGGTCTAGTAGTTAAACGTTCATGCGCTCGTTCAAAGGTCCCGAGTTCGATTTTCGTCTACTGGTGGGGGTTGTGGATGCGCACTGCTGATGAGTCCCATACTAGGACGAAACGGCCGCCCAGTGCTTCAAGGTTTCTAATAGTGGTCTAAAGGTGATTGATTCATGAATTCACTGTATGTTATTATTATTATTATGAACACTGTAGAATTGATTAACCTATATGTTATGAGATAAAATATACAAGAAGTAAGTGAAATTATTCCAGTCTTTTCAGTGGCATATTCATGTGATGACACCCAATGTGAATTCAAATAATGATGACAATAATAGGGAATATAAGATGAGATTTCCAGGTTCTAACAAATTGGGTAAATCTTAGTTTTTTTCTTTTATTAGAAAAGCTATCCATAGTCATCAAAGACTGTAGCAGACAGCCGAAGCCGCACCCGGTTCTGTTCTAATAAATGCAGAAATAACTCGGGTCGCTGGATTCGAAGTTCACAGTGCTAACTGCTACACCATGCTGCGGCCCATCAGAATGAATTTTTATCCATAGTCTAATTTTAAAACAACTAGAATTTTTTGTATTTCAAAATGAAATGAATGATTTACTCTTTTTTTTTTTCATTATATATAAAAAAAGATCTAATCGTGAATTCATTTTCAATTGATTTTCAGTTGAAAATACGTCAACAATTACCAATTCTACTGAATGCTATTCGTATGATTTATAGTATTTCTGAATATTATAATAATTCAGAAAGAATGACTTCATTATTTATTAAAATTACCAATCAAATGATTGTTACATGTAGAAAGTATATTACAGATGGTGTTAGTAGTATATGGGATTTACCACGGTATGTGTTTGTATTTATTGTAATTCAGTTAATCAGTTCATATAACTTGCTCTTATTTGTGATTGTTTTCACTTTAATTGCTTAGCATGTTTAGCTTAATATCTAAAGATATTTCATTTGTAACTTAACAATGAAGTGTTGATTTAAATTTAAAATAAGAAACAAAAACTGGGTTGAACTGATTTGTTATGCTCATCACTTGATATGCCTGAAACTACTATTACGGGTTCACCTTAGTTGATAAACGAGAACGAGACAATGAACCAGTGACATGTTACCCTGCTCTGATCGGTTGCCCTAAAGGAACTAACGAAGAAGTCTTGATATAGCGTAGAAAGTGTATTCTAAAAACACCCAGCAAACACAATGCAATCAAGCACACAAATCGTGTTTATTTATACATCATAGAAACGTCCTTGGGAGAGTCACAAAAATAGCACACTAAAATAATACAGTAACCAATCACAGCCAAAGATTTTCCTGGTGGGAAATGCGATCTCAAGGTTAACTGATCAGTCCATGAATAAAATCCAAAATTAAGACATTTAACAAGCGAGTTCTGGGGATCCAACGTCCCCAACATGATTCTATATACACGACAAAACAAACCATCGTTTTTTTAATATACAGGTTCTCTTTGTTTGAGTTAATTAAGACACGAGATGATATTGGTGAACGGAACGTAAACCAATATCACAGTATAACAGGACAGCTAATCTATTCTCTACGACCGAGTTCAGTTAACTAGAGCAAGAAATCCAGTCAGCAGCCTCGAGAAACCGAATTACCAAGCATTCACTTCTATCGTAATACAAACAGTGGTGTCCTTGGAAAAGCTACACAGTAGTACACAAATGAATGACACAAACTGAAGATAATGAGGGACGTTTTTTGGCGCAAAAATAAGAGATTCAAATCCTTAAAAATGGATTACAAAATCAAGAGGTTTACTAACCGATTTCAGAGGATCTTGTATTTTTAACAGATTCCCAGAAACAAAAAATAATCCGCTTTAGTGAAAATTTCGGTTAAACTGTAGTGGCTGTAATATTCACATCACGAATATCAATCATTGAGTCTTCAGGTTGAAGATGAAACTCCACAAAATTGAATATAAATTTTTATTTATTTATTTTTATAATGAACAGTATTCAAAGTAATCATTTTGGGCATTCAGTGTGAATTTCAACAATCGTCTTAATAAAGTATCCAAACCTTTTGAATAAAATCCTTCATTAGTACTCTAAACTTGCCCGGTAATTTCATACATAATTTGTCAAAAGTCAGTTTCGTGTCAGCTTACTTACGAATTCATGACTTACTTACTTACTTAGCCTGTTACCCCCAATCGAGCAAAGGCCGCCCACCAGTTTTCTCCGACCAACTCTGTCCTGGGCTTCCCTCTCCAGTTCTGTCCAATGTTTGTTCATTCCTCTCATATCTTTCTCTATTTCTCGGCGTAATGTGTTCCTTGGCCTTCCTCTTTTCCTTTTGCCTTGAGGGTTCCATGTGAGGGCTTGTCTCGTGACGCAGTTAGGTGCTTTCGGCAATGTGTGTCCTATCCACTTCCACCGCTTCTTCCTGATTTCCTCATCCACTGGAATCTGGTTTGTTCTTTCCCACAGTTCGTTGTTGCTGATGGTGTCTGGCCAACGAATACGAAGTATTTTGTGTAGACAACTGTTAATAAACACTTGTATCTTCTGAATGATGGCTTTGGTAGTTCTCCATGTTTCCGCTCCATACAGCAGAACTGTCTTGACACTTGTATTGAAAATCCTGATTGTGGCTATGGTTGAAAGTTGTTTGGAGTCTCAGATATTTTTCAATTGTAGAAATGCAACCCTTGCTTTGCCAATGCGCGCCCTCACATCTGCATCGGATCCACCTTGGTTATCGATGATGCTGCCCAGATATGTAAAGGTGTTAACGTCCTCCAAGGTATCTCCATCAAGCGTGATTCGGTTGGTGCATGTTGTGTCGTATCGGAGAATTTTGCTTTTTCCTTTATGTATGTTGAGACCTACTGCCGCAGAGGCTGCTGCTACACTGGTCGTCTTCTCTTGCATTTGTTGTTGAGTGTGCGATAGAAGAGCCAGGTCATCTGCGAATTCCAGATCGTCCAGCTGCGTCCTAACTGTCCAGTTGATACCGTACTTCCCTCCAGATGTCGAGGTCTTCATAATCCAGTCGACTTACCTAACCTTAAAGAAACAAGATTTAATGTGCCTGTAAATTTTTGTTCAATATTAAGATTTCTTTCTCAACCATCTTGTTTATTTAAATCAATTTTTACTACTACTCTATTTAATAGATCTTTCCCAGTTCAACCAATATTATTTATTATGACAATTGACCATTGACATCTCACAGATTATATAAATATTAAATTTAATTTAAATTTAGAGTCTTTATGTATTTTGATATTGATTATTCTAGACCTATCCTACTTGACCGAATTCATGAATGTATTCGGTTGAATATTGAATATCAAGAGAATTTTCGCAAGGTTCGACAGAGACTTCAAGAAAATCCATCTGGTAGACAGTTTGATTTCAGGTAACTTAGTCAAGTATTTCATATAAACATAAATGAGTTGCTACGATTATGGTTATACACTTTAAGCACTTAATAATATTCATTAGGTCTGATTGGATATTTCTATTCCGTTCTCGCTTTCTCAAATTTATTATGAAAATCAATAGGAACTCTCGATGGATAAATAAGTTTCATACACATGTAAAATGTGAATCACATAGATGCATAAACGAAAACCTGAAGACAGTTTAGAATATGTCCTTGGACTGTTCCTGCATTAAAATCCTTGATTTTAATCGGGTTACACTTCACCGTCACTAAAATATAGTGGACCAGTAGAATCCATTCAATAACAGACAACATTTGTATGTTGGATGACGTTGAAGTACATCAAATACAAGGGAATTTAATAAATTAGTAATAACTAATTTTATATTGAAATCGTGAACCAGTCACTGTTAGACCATCATTAGAAACCGGGAAGCACTGGATACACGTTTCGTCTGTGCACTGGACTCATCAGCAGTGCGTATCCAAGACTGCCTTTGTCCACAGGAATCGAACTCAGGACCTTCGATCTTACGCCTAACCTACGGACCAATGAGCCGGCAGCATCCAACAGTGTTGATATCGATCCTCAATCTGTACTTGGTATTGCGCTACCTCACTCATTGTCTTTCATTAGTTACTGCCTACACCCGACACGGCTGAACTCTACTACCCATCATTAGCTAAAGTGATGTATCTATAGAATAACATAAAATCTTCTCTACTAAATGGACCTTTCACACTTGGTCACTGTTAAAACAATAAATAATGCTTATAAGTAACATCTTGATATATTTATTATACCTCAGACCACTGAGCTAATCGACTCACTATTCGAATGCAGTTTAATTTTGATTCCAGACGACACTTGACAAAACCTCGAAATCTTTCCTTCATTTCGGTCCAGACTCATCAGCAAGAAGTATTTAAACTGTACTGTTTACATTTCATTGTGTCAGTGTGCACAATTCAGTGATGCGAAATTCATAGCTTCAACTGCTTTTAGATTAGTTTCTTAATTCTTATTGCATTCCCATTGCATTTTGTTAGTCTCGAATTCAACAGCTCATTAGTAGTATCTTCATCCATAACACAATGTATTCATGTTTATTAAGTATTATAAAACGTTACCTAGAGATTTTAAATACGTCTTATCAATAAGTGACTGCTAGTAGAAATCATTGACTTATTGCATTTCATCAACTATTCTTAACAGTTCAATTTTTTGATAGTGAACATTCAACCAAAGTTTGAAAAAAAAGTAAACCCTATTTATTATTGCCGAATGAAAAGTAACAGTTTACATATTGTCTTTCCAATCAACTACCAAGTGTATGGTAAAACTCCACTGTTATTAAAAATAGTTTGTTAGACACAATGTAACTATTTTCATTGGACATTATTGTGTATCCGAATCACGAAACTACATCATTAAACGATAAAACTCATGATATACATTGATAAATTGTGTTTTATGCAGGATTAAATTTGAAAAAATATAAAACTATCCAAGGTCAGTGTTACTTATGGATTCTTCAACGTAAAAAAAACAAGCCAAATTAAATGTAGCTCCAGTTGTATATATCACTTGCTAAACGTACTTACAAACGCTCAATTGAGAGAGTTGGTAGATTATTTGAAACGACACTTTTGAACCGTTTGGGGAATCGAAGGCGGCTATACCTCGGATATTTTTTTGACTGATAAAAAAGAAATATTATCAAACTCTGTTAGAGTAAAGTGTCAGTGTAGTCGAGGAAAAATAGCTTCCCACTTTGATTATCGCTGTTTGAATGAACTTCTCTTGCTCTTTACAGGTCTTCTCGTATAAATATTGATTATTTTATTCTTGCACATTATTATTATAATTATTATTACTATTTATCTAGTGAAAATTATATATTCGGTAAATTTGATGTGTACACAACACGTTTGAAGAAAATTTTAAAAATTCTTGACAATATCGACAATTTCAATGTATTATTGGATTTTAAAGCCGAAGGTTTCGATCCAATTGTTACACGATATAAAACATTTCATGATAATTTACATAAAAGAAATTTCGATGGAGCGGATCAAATTAAACGTGATGTAAGTGAAAGCAAGGCATATATATAAAACACAAAATAGTTTATACTCATTAAAAAAACTATCGATCGGTAGTATTTATTTATTATATACCTTTTTGAAACCATGAATCGATCAATGTTAGACCATCATTAGAAACCTGGAAGCAGTGGACTGGGGCCGTTTGCTCCTGGTATGATAATCCTCCTTCAGTAGTGCGCATCCACGACTCCTGCACCCCGCAGGACAACAATTCTGAAATCTTACTAGAAAGTAATATCTTATTTTAATGCACACGACAAAACTGTTATTGATATATTAAAATAGATCGTTTTTATGACTTTCTGTCTTCGGAAATGATTAGATTGAAATGGAATGTACTAAATATTACTAAATACTCTTAACCAACGTAAGACCAATATTGGCTAATTTCCTACCATCATTGTATGTATCTATCATGTGATTTTGAGAGACTGGGAATCACATTAAGTTTGTAGCATTTTACGACCTAACAACTACAGTACTTGTGAATAAGTACGGGCAATGCACATGATATAATCAAATAAAAAAGTGGTTTTCAACTACGTGTGTTATATAACTGGAGGGAAGACAGAAAGAAAGAAGAAGGAATACGTATGAATTCACATTTTCCTTAATATCAGCTTTTTTAGTCATTTGTAATTATGTAATACCTCTACTGTTTTACATCATAATCATATTAGACAATTTAGTGTATCCCTGTCGGCTAAGAACGTCAGTATTTCCAATTGATGCAGTAACATCTTAACAGTCACAACGAAATATTATCGTGTTAATGACATAGTGTTGCTTTTTTTTTCTTTCTAAATTTAAATTTTCTTCATTTCCATTAGTTTGATCGAGACTTGGATGAGTATCGAAGTCAATTTGAAACAATAGCACAACAGATTCGTGATTTTCTCGATTCATCATTTACGCACTCTGCACCGGTAAGTTCTTAGTTTTTTTTTTGGTATTCCTGTTCATTGTGACAGTGATTATTTGTAAATCATTATTTTATGATGGCTTACTGTCATAGGACCAGTGATTATCCCACAGTAGGATGCCAAATTATGGCAAGACCTTGAAATGCAACTATTCTTAAGCGTTTGATTTATCTATGCGAAAATAACAACTAGACATTGACGACAAACCTAAACTTATTATTATTAAACCAATTGAAATTAAAAATGTCACCTTAAAATACAACCATCATAAAAAAAACGACAAGATATTAGAAATTTTGATAGTTTTTATTCATAAACATTCTATACATTAGTAATATAAGGGTAGAATGATCCTTCATAGTTGTGTAGTTACGAAATATAAAATACAAATAGAAATCCAGGGCGTAACGATTTGAAATTGACTAGAATTCTTGACTTCTTAATTTAAACAAAATGAACGGCCATTTTTCTTGTTGTTCCATTAAATAGTGATGTCCAATTGTAAATTAATAATAACCTTCATGAATTAAAACATTTATCGAATAAACTACCTGAAAATTATATGTCATCAAGAGTCAATATAATATTTACTTCATTTGCTTAAAATATCAGATATCAAATTGTTATATTATGTTACATATAGACATTAATGGCTTGCTTTCATGTTAACACAATCATCATAAAATACTTTAGTCTGATATCGTTTCCGACAAGTAGTCAAAACTGAGAACTGAAGTTATATAATGTTGGAAATAAATAACATTGCCTATAACTTCCACAATACACTGTGCATTCAGTTTTTATCCAACCGTATGTTGAACTCTTCACCACAGTTCATACAAATCACACTTTCTCCACTCTTCTAACCATAATCGGTAAGAGAAGCCTTAAATCTCATGAACCATTAACTAAACTATGAATCATTAAGCGGTCACTAGATGACCAATGATAATGTTTGTCTAGTTCGTTGGTTTTGATCAGATTCCGTTGAATAAACTGAGATATACCCATTACTCTACATGACTTGATTTCGCTTTTACCCTACTGAGATGTTAGGTGGTTGGTGATATTCATCATAAGGACCCAGAACCAACGATTTACGCAAGCTGACGCTAGTCAAGAAGGTGTATCTACCCCATAAAGGACACATAGATTTATTCGAGATTGGAAGTATACATTGATGGCGAGTGTTAACTAGCTCGAAATCTAGGTCCAAGGTTTCCTGAGGTCCACTTCCAACGACTTAACATATAGACGATGAGCAATTTACCACATACATAATGTCGGAATTTCGAAAAATCTGCTCAATGGTGAATTATGGATAATTTGAGAAAGAATAAAAAAATAAATTAGTTGATTAGTTTATGAATCTGAATAAGGAATGAAACATTTTATGCGTATATCTAAAAGAGACATGCGATTGAACTAATGACCTTGATATAAATTTGTTTGTGCAAATTTAATGTATAACTTTTTTAAGTAATTAGCTATTTATTGATATGGATTACTGCGACCTACATTATATATAAGAAGGAAATTTTCGAACTGTAAATCAGATTGGATAGAATAAAATAAATAGCTATAAAAATTATCTGTACATCAATCTATTATCTAGTGTTGACAGCACTGATGCTCCTCTTCACCTCCTTGTTTTCCTTTGTGTACTCAGCTTGTGCCTTTACTGTCTCTGCTCTTTTCTTTTGAAGGTGCTTCTTGTGGTCCAGGACTTCATGACATGTTGAAGTGATTGCTTCCTCGACGCGTTTCCAGTTGTTCCTCATGGCAGTTTCCGCTTCGTTGAGTAGATCATGAAAGCTTGGAACTTATTGCTGAGAATTATCTTGACTTCATTAGGTTTGTCAATATCCCCAAGGTCATATTAAACTTTTGCGATAATGACTGCCCAGTTGTCCAGTGCCTCTTTGGTTTCACTGTCATTGTGACTACCAACAACTAATGATCTGAAGCTGTGTCAGTCCCATCTGTTGGTTCTCACGTCCTTCATCGTCTTTTTATTGATGCAGATGTGGACGATTTGGTTCTGTGTATTATGATCCAGTGAAATCCATGTCGCTCTGTGTGTGCGTTTATGTGAGAATATGATACTATCTATGACCAGTTTGTTGAAGGCACATAGGCTTGCGAATCTCTCGCTATTTCCGTCCATTTCTCCCAGTCCATGTCGAATAGAGAATAATGCCTTAGTTCGTTCACGGATCTATACTCTTCTAGTTTAACATCTAGTTTAACATCTATATAATTCATCCTTCTTAATCAATTTTTATTATCAAAAACTTCATTATCTCTATGTCTAGGTTGAACGTCAATTAAAAATTTTAGAGAAATTTGAACAAATTAAATGTTGTCAATTAGATTTACCAGCTAAATATGAATTAGTTATGAAGAATTATGCTAATGAATTAGAAATGATACGTCATTTATATGAAAAACAAAAATATGATCCACCAATAGCTAGAAATATGACATCAATCGCTGGTAAAATATTTTGGGCACGTCATTTATATAAACAAATTGATATCCCAATGGAACAATTTAAAAAAAAATGTCCAGATATATTGTGGGTAAGTGGTTTATCGATTGTTAACAATTAATAGTAATATTTTCTATTGTGGTTAATAATAGGATCTGTGATGCTTGTTTCTTCCTACTTAGGTCTCGTCCGCTAGGTGCACTTACTACATCTTAGTGTTGATGTTCTTATGGAAACTTGAATCCAGTAATATTGTGCTTCAAATACCAACATGTTATTCATTATGTTTTGAATTCAGGTAACTAGTAACTTCTGAAACACTTATTAAAAGTATTATTAAGCGATTATCGATGAGTCGATTGAAGTCGTGCATATCAATAATCGGAAATGAAAATCAATACAAACATCTGTATATCAGTTACATAAGTTATGAGTTGTTTGTAATCAATAAACTGGAGGATAATGTGTTGGCACTTGGGGCAAAATGTATTGGATTCATGTATCGCTGTAAACATCAACACTGAAATGCATGTATATGTTATGCTTGTCAACTGATATGTTTGCAGCTATTACAAGTTCCCCATACCCGGTAAACGAGAGCGAAGACAAAAGATCCAGTGACACGACAGGCTACTCTAATCCGAGCGTCCCAAGGCCCCACTAAGTAGAGGAAGCAGTCTTGATATGGCGTAGAAAGTGTATTCTACAAGCACCCAGAAAATCAAGGTTGACAAGCACACAAATCGAGTTTATTTATACATGATAGAAACGTCCTTGAGAGAGCCACAAAAGTAGCGTACTAAAATAATACATCAACCAATTATAGTAAAGGATTCGCCGTGTGGGAAATGTAATCTCAAGGTCAACTGATTAGCCCATGCGTGAGAGCATAAAATCCGAAATTAGGAGCTTTATCAAGTGAGTTATAGGGATCAAACGTCCTCAACAGTGTAATATTCCACTGATGATATACCTGCTTCTAATGCTAACTTTTATCCAACTTTAATAAAATTAACTTTTATTATATTAAAATAATCGATGTTTTGCTAATTTTATCAACTTTTTTGTAGGTCATTAGAATAATTAAACCGCTTGGTCTACTTCGAGAGTGTATCAGATATTACCGACCAATTAAAAAATGATTGTCATGTTATCGCGAGAAATGAAATATTGAATTTCGAATTGTAGATATCTAGATTCCAACACAACAGTAGAACTTTAAGATTTGTTTACTGATTGTCGTAAAAGAATGTGAATGCTCATACTCGTACTCATACACTAGCTAATTTTCGTCATTTCTCTTAGATATATCAATTCGTGAAGAAAATAGTTTTTGCTTATACATTAATGATGAGTTTCTGTGAAGTGATAGATGATTAAAAAAAACTCATCTTTTGATGATGTTCTTACTTTTATTAAAATCATGAGTCGATCAGTGTTTGGACACCATTGGAAACCTGGAAACACTGGGCGGCCATCTCGTCCTGTTATGGGACTCCTGAGTAGTCGCACAGGTTTCGAACTCAGGACTTTGGGTCTTGAGGGCGAGAACGCCTAACCTCTGGACCGCTGAGCCGGTGTCTTACACAATTGATTACTAACAAAAATTTATTTCTATGAAATAGTTCTTTTAGGTACATAACTAAAAATAAATTATATTATTATTATTGTAAATGTGTAACAATGACACTTTGATTCGTGCATGATCGTTTGGTAAAACTTCCTGACTTGTCATATTAATTATTATAACAATGAGAGGCGTGTTCATCAATGTGATACTAAACAATGCGTTGAATAAGTATATCAAAAAATAGTATCGAATCCGAAATACACTGTGTTGATATTTTCAATAAACAATAAACCAGTCAGAAATGTTTTTTAATCAATGAATACAGTAGTGAAATTTGTACATGTTTCTTACAATTGGTAACATCTGAGGATTATTCATAAAAAAATTACGGGAATTTTAAATTACATCAAGTCATGTTTCACGATTAGAATAACTAACAAATGTTTCGATTTCCTAATTATTACACATGATGTAAAGACAATCGAGTGTGTGTGTGTGTATGTATGTACGTGAATTGAGTAAACCTTCCTTCCTTTTATTCCCTCTGAATGTTCTCATTCATAGCCGGTTGATGGTAGTCACTAGTGTCTTCGACATTACACATCATCATGATAGATTCGTTTTTTTCCAAAATTCAAACTATTATCATCTAAAAGTTTGTGTGATAAATCTATTCAACAACAACTACTTCTTTTTCATATAAACTAATAACATAATGTCCTTATTTATTTATTCATTTATATATATATAACAGGGACTTAAAGGTCAAAAATGTGTAAGAACATTTAATCGTATCGCTGAAGCATTAGTTCACTTTGAATTTATCTATTATAATCATTGGTGTCAAACAATAGAAAATATACATTCTAGTTTATCATCATCTTTAATTGTACGTGATCCGAATACAGAACGTTATTATGTGAATTTCGATTTAGCCATACTGGAATTAGTTCATGAAGCTCGGTATATTTCCAGTTTAGGTTTGGAAATACCATCAGTAGCTAATCGTTTATTAATTCAAGAAACTATGCTGAAACAAAGATATAATGCGTAAGTTTAAAAATTATAATTTATTATTTAAAAAAAAAATTATGTATACATCATTTTAAAAAAAAAGAATACATCTTTCTTTCTAGGAAAATGATGATAAAATTTTTTAATCATTAGAGAATTTTCTATAGTTACGCTGTTTGTTGGTTTGACTGATTCAACATTGTTATTTAAAATATTAAGATTATTTGCATTATGAGGTTGTGGAGATTGTTGATTTATTTCTTGAAATTATGAATCCACTATTAGAAACCTGAAAGGACTGGACGGCCGTTTCATCCTGGTATGGAACTCATCAGTAGTCAGTAGGTTACAACGCAGAACTTCGTACATACGTAAATTAGTTCAAGTTGACATACAACATAACCACAGCGAAGCAATTGTCAATACAAACCCCCATAGTAGTAGAGGTAGTAGACGTATTAGCAGTAATCAAAAAGATTGAAGATCGAATATAACATTGGGGATGTATACCCCAGAGGAATTGATTTAAAAAAAGAGAAAAAATACGGTCATGAGGAATTCGGAGGATTAGGATTTGAGAGAACACAAAGAATGGATGCACCTGCACCACTGTATAGTCGGAGATGCGCACCACTCATCAGCTGAATGCATTCACGACTCTTGCACCTCACCAGGGACCTACAATCTTGAGCGCGAACGCCTGACCCCTAGATTACTGGGCCGATTCATACCTGAGTTCGATTATGTAAATAAACAAACAATTTTTCGAAACTTGGCACTCAAGTCAGTCAGCGACCAACCAATACGTCGACACAGATACAATTTATAAACCAATCAGAAAAATCATTGACAAGCATGGGATCATGAAACTAATCAAAAGGGGACACAATCAAAATACGAATGCAAACAATAACAGGTTTAAGGTCAATAAAAACCAATCATGATCGAGGTCAACAGGACAAGCTACGTGTCATACGGAGAGAAATTCGAATACTTCTCTCCTACCTGAAGTTTGTGTTGATGATGTTGTTCAGAAGGACAATGAAAGCTCCACAACCAAAAAATCATCAAGCTAAAAGAACGAGACTCCGTCACAATCATCCACCTGAGCTATAAACTTTCTTTATCATGTTCAACGACTCGTTTAAACAACTTGTTCAAGAAAGAAACAGTACTAAAAATTTCAAAATACAAATAATCCTGTTATTATGAACTATACTCTTTAAAACAAAAGTGAACATTTAATTCTTACAAATCTGACACGAAAATTTTAAAACTATATTTCTACTGTCAGGGTTAGTATTTTTGAAAAGCCATTATACTTAAATCATTGAGAGAATTGTCACTATAGCCTCGTGGGGAAATTTTCGCAGTTCCAGTGAGAAGCTGTCACCAATGGAGTTCAACCTTGTCAGGTGTAGGCAGTAACCACTGGAGACAGTGTATGAGGTTACACAAAATCCTTGGATTTATTAGATATTAACACCGTTGAATGCTAACTTGGTGGTTCAGAATTTAAGCTTTCGGGCAAGATTAAAAGTCCCGTTTCGATTCCTGTGAACAGCGGTAGTCGTGAATGTGCAGTGTTGCTGAGTCCCATGCTAAGACGAATCGACCATCCGGTGCTTGCAGGTTTCTATCTAACGATGATTGATTTTCGATTTCAATGAGCAATTATCTGATGCATACCATCTACTCGACCAAATATGTAATCAGTAAAACCTTAATTAAATGACAAGGGTTTATTTGAAATGAAGAAATTAAGGTAGATGTTTTATTATCTACAAAACTAATCATTTTGTATACTTTAATTAATTTTTTAGTATTCATTCAAACTATCCATAAAAATTCGAATATTTTTATCTGATTCAATGGATTATTACCAAATAAAGACGTTCATCTTTAGATCTGAACAGTTCTTTTGTCCAAGTTTGCAACTCCTCATTTGTGAGCACCTGTAACTATAGACAAGAACCAAATCAGGATCTTCAGGTTTCATTTAGATTATATTGTACGTAGACCACCGAGTGACAAACTAATATGGACTACATTTTCAAACTTCCTAAGTATATTGCCCTATTTCACCAGACTGAAAATTAAAATCTATTCACCTGAATACTATTTTATTTAAATCTTTTTTTTCTAGCCTACAAGAATTATTAAATGATATTGAAGAAACTTGGGCATCTGTTCCAAACATACTTTTACCCCTATTTCAACCATTCCGTGATAAAATATGTCAAGCTCTAAGTGTAGGTATTTATCTACTCAACTGGAATTCTACCAGTATAGAAGAATGTAAGTGAAAATACTTATTTTAACTTATTCAGTGTGTTAATAAACACTGAAAAGTAACCACTTACATCGAGTTCAGTATATAACTCCTAGATGATAAATGAAGCGTTATTTATTGGTGAGTATATTCGGCTTATCGATTGATATTTCAATGAGAACTAAGACATGATGTCAGAAATAATTAAGTAGTTATATTTCTCAGTTATATGAGAATATTATTCAAGAATTGAATAACTGAGTATCAGTTATGTGAATGCGAATCAAAATCTCTCGATATCTCATATACACGTTAATAGTGAGCACCGAAAACTCAAATCCCATCCATTATTTAATGTGGAGTCTTCAAATCTCGTGGTATAACGATAACAGTCAGTCTCTGCTTTCGAATCCAGTAGTTTTTGAATGACATTGAATGATTAGACAATGAAGAATATAAACGTAAATCAGTGAAAAAATTACACAAATACAAAATGTAAACATAATAACTAATACTACTAATAATAAGATCGTTTATTAAATTATATCTGACCGAGGGAGGAATAGGGATATCAGGAATTTCTTCCGACCACTTAAATTAGGATTGAATGTTCGGATTCCTATGGCTTCAGCTATATGTAGGAGATGCGATCGAATTCGGTTTGGGAAATGATGAAGTTATACAATCACTTGAAATGACTCGCTTTTATCCATATGCTGATGACCTTTATCAATCATGTGTGCCAAGATAGGACTGCGTATAACTTCATCTCGCCTTTTTAAAATTATGCTGCTAGATTTTCACTCATTTGTTAGTTAATCTACCTGATAGCAAGCCCAGTATACTTCTCTCCACGGGAACTGCTGAATTCATAAATGCACATTAAGGAGACCGATTCAGGTAACTTATCCTTTGTCTGACTAGAAATAGTCAAAAATATTCACGTATATCAGAGTAAAGTCTGATGACTATTTAAATGAAAATAATATTCGCTTATATATGCGTTAACGTAACAGAAATGTAGTTTCAAACTAAGTAAACAAATGTGTACTTCAAGTTCTACAACCAAACGCGTAACTAGCGATTTCCACTGTGAATTTCTAGAATCCAACTAAAATAAATAGATCTCATTAGTGAATTTTCCAAAATTAACTCAACTGATCTTCACACATCTTAATATTTATTTAATTTTATTCCTTTTAATGACATAAATCTAACATGTCATTTCGTAAATCTTTTTATACAGTTATGAAAAAAGTCTGTACTGAACTTGACAGTTTAAAACTTTTAATAAAACGTACTAGTGATATATTAAACTGTCGTATTGAAGCGATTTTTGGAGAAATGGCTGAAACAAATTTATGCGAACTACCAGATGACGACCAAGTTTCATTAGATCAATTTGCTCAAATCACTGAAACAAGTGTTGCAAATGCAGCTGAAAATTTAACCATGTTAGTGTTATTTTTTGCTTTCTATATTTTGTGTGATATACATGATATCATTTGTTTAGCTTAGAGTATTGTTACAGAAGTTTTCAGATAGTATTTGTTACGCCTGCACGTAAACACGTCATTTTGATATACTTGAACTATTACGAGTTTACCTTAGTCGGAATACGAGAGCGAGGATCGAGGATCTGGTGACACGACATGCTACTCAATCCGATTATCCAAACCCCCATTGAATAAAAGAAGAAGACTTGATATGAAGTAGAACCTGTATTCTACAAGCATCCAGAAATTACGAGGTCCGAGTCCAGAAGCGAATCGGGATCCCGGACTAGGGATCTGGGACCGGGTCCTGGTCATAGAACGTTACAGATAATGCGTACTTATATATTTGTATCGAATAGGAAACATCATCGAAGTTTGTGACATTGACAGTTAAGACGACCAATAAGAAACAACATTTGAAGTGACATTGATATCTAGGACGATCATAAAATTGACCAGTAAAAATTAACCAGTAGGAATTGATCAATAACTCTCTCAGGATATTGGATGAATATCCTGACATTATGGTTCTAATGTTCCAATATCCAATAACTTTTTCACGAACTAGCAGTAGCTGATTGATTTATTTGCGCTCGATTCTTGTTCTTTTGGTACGGTTCCAGGTGTTTGGTGATGTCCAATGGATGAGAGTCTAGCCACTCGACTGCACTAATTCTAGTCAGATTGACAACTCTTTGTGAGTTTGTATGTCCCATGACTTAAATGAATACATTTGTTTCAGAGCAGTAGGGTTTCTGAATACCAGCGGCTATCACATTACCAGACCGCAGATCAGTTAGTTGCATTGTGGAGAATAATGTGAAGAAAATTCTAATGCTAATAAGATTTCAAAACTAAGTAAATAAATAGATAATTTAGTTTACCAATTGGTAGTGAAGATTGTGAGAGAGGACTGAAGTGTAGGCAAGCGAGAGTAAACAGCGATAATAGGCAAGATAGATTAAGTAAGTGGTCTGAGTATACGGCAGTAATAACAACGAGCAGGCCTCAAAACATGCATCAGACACAGCTTGTCCACGAGGGAGATGATAATCCGTATGTGAGTACGTGTTTATCAAGTCTCTTCTTAAAGCTGTCCACTGAGGAGGCTGTGGTCACTTCGGCTGAGAGAGCATTCCAAGTTGGAACGACTCTTAATAAAGAAAAGTGTGCACGAACCTGAGTGTTCGCTCTTTGATGCTCAATTTTTCGAGGATTACCTGCTAAACTCACTTGAAGAGTAGAGAGAAAAATTAGTTCTCATAATATTTGACAATCCTTCAAGAAGTTAACATTTTCAAATGAAGCTTTTGTTATCCAGCAAAAAAGTAGAAAATGTGGTTTTCTAGTTTACGTAGTGAACTGATTTTAGTTAGACAATCGTTGTAAACGTGGAAATAACGAACAGTTGTTTTTCTTTGGAGCATAAGACCTCTTAATATATCACATCCTGATTTTCAATTGTTTTGCTATTTAAAGTCAGTCTGTAAACCAAACTACAGAATGAACAGACTTAATAGAAATTATGAGCCTGTAAATTGTATCTGAATACAAATTTAAGAATTACGATTAAACAAAACACTTATGTTCCCAGATAATTACCAGTTCTGGTAATTGCTACTGCTCAGTAAATTCACTACAGACCTCGTTCCTTGAATTGAAAGTTAAACAGAACATTAGTAGGAAACGCACAAAATCAATCAGAACTTGGATTCTATGCGGGTTGTTATTCATCAGAAATCTGTCGTCACAGTTTCCAGGAATCCCCTACGCAGGATTTTTTAATTTGCCTACAGTTAACTTTTGAATATGCCCCTATACTGTTCGTTGTATATACAGTCTTAGCAGATCTATTGTCAAAAGAGGTAATTATGTACACAACCAACGATTATAATCTGTTTCTAAAACATATAAATAAATAAAATTATTAAAAAGTGCACACTAATAAAGTCAGTCAGTAGGAGTACAACAAACTGCTACTTACCGAATAGTAGAGAAAACGAAAAAGGAATCGAATAATAGTTTAGTCATGCTTATACAATACGGGCTCAATTTCATAACTGGTTGTTTTAAATAAAAAGGATTTAGATTGTGAATGTAGTACAATCTCCACAAATAACGTATACCAATAACAATCATGTGCTCACAAGTAACTGGCTGTGTAAGATGCAGCTCCTGGATTTCTCTAGTGAGAAGCCATAACCATTAGAGTTCGATAATGTCGAGTGTGATGCTGGTATCCACCACAGACAAAGGACTGTATATTATCCTGAATTTGTTACAGTTATGCTTTTACATTACTGGATGCTGGCTCAGTGTTCTAAAGTTTAAGCGATCGCATACGAGACTGAAGTTCAGTAAATGTGTCCCAGTTTTACAAAAGATACGAGAAATGTGACATTGACTTCAAATTGCGTCATTTGCGTTTGAGTCAATCTGCTGTAGGTACACCTGTCTGATACGCGTTACTCATCATTACACATACAACAATGTCTCTTTTCTAACTGCCCTCTTATATTTCACATCAAATAAAACACACCATAGTATTACGCCAGTTTTCTGGCCAACTAACTATACAATATTTTCTACTGAACAAGGTTAGTCCATCAACAAACCATTGGTGCTCCTGGATTTCCATTGATTAAGAAGAAAGTATCATTTATGTGGACCAATGCTGATACATGATCAATTAAATTTTGAGTGCCATAGTTGTTGAACAGTCTACGCTTCAACAAGATTTCTGAATTCTATCGGTTTTTGATTCTTTTACTGACTATCGAGTCAGTACAGCATTGTGTCATATATATAAAAAATTTTAATTTGAAAATAAGTACACGAATCTGTAACTAACTACTGTAATAATAACACAGTAAATTTTTTTAAGATCCGAAAGTATGCAACCAAACGAACATCTAGTTCCCACTGCCAGTTTTCAACCATCCAAAGGTTTACACTACACTAAACTACAGACACAAATGTATTTAGTACCATTTCAATCATTCTGTATATAGTATTCATCATAGACGTGTTTCTCCGAGAGTTACATATTCTTACAACACGCCAATGATAGTCATTTATGTGATAACTATCAACCTTGGTACTTGATATTCACCTACAACATGCTATAGAACATTAGCATTTCAGCATCAACTTATCCACATTGAATACTGGACATATTGTAGTGAACGAGAACATAGGTGGGACAACCGAATTGCATTGAACGAAAATTACAGAGTTACTCAGTAAATTCGGAAAACAATATCGTAAATCGTTAATTTGCAAAATATCAGTTCATCATATCTAACTGGACTGTTCCTGTTGCAAAACATCAATCCATTGTCACTATTCATGCGTTTCATACAAATTCCATTGTTTTCTAACTCTTCCTTTCTTGATCTTCCCCCATGTTCTGCTGCCAGACATTACGTTGACACTCACGTCATATACTACTCATAAGTAGCTCTCACCACAATATAACTTTTTAACTAAATGCAGCCATTCAAATTATTTTGATAATGAGTATCGTACGTTTTATTATCATTATTTTATTTTTTTCTTCTAGTAAAAGTAATCTTGTAGAAATGGCTGTGAATGAAATGCTGGATTTAATTAAAGCAGATTTAGATGAGAATCAATTAAGAAATTTAAGTGCAGAAGAAGGCTATGAATGTATATCACAGGAAAAACGCAAAGGAAGATGTCTTGAATGCAAACCATGTATTTATTTTACACTTTTAAATCAATTCACTCAACGTAATACAGATGCATTAGTAAAATGTAAGCCAATATTGATGTACCATGTAAATTGTTATCTCTCAGTGACCAATGTAACTGCACTTTTTTTGAATTCATAATCTATGAATTATTTTCCTATCAAAAGGTCTTTAGTTACTTTTAATTTATTGATAAACAGTAGGATTTAATGTGTGGTGCAAGCTACTTATAAGTAGTATATGACGTGAGTGTCAACGTAATGTCTGGCAGCAGAACATGGGGGAAGATCAAGAAACGAAGAGTTAGAAAACAATGGAATTTGTATGAAACGCATGAATAGTGACAATGGATTGATGTTCTGTAACAGGAACAGTCCAGTTCTATATGATGGACTGATATTTTGCAAATTAACGATTAACGATATGGTTTTTCCAATTTTACTGCTCTCATTTACAGGTCTCATTGATGTATTGTATTCGACTAATGTTCGACTTGTTAACTGTCACAATAACGAATATCATATGATATCACTAACATGATTACTGTACAAACTTATTCATTCATTGATTTAATCGGTATTAAACTTAACTTTAAACTATTAGTTTGGCTAATTCAAATCACTGATTATTTAGTTCGCTTTGCATCGACGTATGATTTTATTATCCTTTTTTGATCAATGATCAATGTTGTCAGCAATCAACTATCATTAATTAGTGAAGCTGAGTTAGCCCAAAGTATGATCTCTTTTGGTCTACTTCTATTCATTGAACAAACAAAAGGCAACCATAATGGAATGTATGCATTACATATACTATGCGATGAGTCGAACCTGATTTAAGATATTTTCGGATGAAAATCAATGATATCTGATCCGTGTTGAAAGTGCTCTATATGTTAGATATTCATAATTTCAACAATTACAAGTTAGGAAGCAATTACTTACTTACGTCTGTTACCCACAACGGATCATAGGCCGCCAACCAGTTTTCTCCAGCTAACTCCGTCCTGGGCTTCCCTTTCTGGTTCTGTCCAATTTTTGTTCATTCTTCTCATTTCTTTCTCTATTTCTCGGCGTAATGTGTTCCTTGGCCTTCCTCTTTTCGTTTGACCTTTAGGGTTCCAAGTGAGGGTTTGTCTTGTGACGCAGTTCGGTGCTTTTCTCAATGTGTGTCCTATTCACTTCTACCGCTTCTTCTTGATTTCCTCCTCCACTTGAATCTGGTTTGTTCTCTCTTACACTATGTTGCTGCTGATGTTGTCTGGCCAACGAATCTGAAGTATTTTGCGAAAACAACTGTTCATAAATACTTGTATCTTCTGGATGATGGCTTCGGCAGTTCTGCAACTTTCCGCTTCATACAGTAGAACTGTTTTAAATATTTGAAATTGAAAATGATTTACTATAACTGAATATATTGTGGCGGCTACACTATGACAGTGTTATCTTTTAAATCAAATGTTGATAACTTTATTAAGATGAATGGGTCTGATTTGTAGTTCGTTTTAACCGTATTTTTCAAAACTTGACTGCTCATGGGAAATCTATAGCTTATAGGCGATATTAATTAAATCAAAAAATACACTAATCATAAAAGACTGAGGAATCATGATTTAATTCAATACAATATGTTTATACTGTTACAGAATGATAATGAGGTTTTTATAGAAAACTAACTTATAAAAACTATTAAGTCATTTTGATTGATTATTCCTTTATTTTGTATTTTCGGACATTCAAAAAGCCTGTTATTCCTAATGGAGCATAAACCCCGACTAGTATTCTCCAATCGACTCTGTGCTGTTGGGCCTTTCTTTCCAGTTCCACCCTATTGCTGTTCATTATTTTCCTGTCTGTTTCCCATTCTCGGAGCAGTGTGTTCTTTGGTCAACCTCTTTTTTTATTGGCCTCGAGGATTCTCAATTTACGGCTTGCCTTAGTCATGATACAGCAGGGCACTCGCTTTGGTGGTACACATACTGTGGTGTGAGCTACTTATAAGTAGTATATGACGTGAGTGTCAACGTAATGTCTGGCAGCACAAGATGTGAGAAGATCAAGAAAGCAAGAGTTAGAACACAATGGAGTTTGTATGAAACGCATGAACAGTGACAATGGATTGTTGTTTTGCAACAGGAACAGTCCAGTTCGATATGATGAACTGATATTTTGCAAATGAACGATTTATGATATGGTTTTCCAATTTTACTGAGTAACTGTAATTATCGTTTAATACAATTCGGTTGCCGCACCTGTGTTCTCGTTCACTACAACACTACTAAACTCAAAACAAAACAGAGATTATTCAAAACGATCAAAGTCTTTCATAGTCAGTTGACTTAATCAAGTATTTATGATCACTAGTTCTTTGCAGCTTATATTTTGTGCTATTCTACTGTTTTTAATTTTCTTGATTTAATCAAGGCACTCGAAATACATTAGATGCAATAAAACTACGAATTCAACCAATGACAATGAAATTTCATCAAGAATATACAACTGAAAAAGCCGATAATAAAACACCATTATTTAGCGTTAATCTTATTTTATCTTTACCAAATGTTATCATGCAACCATCATTGGATGAATTACAAGCCGGACTACAAAAATCGATGTCAGTTATAATAAAAATGGCAGAAAATGTTCAACCATGGCAACATATGACACTGGCACAGAACCAACTACAAAAAGTAATGCATTGTCTAGTGTAGATTTAATTTGAAATAGTTTTTTTGATGATTCGATTATTGATATTTTGATTAAAATCTAATCAGTCTTGGCTGATGGCGTTGATATATGGGCATCCTATATGGATTGTCTTCCAACTGAATCACTCTTGATAGAGATGCCTAGGAGGAAGTAAAAGCATTTACATGTCTGAGCAGTATCATCGATGAGCAAGGTGGATCTGACGCAGATGTGAAGGGGCGGATCGGCAAAGCAGGGGGTGCGTTTCTACAATTGAACAACATCTGAAACTCGTAACCTTTATCAAGCAATACCAAAGTCAGAATTTTCAATATACATGTCAAGATAGTACTGCTGTATGGGCCGAAAACTTGGAAAACTACCAAAACCGTCATTCACAAGACAAAAGTGTTCAGTAACAGTTGTCTACAGAAAATAATATGGATCTTTTGGCCAGACTTCAAATGCAACAACCTCCTGTGAGAAAGAACAGACGAGGTTCCAGTGGAGGAGAAAATCAGCGGTGGAAGTGGGTAGGACACACTGAGAAAAGAACCGAACTGCGTCACAAGACAAACCCTCACTTGGAACCCTAAAGGTCAAAGGAAAAGAGGAAGGCCAAAGCACACATTACTCCGAGAAATAGAGAAAGATATGAGAAGAATGAACGAAAATTGGACGACATTGGAAAGAGAAGCCCAGGACAGAGTAGGCTGGAGAATACGGGTCGGCGGCCTATGCTCCGTCGGGGTCACAAGCGTAAGTAATGTGGATTGTTTTGATATAGGCATTATGATACAAGTTTACATAGAATAGATACAATGTGGTTAGCAGTAGAATCCTTCTTCTTTGGGACTCGACCAATTCTGGAGTGATTATCAACTCTGAGATGCAAGTACATCCAGTTGATCCTTGTCGTTATTCATCTTTGCATATAAATGTTTGTGACCTGATGAATTAAATAGCAAGGTTATCTGTACAGAATGCACATTTGTCAATTCTAAACATAAATGGAACGATTTAATCAATACAGATAAATCAAAATTTGCCCCCACTTTATGGTATAACTACTTGTTTTGTTTACTAAGTCCGTGAAAAATATACTTAAATCTTGATGTTTTGAAAACCCTCCTCAGATCTATCAGAATAGACAGACAGGATAAGATTAAGAGACGACTAAGCACAAAATTATTTATATCAGCTGTTTTCCTTAAATTGATATTGGGCACTACTTATTCAAATAGTCGAACTACTAAGCCGATGTGTCTACTTTGAAAATTTACGTAAAAGAAAACCTTTTTATGACCTGCTGACTTACTAGTGTGATACAAACTTTAACGCTCATAAGGGAGCATCAAATCTTTCAATAAACGATTATACGAGACACGGGTGGATTCAGGACTTCCTACTAATTGTCACTTAATTATATAACACCAAAGTTCAATACAATCTATAGTTACTCAACCTAGCGACTACAAACTAAGCGTAATCGATAGATTTTAATCACAACTCAAGATTGGGGCATCATGTTATGGGTTAATAATTTGTAAGTGATTAGTATTTTGAATCAAACAGTTAACTGTATAGGTAGGTATATTATAGGCAAATTTAAAGTCAATGTATCAGAGAAACCAGAGGAATTAAACATTCACTGAAACTTGTATTATTAACAACCCACTCAATAATGCTCAATTTGTTGGAAATTATATCTAGCCAAACCACGGTTTAGATATGTATTTTATTTCTTAGAAGGTAAGTTCCCAATATATATATCATCTTTCTAAAATGAATATTCACTTACACTTCAAGTAGGCTTGTAGATTTTAATTTACTTCATGTAGGCAATTCATTTTTATCTACCTCTGTTGACTAATAATTAACTAATGGTTTCTAAAAGTCCATATTTCTTGAGAATGAAAAGTAGTAGTAGTAGAAAGAATTCATTATCTTATAAAAGTAAAAATGGAAATTGTCTATTTCTGAAATTTCGAAAAACTTTTTATGGTTATTTAATAACTACGGATCTATCATACTAGCAGATTACCTACTTGTGAACTGTTTCAAATGTTTTGGACTTTTCGTGTAGACATAACCATCAAGAAAGACAGTTAGCAATAAATGTGACTTAAAACTTCAATGCATAAGATTAACAAACTTTTTTAAATACTCGCCTAGCTTTAATCACTCGCATTAATCTTTAAGTTTTTAGAATCTAGATCCTTTATTGTAACTAGTGCCTATTCCACTGAAGTTGAATATCATAAGTAGATATTTTTTCACACATGTTTTATAGAATTCCTGTTTGTATTTAACCTTTTGAATGAGCCATTTAGAGTGACAGACAATCTGACTGTTTGTAGGACTGTTTTATAATCACTGGTTTTGAAATCTAAATTTACTGGACTTCATTAATGCATCCTAAAAAGATGATATTTTAATCAGCATTAGTGTGGTGTGAGCTACTTATAAGTAGTATATGACGTGAGTGTCAACGTAATGTCTGGCAACATAATATGGGGGAAGAACAAGAAAGGAAGAGTCAGAAAACAATGGAATTTGTATGAAACGCATGAATAGTGACATTGGATTGATGTTTTGCAACAGGAACAGTTCAGTTTGATATGATGAACTGATATTTTGCAAATTAACGATTTACGATAAGGTGTTCCGATTTTACTGAGTAACTCTGTAATTTCCGTTAAAAACAATCCGGTTGCTCCACCTGTGTTCTCATTCACTACATTAGGACTTCAACTGATCTTTATTTTCACATTTGAGATCATAGACTGATCTCGGTTAGACTACCATTGGAGACCAGGAGACCCTAAACAGATGCTTCTATCTAGTATGGGGGTACCTAAAGTTGCATATTAACGATTCAGTTACCAGGGATCAAATTCGGGAACTCTCAATCTCTCATTCAAATCTTTAACCTTTCCTTATAAGTTCAAACGGAAATCCTATATCAATTTTAGATGGAATATCATGTTGAACTACCTGAAAATATCTCTTAAAAAGTATTTTTGACAGCTCACTTAATAATTCACTACGTTGTTGGATAGCATATACTGTATAAACACTGAGTTAACGACAGAGTTCCTGATAAAGATAACCCTGGCCTGTTTCCTGCAGAATTTAGTAAAAATAAGCATCAGTCGGATCATAGTTATCATAAACAAAAATCTGCCAACTGTTTTTGTCAACATTTAACTACTGAGCTTCACTGAAGTACAAGAGCCCTGGGTTGCGGAGCGGGAATTCGGCCTTCACCTTAGTCATTCGGGAGTAGCGAGGGGATATACATGATTTTTTCATATATGGTCAAGTGAATAGGCACAGATGAGTTCCTTATCCGGATCATAGATCTCCCACATTAGGATTCAGTAAGCTGTTTACTAATAAGATATCTTGAGCAGTCAAAGATTCAACTCTTAAGATTATGCTCTCAAAGAATTTCAGTAGAACATTTCATAGACAATTCAAGAACCAAACACATAATTCTATACGTAATTTTCCATTGTTCATTTGCGATGGTCGATTGGTTGAACTTGGCTGAAGCTACTAGATATTAACATAGTGTTACTACTGAGCAAAATACTTCGGATCAATTGGCCGGACAACATCAGCAACAACATAGTGTAAGAGAGAATAAACCAGATTCCAGTGGAGGAGGAAATCAAGAAGAAGCGGTGGAAGTGAATAGGACATACACTGAGAAAAGCACCGAACTGCATCACAAGACAAACCCTCACTTGGAACCCTAAAGGTCAAAGCAAAAGAGGAAGGCCAAGGAACACATTACGCCGAGAAATAGAGAAAGACATGAGAAGGATGAACAAAATTTGTACAGAACTGGAAAGGAAGGCGCATGACAGACTAGGTTGGATAATGCTGATCGGTAGCCTATGCTTTATTGGGTTTAACAGGAGTGAGTTAGCACCACACTAAGCATCATGATCAAAAAATTAAACTTATCTACTATAAACTGGCAATTTTTTTTTAAAAAACGCCTTTATTATTTATACAATGATTGTTGTTTGTATATTTTGCTTTGTTTTTTTTGCTTACCAGGAACTTGACCAGACAGCTGAAACACAAGGAGAAGAAAGTAAAGCATCTTCTACACAAATAAAACCATTACATCGTATCATTGCTGAACACAAAGATATAATTAAAATTTCAATTCAATTAAATTCAATATTTAATTCATTCAAAGGCGAAATTCAAAAAATCATCAATGTATTTAATGAATTCTCACAATTATGGACAACAGTTAGTTGTTGTTGTTGTTGCTTTTTTCTATCTTTTTTTTTCAGTCCTAGTTTTTATTTCATTGCTATCAGTTCTATCAAAGCTTTGCTCTAGACCAAACGATTGTGTTATGCACAAATTTTGAAATATGATAATAAATATTCCATACAAGAACATAATGCTATGCATTTAAAAAAAAAACTTCAATTTATTAGGTATCTGTCCATATTCATTGTCTACCAAATTAATACACAATCCAAGATAACATGGTTTTTTTTCATATAGAGTTATCTAGGAATTAATTACTAAAAACCGATATTAACCAACTCATTAACTGTATGACAATCACAATGAAGGAGAGAGAGACTATTGGTGTTTGGGGGAATGAATGACCCGTTTTCGATCACCACGTTTTTGTTGGTGATCAACAAGGAAATAGAATGAAAAAAAAGGAGGGATAATGGTTAGACTAAGAGGTTTAGGGCTAGTTCACATAATAACTATCGTCTGTCTATTGGACTAGTCTGTGCAGGAAATATGGATTTGTGTGTTAGGCTTCGATCTGATTGCCCATGATAGGTGGGTGATATAAAAATTAAACACGCTAGTAGTTAGGTGAACCCAAGCATTCTTCCAAAATCCTAAATTTTATTATGGTTTGCTCGTTTTTATGCTTCAGCTTCATTTGCTCTCTTTGAGATTTTTATCTTTCAAGTATTAATTCTTGTTACTTCTTACACTGATATACTCCCACTCAACGAGTTCATTCTCACTGTTCTCAGGTGAAGCATGTCAACTTGTACCAAAGCTTATATTCTACGCAGTTTACATATAATTAACTTCGCTGTATTCAGAAAAAATACAGTCATACCTCATTGTATCTATCAACAAATATAGTTCAACAAATCATATCACATGAATTAATAATGAATATGACGAATATGTTCGTTTTGTTTTGTTTTTTTAAAATCATATTTCTTATTAAAATAAGCAATTTTCATTCATTCACTCTTCACTTCCATTCTCTCTCAGGATCCCCAAGGCAGTGTATCTGAGTTCATGAAGGCTAATCCACTTTTATCAGAAATCGATGAAAAACTCAGTTACTACAGTGTAAGTTGGTAAATTATGTGTTATATATATGTAGCATGCAAATAAATAAACTGTCGCATATTTTTCATAGTTATATTCATTGGAATGTTCGAATTTCAACTACCGAACCGTAGGTCAGAACCCCGCCCTACCTATTTTGGTTCGAAGCCAAGTAATCAAATTTGCACTCAGTAATAAGTTAATTAACCAAACGGTGTTTCGTTCATTTGATTAAACTAGGTATTGCAAAATTTAATTGAATATTGATAATCGGACATGGAGTTTTGAGTTTAGTAAAATGGTACTATTTATACAGGAAGGTATCAATTTTCACTAATTCACTACTTTGTTATTCCGTCAGTAACCGACTGAACAATTTTTTTTAATATAATATGCATTAGTTAGGGACAACTTTTTGAAAGATGTTCATACCAATGGGATTTAAGATGACACCTCTTGGAATATTGCGCAAACCTTATGATGAACTAAGTAAAAATTTGTCAATAACTAATTTTATATTACTCTGGTTGTTCGATAAAAGTATGATTCATACAAACCTAACGTGAATTTGTGACAGTGCATAAACGAAATTCTGGGAAATATCTGTTCCGATACCGATTATATATACCTAAGCGACTTAGGACAAGATCAAGAGTGTGTCTGTTGAACCTTTGATAACCAAACACTGAGTTCTGATTGATAAGTAAGTAGCTCAAGGTCGTCAATGTAATTTGGTTTCATCATAAAACTCACTTCTGTTATTGAACTAATTGGTCATAAAAGTCAATAAGTTTACTTGTTCATAAAGAAAATGCATAACTTCTTTACGCTAAGCATTTATCAGAAGTAGTAATTCCTCAATTTGTTGGTATAAAATAAGTATTTCAATGGTCAATTATTTTCTAACATCATTCTATAATGTTTCATGGTTTTTCTTAGAAGAGTATATCCTCGTAACTGAGCTCAAAATTTATCCGTAAACATCAGGTCTTTTCACGAGTACGATATATTATAAGCTTGCTTGTTCAATGTCCTGAGAACTCAACAGATATAACTGAATATGGTTTGGAAGATGATGGCACAATAATGCGAATTTTATTAATTTATAAGTATTGATAACTGGACACCTATTAAAGGTGATCATGAAACCCTATGGAGTAAACAGATCGTGCAAATCTAATTTCTTGAGTTTAATCATGAAATTTTACATTCTTCTCATGTCTGTCTCCGATTCTCGGCATAATGTGTCTATGGTCTTCCCCTTCTCTTCGGACTCTTAGGATTCCAAGTGAGAATTTATCTTGTGACTCAGTTGGGTGCTATCCTGAATATGTGTCCTATCCGCTCCCAATGCTTCTTACTGATTTCTTCGTCTGATGGAATCTGTTGTTGTTGCTGATGTTGTCTGACCAACAGATCCAAAATATTTTGTGTAGACAATCATTAATGAACACTTGTCTTTTCTGGCTTTCATAGTTCTTCAGTTTTTGGAAACATGTAATAACTTGTCATAAAATATCATCTATCTACATATTTAAGAAATAACTAACTAAAAATAATAAATAATACAAAACTCTCGGATAATAGAGTTTATTTTCCTCTTTTTGTCCATCAATCGATTTATCCGCCGGCACTCTAAGATGATGCTCTATCCAGCTGATATCAGGTATTTGAATCTGAATTAAAAAAGGCTAAAAAGAAATCCTCAAACTTTTTCAGTCAAACTTATCATGTGAAATATATAAATCGCATGTCATTTTCCACAATTGTCAAGATTCATAATAGTTTTCCAAACATAATGCTTAGTTGATCAAATTAGTGCTAAGAATTCTAACTGTTTAAAACACTATTCTTTATTCCAGTTATCATGTCATCGCCAACTCTTCCTTTTTTTCTTTTAATGCATAACATAAACAAGTGAAAGAAATATAACAATCATGATAACAGCTCTCAACTACTTTTTGTAGTAACTATTTTTTTAATTTGATTCAGTCTCAATAACAGCTATGTGCTTCATAAGTAGTAGTGTAGTGAACGAGAACACAGGTGGGGCAACCGAATTGTATTTAACGAAAATTACAGAGTTACTCTGTAAAATCGGAAAACTATATCGTAAATCGTTAATTTGCAAATTATCAGTTCATCATATCGAACTGGACTGTTCCTGTTGCAAAACATCAATCCATTGTCACTATTCATGCGTTTCATACAAACTCCATTGTGTTCTAACTCTTCCTTTCTTGATCTTCCCCCATATTATGCTGCCAGACATTACGTTGACACTCACGTCATATGTTACTTATAAGTAGCTCACACCACAGTAGGTATACATTTAAGAAACAGGTCGCTAATTGGCTCTTTTACTTGATTTCTTTTCTGTCAAGAAAATGGAAAAATTGATTGAACTAATTCCATCAACCACTCAAATTGGTTCATTAATTTTTAAAAGTGATGAATTGAAAGTGAATTTAATTAAAGAATGTCAAAATTGGCGTCGTGTCTATGGTCAAGCAGTGAATCAACGTTGTGCAACAGATATGAATAAAATTCTTGAACAATTTGATAATCTTTCTAAACGTTTCAGTCGACCAGTCAAAGATTTAGATGATGTCCGAGAACAAATGGCTGCTTTGGCTGAATTAAGAGCATCAGAAATTTATTTCGATATGACTATTGGACCGATTGAAGAATCATATGCTTTATTGAATCGTTTTGAATTATATTTCAATGATGGTAATGCAGAACGTGTAGATGGATTGTCGTATGGTTTCACTAAGTTGAAAACACTTAGTCAAGAAGTACAAGATCATCTTTTAGAAATTCAACCAACATTTAAAAATGAATTAATTGATGGAGTGGAAGTATACAAACAAGATTTGAATACTTTTGCCAATGAATATGATACAATGTACGTTCCAGTTTTAATAGTGTCAGTGTATTAAAACTCTAAAAAATTTCTCTAAGGGTTACATTTTTGAATAGATTAAATACTAAGTTCAAACAATCAATGTATTTTGTTTTGAAAACAACCAATCTCCATCAGCATATTTGATATGTGATACATAGTATAGAATCTGGGATGAGCGTTTTATTCTGTTCAGGTGTCATTAACTTGAAATATTTTTTTTTCAGTGTTGATATCCTCTCCGAGACTAACTCGCTTAACCGAGCTACTGAACTCAGATAATCACTATTGTTTTTAAAGGTTACGAAAGATGCAATGGCCAGTCGTAGTTTAGGCTACCGGTTTTCCAACTACGCAAATAAAGCTATTAACATACCTGTCTTAAACATTCTTCAACTAAATAATTTTGGATTCTCACAGTATATACTCAGGAATCATTACAAATGAGTTGAGGATAGTTGTAATATGATAGCACCTTACTATAATAAATAAGAATTTATAATTTCCTGACTGTCTTAATATAGTGTCATGTATGTGTCAAGTTTTGGTGTATTTAGGTATGTAGCATTGAGGATTTGCATTTCACACTTTCATGACAAAAATCTCAAAGTAATAGGTAAATTGTACTCTTTCAAAGTGCTCACTTTTATAAAACATTTTTTGGCTTATAGCTTAGTTCATCCTTTATATTGTAAAAGGCATAAGTAAGAGAATTAATTTTTTCACGATGAAAAATATCTATTTTTGAAACTACAACTACTTTAAGAGGAAAACTGTTTGGATCAAGAGTCATTAAGAAACAAATATCCAGAAGTTAGGCATTGGCTCGTAAGGCCGGAGGTGCTGGGTTCCAGTCTTGCGAGTTTCAGGGGTCGTGGATGTGTACTGCCGATGAGTTTCATACCAGGACGAAACGGCCAGCCAGAGCTTTTGGGTTTCTAGTGGTGATCTAACAGTAATTGTTTGATTATTTCAATGTGTGAATATCCATAGATTAAATTGACTTTTTAATAATCATAATCATCACTTTATCATGCACCAACCAAATGACACTTAATAAAGAAGCTTAGAAAGATGCATAAAGCTTCACATATCTGAGCATCATCATTGATGAGCAAAGTGGGCCTGATGCAGATGTGAAGGGTTGGATCGGCAAAACAAAGGGCAGCATTTTTTCAATCGGAGAACTTCTGGAACTCAAAACAACTACCAACCAACACCAAAGTCACAATTTTCAATACAAATGTCAAGACAGTTCTACTGTATGGAGCGAAAACCTGGAAAACTACCAAAACCGTCATTCACAAGATACAAATGTTCATTAACGATTGTCTACACAAAATATTTTGGATTCGCTGGCCAGACACTATCAGTCACAACCCGCTGTGTGAGAGGAAAAACCAGATTCCGTCGGACGAAGAAATCAAGAAGAAGCACTGGGAGTGGATAGGACACACATTAAGGATAGCACACAACTGCGTCACACTTGGAATCCTGAAGGTCAGAAGAGAAGTGGAAAACCACACAACACATTATGCCGAGAATCGGAGGCAGACATGAGAAGACTGAACAGCGATTGTATGGAACTAGAATGGAAGTCCCATGTTTGAGTGGTTTGCAGAATGCTGGTCGGCGGCTTTTGATACATTAGGGGTAACAGGCATAAGTGAGTGCGTAATCATTGCATCATTGTAAGAAGTAAATTAAAAATCGAGAACTTATCTTTTTATTTGTTATTATCGTTTTTAATTTTGTAATTCTAAACCTTTTTTTATCAGTGGACCAATGGAACCTGGCATTATACCACGTGAAGCGTCGGAACGTTTAAGTTTGTTTCAAGCACGTTTCGATGAGTTATGGAGTAAATATCAAACTTATTCAGGCGGTGAAGAATTATTTGGTATGCCGACAACAGATTATCCTGATTTACAAAGAATACGTAAAGAATTGAATTTACTACAGAAATTATATCAATTATATGATTCTGTATTGGATACGGTCAATGGTTATTATGATATACCATGGACTGAAGTCGATATTGATTTAATCAATCAACAATTGTTAGAATTTCAAAATAGGTAAGATATTAATCATACGATGGCTAGTTTAGCTTGATTTATATTCTGATATTAATGCATTGTATTTTCTCGATTAAATTTGTCAATGGACAATATTGATGTATCCAACAGCTTCTCTTAGACTTCTCTGTAATTGAATTGTGTATATATTGACACTGGAACTTAGAATAATAAACCATTATGTTATTGCATTACGCGGTTGTGAAGATTGTTAAGTTACACATTTTTGAAACCATGAACCGATCAATGTTAGACCACCATTAGAAATCTGGAAGCACTGGACGGCCATTTCGTCCTGGTATGGGACTCATCAGCAGTGCGCATCCACGACTACTGCACTCCGCAGGACTCGAACCCAGGACCCCCGGTATTGTGCGCGAACGCCCCAACCGATAGACCACTGAGCCGGCATCCAAAGGTGTTAATGTCTAACTTGATCAAATTCACGGAGTTGCGCAGCTCATACACAGTCTTCGGTAGTTACTGTCTACACCCGAACAGGTTTAACTTCACTGGTCACGTCTTCCCACTAGAACTCGGAGAAGATTCCTCACGAAGCTAGTCACTAGTGAGCTCAGGTAATTATGTTATTGAGAAATAAGAACTGTAATTAGGACTGGTCTAATCCTCATCTTGCTGAAATGAGTTGAAACTGGAGAGTGTATGAATGAATGAATTACTGCGTCTCAAGTATTTATACAGTGGAACAGTGATTAACAAATTGATAGGATAGATAGATAGATAGATGGACAACAAAACGAAGGAATATTGGCAGGACTCACATATAAGGCACTCAAATTAGTCAAACTACTGAGTGTAAGTTAACCAGTAGAACTGAATTAATCCATTTGATAGTCGCATGCTCAATCATGGTTTTCCAAAATGAATGCACAATTATATGCATTTAACAAGTCTATATTAAATATTATAAAATGAAAAAATTGGGTATATTAACCAACATGTTCTATGCTTATGTCATATGATAATATTGTCAAATATGCGAGCAAATGTGCCACTAACTGATCCAACTCAAAGAACTTAAAACCATAAAAAATAAAATATTTCACCTCATATTGCGCAATTTCACCCATTGTCTTCGATAATTACTCCCTAAATTCGAGAAGACTGGACCCTACTAGTCCTGGCTAAAAAATGGTATAGGTGTTCAGTGTTCACGAGCGAGACTGAAGGTCCGAGGTTCAAATTCTGTCAGTGGATACGAGTTGCTGATGAATCCTTTGCCAGTGGTCGTGCTTTCAGGTTTCTGATGCTGGTCCAACGAGGATCATTAATTAAACTCAATAATCTTTAATGAAGAGATATTCTACGTTGAGTTGCCAACATATTTTCTATTGACAACGCATTTACCGTTCCAATTCAAGTCTTTATTGTACAGTGTTTTTACACAAATTTATCTCGAGTCTAATTTGTTTCATTGTGATATTCGATCCCTAATAGATTTCAAGTAAAATAAATGACTGAATAAATAAACCACTATGCAACTTGTAGTGTGTAATAATAAGTCGAGCCAACATGGCTTGTCCCAAATCTTTCTCCCTTGTCAATTAATCGCTTAGAATCTTGGTTGTTTGTATATGAGCACGTATTGTAGTGAACGAGAACACAGGTGGGGCAACCGAATTGTATTTATGCGAAAATTACAGAGTTACTCAGTAAAATTGGAAAACCATATCATAAATCGTTCATTTGCAAATTATCAGTTCATCATATCGAACTGGACTGTTCCTGTTGCAGAACATCAATCCATTGTCACTATTCATGCGTTTCATACAAATTCGATTGTTTTCTAACTGTTCCTTTCTTGATCTTCCCCCATCTTCTGCTGCCAGACATTACGTTGTCACTCACGTCATTTACTACTTATAAGTAGCTCGCACCACAGTATGTGTATTGTTTGCTTCGATTATCACGTGTCTAGCTTACTTTTATATTTGACTATAAATACGTATTCATGCCCTCATCACTTGCCTTCTCCGCCTCACTTTTAACCTCCTCATTCTCGTCTGTTTTCTTTACAAATGTATGGAATAAATTCACTCAAGAAAAATTGTTGTATTGGGCCTTTTATGATTGCCGTCGCACAAACGGAGTTATCCGAAATGTAATACATGGAAAATCAAATGGAAGATTTATTTCATAGCATATTTAACTAACTATTCGTTCATACTGCAGTCAGATGTCGGGACACAAAAAACTCATTTATACATCAGTTTTCACTTCATTCTTGATTTACATGCGCCAAAGCTTTTATTATTTGTATAGTTCTTACTGATTTGTTTTGCAGTGTAGACATAGGTTGGAAGAAAGTTAGGGGCGGCCAAACCAAAACATGGCAGAAATTCATGAAGTCACTGACTAGTGGACTTAGCCATGTCGGTAATTGTCGACTACCTGGTTGGGGTCCGCGAGATGATAATAATCGATGGCTAGAGACCTTGAATGACATGGCTCAAAATCGTTCGCAATAACGCCGGTGCATTTATGCTTTGTGTTCTCTCAAATCCTAATCTTATGGGTTCTTCAACAACTCTAGTTTTGACTTTCTAAACTTTTCTCACTGAATCATACTTCTTGAATAATATCTTCTAATCCTAACCTCTCCGATTACTTCTAATACCTTTACTACCTCTTCTACTATTGGATTTGAATTGACAATTACATCTCTGTGCTAATGTGGTATGGCGATATGAACTGATGTACTTACGTACGAAGTTCTACGTTGCATCTGACTGACTGACTGAGTTCTTACTGAATAAATAAAATTGTTTAGAATTATGATTATGTTTCATTATATTATTATATATATATTGAAGTTTTGCCTTAATTTACTTAGATGTCGAAAACTACCGAAAGCACTTAAAGAATGGCAAGCCTATGCAGAGCTTAGTAAAACAATCGATGATTTCAATGAATCATGTCCATTACTTGAATTGATGGCGAATAAAGCTATGGCTCCTAGACACTGGGAAAGATTAGAGGAATTAACAAAGCATAAATTTGCTGTGGAGTCAGATAATTTTCTGTTGCGTAATATTATGGAGGCACCATTATTAAAATATAAGGAAGATATTGAAGTAAGTGAAATTTTTATCAATCCTTAATATAGAAGATTCTTGTGAATATTTTTTGAGAATAAAATAATATATTATAAGGAAGTTACTCACTCACTTTTCAAAGATGAGTTCATTGCAGCAATGTAGCAATAACTACTACTAACCAGAGAGTAGTACTACAGAGAGAGATTTTAGTCTTTTTTTTCCAAACTTCATAGAATTGTACACATTGATAGATCTTTGTACATGGAACTTATAAAAATCAGACTTTGTATGAATCATAATATTTTAAATGGCTAGAGTTAGCCGAAAGTGTGTTACGGATATGTTCAGTGTATTGCGCAGCCCGACATATTGGGTAATAAACACCAATATTGAACACATTAAGGGTTTAAATAAAATATTTTAGAAAAATTATGCTCCAATATGCAGCACCCATCCATACATGGATGGAAAAGTGGTTGAAGTTGGTGTGTACGGCATATTTAGTGAGCTTGCTAACAATCACGGCATTTTAAACCACTGAACTATGCCTTAGTCTCTCTTATTTTAGTCATGATAGGAAAGAACTAACTATTTTAAAATACTGGATTTTCAATAACTGATGAGCAAGTGATGAGAAAGCCCCCCCACCCACCCAGTGCCTCTAGGTTTCCAATGACTGTCCAACTTTGATTGTCTCTTGACTTCAATGAAAATGTTCGGTGATTTTTCTTTGCGACAGTAAATGCTGATTTCTTGATCATTTAGAGTATATTAAGGTAAAGATTATCGAGTCAATGTGATAGCTGTATTTTTTATCATGATGGAATTTAAAACGTTACTGTGGAGATAGACAGCAATTCTGGCGTTCCTTATTGCAGAAGAACTATTTTAATAATGAATTTCTCCATCTTTTTAATGAGTTAATCATTAAAAGACTTTTCCAAAGCTTTTAATCTCATCGAACTAATCAGAATAAAAGCTGTGTTCAATTACATGCTTAATTCAGTTAAACAATTAACCAGCAAAAATTCTAGTTAAACTAGGCCACTGTTTCATACTAGAGTACATAACGAATATTGTGAGAATAACAGATTTCTGAGTCACATTTGACAGTTTAAAGTTTTACATGTATATTTATGTACATAAGATCCAATCTTATCTCTCTGTTTATAGGATATCTGCATTTCAGCTGTTAAAGAAAAAGACATTGAAGCTAAACTTAAAACTGTTATGAATGATTGGTCAGTTCAATCTTTTCAATTTGCCCAATTCAAAACACGTGGTGAATTATTACTCAAAGGTGATACAATTAATGAAGTTGTTGCTCTAATGGAAGATTCATTAATGCTATTAGGATCACTACTATCAAATCGATATAATGCACCATTTAAACCGAAAATACAAGAATGGGTACAAAAGTTGACTACAACTAGTGAGATTATTGAAAGTTTGTTACAAGTGCAAAATTTATGGGTTTATTTAGAAGCTGTATTTGTTGGTGGTGATATTGCTAAACAATTACCTCAAGTAAGTTGAAATCATTGTCTGCAATTTATTTGATACATTTATGATGCGATGATTTGATACTAATTGTATGAACAAGAATCTGATAATCATTCTTTATTACACCGTTGAATGCCCGGAAGTGAAGCATTTTCGTGCGAGACCGAAGGTCCTGGCTTCAAGTACTGTGAGTACTAGGAGTCTTGGATGCGCACTGCTGATGAGTCCCATACTAGGACGAAACGGCTGTCCAGTGCTTCTTGTGGGTTTCTAATGACGGTTTAACAATCATTGACACTTATGATTGAAATGTAAAACATAGTGAAACCTTTTTCTCGTGATTCTACGTTCTAATACTATACTTATCTATTTTTTTTTTACAAATTATCTGTCCTCCTTTTTTTAGGAAGCTAAACGTTTTGGCAATATTGACAAAAGTTGGCAACGTATTATGCTAAAAGCACATGAAGTACCAAATGTTGTGAATTGTTGTACTGGTGATGAGACATTGAGTCAATTATTGCCACATTTATTAGAACAATTGGAAATATGTCAAAAATCATTAACTGGTTATTTAGAGAAAAAACGTCTAGTATTCCCCAGATTCTTTTTTGTTTCAGATCCAGCTTTATTAGAAATACTTGGTCAAGCATCGGATTCACATACAATTCAAGCACATTTATTAAGTATCTTTGATAATACTAAAACTGTTACATTTGATGATAAAGTTTATGATAAAATGATAGCTATCAATTCACAAGAAGGCGAATCTATACCATTAGTTAATCCAGTAATGGCACAAGTAAGTTTCCTATATGTGTGTTAGTAGTTTATACTGATGTTGTAGTCAAGTTACACTTTACAGAATAGTTTAACTTGATAAGATATTGTTTCTACTATCATTATTTACTTATAAAATACTTAGATTATTGTATTTTTCAGGTTTTTACTGTTGTTTATATGTTAAACCTTTTTTGAGTTACTGACAGATTACTTAATTATACTTATGCCTGTTATCCTCAATTGAGCATAGGCGGCTGACCAACATTATCCAACCTACTTTGTCATGGGCCTTCATTGCCAGTTTCACTCAATCACTATTCATTCTTTTCATGTCTGTCTCTGATTCTCGACGTATATGTTCTTTGGTCTTCCGCTTTCCATTTGGCCTTCAGAATTCCAAGTGAGGGTTTGTCTTGTGATGCAGCTGGGTGATTGCCTCAATATGTGTCCTATTCACCTCCAGAGCTTCGTCCTGGTTTCTTCATCTGATGGAATCTGGTTTGTTCTCCCGTACACTAGGTGGTTGCTGTTGTTGTCTGGCCAGCGGATCCTCTACCGCTAATTACTCATTTTTCCACCATTTATGGCATAGTTAGGCAGCTATTTTGCAGTACCTAATTGTGTCGATGAGCAGTCAGAATATCACTTTATAAGTTTGGATCATGATTGAAGTTAGTAAAACAGTGAAATGGTTTGCTCTCTACCCTCACCTCTGGATTAATCATTGAGTTAGAAGGAGATCGAGGACGAATAGGCATTGACATCTTGGTTATCATCCATTAGTCGATGTATTAATTAGCAAATAGAAGTCCTTGAATCCAACTGGCAATATAGGTAAGCTGATCGATAATCAGGTCAGACAAAATGATCATAAAACTGCTATTTTGTGTCATTACCGCCCTATCACATGAGATCCAGTGCAATCTAAACCGAGGAAACAAAGTGTTATTATTTTTTCGCGATTAAACATGGTGTAAAACTATATTAATCTATTCCAAGTTTGCCCAGTAATATCACTTCCCCCCCCCCCCCAATAAGTCACAGATTTCGCATTTGCAAGTCATTTAGTATTCCAAGAATGATTGGGATTCAAGATTTCGTGTCATACATAGTCAATACTTTGTAAATAATGCATTTACAGTATTTATATAAGTATATGCTTAAGACAAGATATTATTTGTGTGAGTTTTTGTCTACTGACTCTATTGAAGAAGAAAACTATGTGAATTACTGACACTCAAACAGAATGTATTATCCACTATATTAACTAGTTCAGACGCTCATATATTAAAGCATGTAACAAAAGGCTATATCGAAACAATCTTCTTAGGGTACGCATATATCGAATGAAACTCATTACAAATCATTTCAGAATATTACTGTGGAAATAATCGTAGGTTACTTTGTTAGGAAACGAGTAATAGGTAAGGATGGCAGATCAATAGAGGAAATATTCAAACTTCATCAGTTGAAATGGTTGGGACGTGTGTTACGTTTGCCAGACGAGCGATGTTTTGTGGTGTAGGGGAGTAGGTTGTAAGAAAACCAGCGGTGGCCAAACCAAAACCAGGCACAAATCCATGAAGTCACTTACAACTGGTTTGAGTAATGTTTGCAGATGTAGGCTATCTAGTTGGGGTCCGCAAGATGATAGTAATCGACGGTCGTAAATTTGAATGACATGGCTCAAAACCGTTTGCAATGGCTCAGGTGCATCCATTCTTCGCGTTCTGTTGAATTTTTAATCTTATGAATTCCTCAACACTTTCACTGGAGGATACTTTTTGAATAAATTCTTCGAAACCTAATCTCTCCGATTTCCGCTAATACTTCTACTATGGGATTTGGATTGACATTTGCGTTTCTGTGTTAATATGGTATGGCAACTTGAACTGATGTACGTACGTACGAAGTTCTACTTTTTAACTGGTTGAGTGACTGATTACCACTGAAATAATTCGAAATACTACGAATAGAGCGAACTTGTTCCATCTTGAATTACTGTTCATGGTTAGCGTTTTTTTAGCGAGTTACTTTTCTACTGGATAGGGTAGCTAACCCCCATGCCCAACCCTCCTCCTTAATCAGTGCTTGGGACTGGCAATAACCCGATAGAGGTTCTAAGCAGAGTTTAACTTACTCCTAGATGTATGCAAATAACAAATTATCAATCAGTCAGTTTGTCAAACAAACAAAATAATTATTTTCAGATTGGGATATTTTGTCGATATAGTTAACGTTCCATAAAAAAAATTGCGGAAACCAATAACTTTAAAAACTAAGTAGTCATGACTACCAACTTTTATTAGGAGCAAGTAACACTAAATCTTTCAATCGTGAATTTATTGATGGAAACTATTAAGAAACGAAGAACTATTGTGTTATATAAATGATGATAATAATAACTTCATATACAGAACAAACCGAATTGTGACTAACAGAGGAGTTTCTTTCTATTCGGAGCATGCCAACTGGATATATCTTCAATCCGGAGTTAGTTTCCAATCCATGATACCAACTCGGTACCTTTCACTACAAACGCTAACAAGTTCGTCATCCATTTAGCTTCTCAGTTCAATCAATCCTTTCCTAATAATAACAAGTTCGAATTTTGTTTTCATTTAAAGACGGATCAAATTTCATGTGAACTTTTTTCTATACCTTGATCATTTAAATAATGACTGCAAATTAAATTAGATTAAATTACTTTTTACGTGTTACATAATTATCATTGTTTGAACATAGTTAACTTGATATTATTTAGGGTAATGTTGAAGTATGGCTTGGTGAATTATTGCAAACTTCCAGAAATTCACTTCATTCAATTATTAGAGCAGCATATTCTGCAATCAATGAACAACAATTTAATTTATTGGAATTTGAACATTCTAATCCAGCACAAGTCGGTCTACTCGGTATACAAATGTTATGGACAAGAGATGCACAAGAAGCATTAAAACAAGCTAAAGAAGATCGAAAAATTATGAATACAACAAATCAATTGTTTTTAGTAATGTTAAATGAATTAATTGGTGTTACAACACAAGAATTATCTAAAATTGATCGTACCAAATTTGAAACATTAATTACAATACATGTACATCAAAGAGACATTTTCAATGATCTTGTAAGTTATTATCTTGTTCTGTTATTCTGATTGATTATACATGAACTAACATTGAATATATTGATTGCTGTTAGAAAACCTTACTTACATCAAGTTAAACAATGTACAGATAATAATATACAATGATACTGTTTTTTTCCAATCTTTATCGATGAACTTTATGTGTTGAAATCTAAGATTTCTATATTTTGATTGTAATTAAACTGTCATAAACTACTATAGCCTGTTAAAATATTCAATGTAAGATTGTTGTTGGCGGGCATAGTGTTACAATAAAACAAATCGAATTAAAACACAAGTATACACTTTTTTATATTGTCAGTAAACTAATCTACTGTTAAAGAAAACAGCATAAAAATGTCAGAATATATTTTTGCATTATAAAGTACTGGAGATTGTTGTTTATTACTCAGTTCATGAATCAATTATCGTTGGACCACCACTATAAACCTGCAAGAACCGGACGACTGTTTCGTCCCCTGGTATGGGACTCATCAGCAGTGCTCATCCATGAGTCCAAGACCTTCAGTCTTGCGCGCGAACGCATAACCTCTGAACCACTGAGCCTGCACCCAACGTTATTAACAATTAACTTTGATTGATCTAGGGATTTTGTGCAACCTCACCCATTGTCTTCAGTAGTTACGGCCTACACTAGAACTCCCAGAATTCCCTCACCAATCTAGTCACTAGTAAGCACATCTTTGATTTTTGCATTAAAGAATTGTGGATACTGTTGTTTGTTACTGAATTCATGAATCAGGAGTCGTGGATGCACACTAGTGACGAATCTAATACCAGGACGAAACGGTCGTCAAGTGGTTCAATGTTTCTAATGTTGGTCTAACAATGACTGATCCATTAATTGAGTTGTAGAGTAAGTATATTTGATAACATAATTATTTCAGGATTTCTGTCAGATAAAATCTTGGACAATCAGTCAGTCAACAAAAACGTAGAACTTCTTACGCACGTGCATCAATACAAATTGCCATATTACATTAGCACAGAGACGAAATTGTCTCTTCAAATCCCATATTAGTAGAGGTAGTCGAAGTATTAGCAGTAATCGGATCGATTAGGATTAGGGGATATTATCCAAGAAGTAAAATCTAGTGAAAGAAACGTCATAAAGAAAAGATAAGGGTGATGAGGAACTCTGAAGATTAAGATTCGAGGAAACATAAAGAATGAATAGACCGGCACAACACTTTCTTCTAATCTGCGAATAATTTCATTTCTTTCATCTTGATTGACAGAAATGGTATCAAGTTTTTTGCTTCAGCATCGTACCAGATGTATCAGCAAAAAGATTTCGCAAACTACGAAAATTATTTGTTTACAATTCTTGGTCAATAATCATCAATCATCTTAACAATGTATTAGATAAACTATACTCTTTTTTTTCGCACTTTTCCTCCATAGGTTACAATGCGTATCAAATCCCCTAAAGATTTTGAATGGTTGAAACAATCAAGATTTTATTTTAATGATGAAAATGATCAATGCATCGTTAGCATTACCGATGTAAACTTTATTTATCAAAATGAATTTCTCGGTTGTACAGATCGATTGGTTATAACTCCGTTAACCGATAGGTATGATGAATAGTTAGTTCCTAACATATATGATCAGCGAATTAAAAAAACTATGATACACTTTTTTAAAACTGATGTACTCTTCTTTAGGTACGCTTAAATTTATTACAGGTTCACCTTAGTCGAATAACCAGAACAAAACAATGAACCAGCGTCCAGGTAGGCTAATGTGATCCAATTGTCCCAAATGTACCAGCAAGAAGTCTTGATATAGCATAGAAAGTCTATTCTACAAACACCCAACCAGCACACAAATTGCGTTTATTTATACTCCACAGAGACGTCTTTGGGACAATCACAAAATAGCACACTAAAACAACACAGTAACCAATCACAGCCAAGGATTTTCCTGGTGGGAAATGTGATCTCAAGGTCAACTGATCGGTCCATGAAATAAGTCCGAAATAAAGATATTTAGCAAGCAAGTTCTGGGGATCTAACACCCCCAACAAAAACTATTAAAATTGACAAAAACGAGACTTCAATTTTATAGACGTACAAATCCGATTTAACATATCAAGTTTTCATCCATATGGCTAAATAGCATTTCGGTATTATGACTGCGAATACACTTCAACGTCTTAATCATATAACTTATCACACTAATTTATCATCATCTGTAAACTCATAGCTGAATAGTTCTCAAAATCATTTTATTATCTCGGATTAAAATATCGTCCATAAATTATAATCTGACTGGTAATATTTCTGAAACTTTCTTTGAAAACAAATGTTGAATAGATATATAATATCTGGTAAGGATAGAGTTGCATGTTTTTACTTCTTGTGAAAACTCTGTCTTACTTACTCACTTACTTACTTACGCCTGTCACCCTTAATGGAGCATTGGCCGCTGACCAGTATTCTCCAACCTACTCTGTCCTGGGCTTCCCTTTCCAGTTCTGTCCAATTTTCGTTCATTCTTCTCATATCTTTCTCTATTTCTCGACAGAATGTGTTCCTTAGCCTTCCTCTTTTCCTTTTACCTTGAGGGTTCCAAGTAAGGGTTTGTCTTGTGACGCAGTTGGGTGATGTCCTCAATGTGTGTCCTATCCACTTCCACCACTTCTTCTTGAATTCTTCCTGCACTGGAACCTGGTGTGTTTTCTCCCATAGTAGGTTGTTGTTTTTGATGTCTGGCCAACGGACTCATATTATTTTGCGCAGACAATTGTTAATGAGTACTTGAATCTTCTGGATGACAGCTTTCGTAGTTCTCCAAGTTTCCGCTCTATATAGTAGATCTGTATTGACATTTGTATTGAAAATTCTGATTTTAGTGTTTGTTGAGAGTTGTTTTGAGTTCTAGATATTCTTCGATTATAGAAATACAACCCTTGTTTTGCCGATCCGTACCTTTACATCTTCATTCGATCCATCTTGATTGTCGATGATATTGATAACGTGCTCCCCTTTTTAATTTTCATGATATATTTTTATAGGTCTCAAACCTCAACGTTGAGTTTGACAATTAACATTGTTCTTTAATAAGTCCTATTTTCAGTGTTTTTCCATATTAGCGTAGCATTGTAGGCATCTTTCAGTAAAGATATTTAAATCCTTGATTGCTACAGTAATTAGAAGATCTTAAGTTCTGAGAATTAGTTGACAGGAAATAGTGAACCTAGATCCTCCTATACTAATTGGCACTTGTTAGTTAGCAAGCATATTTGTAATCAGTAGTGCGCTAATGCTACCTTTGGGGTTCGAACCCAAACCACCCAGATATAAAGCTTGGAACTTTATTTTTAACTTATTTTGGGTTTGAATGGTCTTCTTTTAAAAATATAGTTTCCTTCACCTAATGCATACTAAAAACTATCGAATTCTGTTTTGCATTCGTTTTTCAAACTTAATCCAATTTTTTTCCAAAATTTCTCTTTTTTTGGGTGGCGGTGATGGCGGACATATAGATGTTACATTACTTTATCTCAAGCACTTGGTATGTCACTTGGCGGTGCACCAGCTGGACCGGCCGGTACTGGGAAAACCGAGACAACTAAAGATATGGGTCGTTGTCTTGGTAAATACGTTGTCGTATTCAATTGTTCCGATCAAATGGATTATCGTGGTTTAGGCAGAATTTACAAAGGCTTAGCACAATCTGGAGCATGGGGTTGTTTCGACGAGTTCAATCGTATTGAATTACCTGTTCTTTCTGTAGCTGCACAACAAATTGCTATTGTGTTGACGTGTAAAAAGGAAAAAAAACCACAATTTATATTTACTGACGGTGATACAGTTGATATGGATCCAGAATTTGGAATATTTTTAACTATGGTTAGTTGATAATAATATTAACCTTATTATCTAAAAAGAAAATTGTGGAGTTTTTTTTAATTTTTTTCTTGAAAACACATTTAACTTCAATATATATTCACTGTATCTTAACTTATTCATCAATGTAAACTTGGCTATACATTGAATCACAAAGCTGAGTGACAGAATCCCGTCAACCTGATGATTAACTAAATGGTGTGACAATTATTTTGTCATCAAGTGATCAATAATTACGGTCACTTTCTTACTTAAAAAAATTAAGTTTGCCAATGTTAATAAACTAGTAGCACTTCGAAAGCCATGGACCGCTCTCTATTAAGAGTACTCAAATCAGAAAAAGTGTCTAGTCAACGAGACCAGACTTCAGAACTCATCTACATTATTGTTGTTTGAATAAAATCGTATTCATTTGTATAGTTCAACAGTTCAATCTCTTGAATATGTAACACAAACATTAATCGCACAAGAACATTTAAAGCTATTAGATTTTGAATAAAGAGTGAACTACAAAAAATATAATTTTATTGTTGCTTTGATCGATAATTATTAAAAGGATTTACAGATTACATCCAATAAATCAAAGGATCTTAAATACCAGATTTTTATTAAAATATGTTCTCAATAGAATGGTATCTATGACATTTACGTTTGTAATCCAAGTCGATTGTCTTTTTGTTTAATTAAAAACTAGTCATTTTTTAAATCGTCTACTGATGTTTTAACTATTCGTCTACCTTGATTTGTGTCACGAATTGACTATTATGCTGCAGTCTGTTTGATCAGTCTTGCTTACATTATGGGCACCCTGTAAGGATTGCTTCAATGTAGCCATTTCCAGTTCTATATTGAAGAAAATCAGCGTAATGCCCTGAACCTTGGTTTCATGTAGGTTGGTAATATGGATAGTTTTGAGGAAACTCATGATCCATGTACCGTTTGGACCTACTATATCATCTGTACGTACTTATCGAATTTATCCTCGACCTAATAAGAAAGCGAGAGAAAACTCTCACAATTCTGAACAAATTTATACCATCATTTTACTGTTTATACAATAATTTTATCTAGAATCCTGGTTATGCTGGTCGTCAAGAACTACCGGAAAATTTGAAAATCAACTTCCGTACAGTCGCTATGATGGTACCAGATCGAGCAATTATTATGCGTGTGAAATTAGCTGCTTGTGGATTTTTAAATAATGTAGACTTATCAAAGAAATTCTACACACTTTATAAGTTATGCGAAGAACAATTATCAAAACAAGTAAGTGATTGTCTGATTCAAGTTGAAATGATTAGTTTTCTAAAATTTCACAATATATGAATGAGATTTGTATGTTTATTAAACAATGCTAAAAATGATAGTTTGACTTGTTTACAAACAATTTTTCATACATTTTACCTCAAGCTGATTGTGAATCTCGGCATATTATGGAAAACCAAAGTTAAAAAATCAATGTAATATTAATATTGAGTCTATCGACATGATTACACGAAAATATATTAGCTGTTCATATCTGAAAATCTAGTTTCATTCATAAAAATAAGATTGAAATTTTGATATTTAGCGTTTAGTTTTTTTAAAAAAAAACTGGTTACAGATTTTGCTAACCAACATGATATGATCATCAATTCATATGTTTGAATGCTATTACGAGTCCACCTTATTCGGCAAACGGAATGAAGGTCAACGATATGGTGACATGATAGGCTATTCTGATCCGATTGTCCCCGACTCTGCTAACTAAAGCAGGAAGGCTTGATAAGGCGGTGGGAATGTATTCTACAAGCACCCAGAAAATACAAGGTTGACAAGCGCACAAAACAAGCTTATATGATAGAAACGCCCTTTAGAGAGCCACAAAATAGCGTACTAAAAAAATCGATGACAGTCAAGGATTTTCCTAGTGAGAAATGTGAGCTATAGGTCAACTAAGCGTCTCTTGGCGCGAAAACATAGAAATTCAAAATTTCATAAATCATTACAGACTTAGGACCTTTTCCAAGTGAGTTCTGGGGATCTAACGTCCCTAACACAACATGAACATTGTTCAATCATCCGCGTGTCTCTCTTCTTGTTTTATTACTGAACAGTCGTAACTCAAAATGAAGTTGACACAAGTGAATTATGTTCTCTGCACTTTAAGAACTGAATCATTAACACATTGTTGTCAAAGCAAATAACCTAATTTTATAAACTGATGACGAATATAAATTTATTTAAAAATCATTAGAGGTATTTGTTATATATTTCAAGCAATATCTAATCCTTTCAGCGCCGAAGTTAGCGTACGATATCAAAAACTGAAATAATTGTTTAAATCTGTCAAACAAATGGTTGAATACTGTTACGTTTTCGCACATGTCAGTATAATAAGTTCATTAACCGTACATTTTTTATCATATGACAAAGTAATTTCTTAAAACGTAACTGTATTTACAGCTAGCTATGTTACATATATTCCGCAGTACCGATGTAGGCAAATGTCGCATTATTTACAAACGCATTAGAAATTAATCAAATAAGCCATAATTACTCGTTAGTCGAATGAGTAATAAGAGTCTAACTAACCTGTATTAGAGTTGAACGTAATCACCTAACCCATACAAAGGTTGATACATATTCAATCTAGTTAACCATTTGGCAAAAAGACAGTGTTATTTTTTTAGGTCATGGTAATTCGCTAATGTATTGTATTTACGTGTATATCCTGATACCTGTGTGAATGAGTATATATAAGTGAAAGCCTATAACAGTCTATGCATTTGAATTCTCTTACTGGCTTAAATGTTGACTGACCAGACGCTTGATGACTCATATCTACTGGTTAAGCAACATTTATTGATTTTCCATTTGCTTCGTTGTGTACTGATCAAATGATTTGGGCTGTTTGTCGAAATATTATGCTTTGATCATTTCGTTTCGGCCTATGGAAATTATACACCATAAGAAAATTACGACATCAACAGTTATCCAGTTGAATGATATACAAAGTATATTAATGATCCTAAGTGAGGAAATAGAAGGTACCATTAAATAAATGAAAAAAAATATCAGTAAAAATAAACTACAAACGTTGTGTTAAGAAGTAAATGCCCTGAAGTCCTCTGTTACGTAAATATTTCTTATCCAACTACCCTTATAACCAGTTCTTTTGACTGGATGAACAATCGTCAATCACCATTACGATAATGATTAGATGATCAGAATTGACGAGATGTTCAAACAATAAAACTACTAACTGATTACTTTTTTCTCTCTTATTAATTCATAGGTTCATTATGATTTTGGTTTAAGAAATATTTTATCAGTTCTTCGTACACTTGGTGCATTTAAACGTGCTAATCCACAAGATTCCGAAACAATGATTGTTATGCGTGTATTACGTGATATGAATTTAAGTAAATTAGTTGATGAAGATGAACCATTATTTATGTCATTAATTATGGATTTATTCCCTGGATTGCAATTGGATAAAAAAGGTTATCCTGATGTGGAAGCTTCATTACAGAAACAAGTAAGTTCAACTTGTCATTCGTAAAGGAATTGTAGTATCTTCAGAAGTAATCAATAAATGAAGTAGATTTGTAGACATTCTATCAAACAATGCTGATTCGCGATAGTTAGAAGTAAAGTTACGTAGTAAAAGTAATGCTCACGCTACTATTAATCATTTTGAATTCAGTGTCAAAATTAGGGATCTAAAATTCTGTATCGATATTTTAATAAATGTTACCTATTCGTCACATCGTACCATAGATTACTGATGACATCAGTTAAACATTCTATCCTTTTCATACAGTTATTATCACATTACCAGTGTCTTGTAAAAACCATACACGAGAGACTACAAGTGGTTAGTGCCATAACTTGAGACACTAATTCACCTACTAGAATTACGGTTTTTTCCACCCCACGTAAACTCTTCGTTGATAGAATACGTCTGAACTGACACAGGCTAATTTCCCATTGGTCAGTTATCCGCAAACTTTTTCCTGTCTTTTGACTTCAGTCCAAAGATAAGTCAACAGCCAGCTTCTACTTTACATATTTCAAGAACACATAGGTTCTTTTGACAATATACTAGATCACATTACACCGTAAAATAAAAGTTCCAAATCATACTAATGAAGTCAAAAGTGGCTGCGAATAATTGGTCAACAGGGGTTAAACGAAAGTTTATGATAAACAGAATTTATAAATTTATAAACTACTGTAATAATAATAATCTAAAAATAGTTTCGGAACTACCATCTCTTCAATTTTCTTCCTCATACATCCAGTTTATAAAAGATAAAACTGGATCATTGTCTCATAATTGTATATATGGTCAGTCAAATTCTTCATTTATTTAAACTTGAATAAATGGAGCAGACAGATACCCATAAATCATTACTGTATACAAAGTTAATATGTAGTGAAGGAAAACACAGGTGGAGCAACCGGATTGTACTTAACGAAAATTACAGAGTTACTTAGTAAATTCGGAAAACCATATCGTAAATCGTTCATTTGCAAAATATCAGTTCATCATATCGAACTGGACTGTTCCTGTTGCAAAACATCAATCCATTGTCACTATTCATGTGTTCCATACAAATTCCATTGTGTTCCCACTCTTCCTTTCTTGATCTTCCCCGATGTTCTGCTGCCAGACATTACGTTGACACTCACGTCATATACTACTTATAAGTAGCTCGCACCACAAATATATGAATAAAATGAAATAAGCGTTGAGTTAATATTTATTTCAGACATTTATTTCAAGCATTGGATTAAGTTGAATTTCAGTCGTCAAGATTATTTAGAATACAGATTTTGACAACAAATCTATTCTATACATTTTTGGTTTCTAATTTCTGTTAGATTATTTGTTCAAATATTAGCAAGAATCCAATGTAAAATTGTTCCCTTTTTATTTTATTCAATATGATAATTTTCAGATTGATCAACTTGGTCTTGTTTATCATCCACCATGGGTATTAAAATGTATTCAACTGTATGAAACATTACGAGTTAGACATGGTGTAATGACACTTGGTCCTTCAGGTGCTGGTAAAACTAAATGTATCAATTCTCTAATGAAAACAATGACTGACATTGGTAATCCACACAGAGAGATGCGTATGAATCCAAAAGCTATTACTGCACCACAAATGTTCGGTAGATTAGATGTAGCTACAAATGACTGGACCGATGGTATTTTTTCCACTCTATGGAGACGTACACATAAAGTTAAAAAAGGTGAACATATTTGGCTAATATTAGATGGACCAGTTGATGCTATTTGGATTGAAAATTTAAACTCTGTACTAGATGATAATAAAACACTGACATTGGCCAATGGTGATCGAATACCAATGGCACCGACAGCGAAAATTCTCTTTGAAGTACATAATATCGATAATGCATCACCAGCTACAGTATCAAGAAATGGAATGATTTTTATGTCAAGTTCCATCATGACATGGGAACCTATTCTAACAGGTGAGATTATTTTCAATATAAAAGAAAATGTCATTGAAATAATGCATGAATTTATTTCTCATTGACTAAATAAGCATAACAAACAAGTAAGGCGATTTCGAAATTTGATTGAATAAATGTACGTAAAGAAAATCTCTAAAAAGTTTCACAATAAACCAGTTTTCTTTTATGAATTCAGATGAATTCTAAGCTTATTCTATTGGATTTTCACTAGTAATCAGTTGTATAGTGTAAATATCTATCCCACAGTAAAACTTTATCGAAGCTTTTAACTAGATGATTAACTGATGCAGAAAAACCAACAGTTAAAAATTATTATTACGAAAAAAAATACTTGGCATACATTGCAAACTTCGATTTACGAAATGTCTATGTTATCTATCGAGTTTATCTGAAATTGTAGCGAACATGCTTCCTGAAATGGATTTATGGGGTTGTTTACGGTAATATACGATAAGTTGTATGACAGTTAGTGACGACTGTATAGAAATTATAATGGTTGACACTATTAAAATGAGAAGAAAAAGCATTAAAATATGGGAACAGTTGCAATGAAGCAGATATTCAATGAGTAGTAGACCAGGGTTGGAAACAACAGCTATAAATTCAAGACAGAAGTAGGCACACTAACAGATAAACTGCATGTTACAGGCTTATATAAATGCTTAGAAATGTTACACAGATATACACGGATGTGCTTTACCATCTGCTCAAAAATTTGTTAGAATTAAAACTGGCTAACCTTAGCCTTTGGCTAGTTTGCGTTTAGCCAGAATATATACCACATGTGCTGGGCGTGTCTGTGGAGCAGCGTGTAAGGTTATCTGGAAGAGGAAAGAACAAAAGAAACAGGTAGGTCGACGACTCAGTAAGCACACAGAATGTACTTACATTTATCAAAGAAACCAATAGACAGCAACCAGATGAACTGAACCTAGAAGTTACATGGCTCCTCCTGATGGCAAAGCACTATCTATCCTCAGTGCTTCCGGGACCTGTATTTCTGTGAGGCTAATGAGTTATATCCAGTAGAATAACCGCTATGTTAAGTTACATGGAGTGAGATAGTTGTTGTATGATACGCTTGATTGGTGGACCATATCCATTATTTTGAATTTATTATTTACCAAAGATTGAAATTAACTGGCGAACCGAACGCAACTGAATGGGTATGACTTGTTTTTTTTGGGGGGTTCTCCGGCACTGTTTACCAAACAGCTCAAACTAAATGGAAACCTAACTAGCACTCCTAGACAACGTAAATTAACATTTCGACCTACTTTTAACACCACAACAAGTATGAAGTGGGTTAAATTAGGATAAAATATTTTCTGTAAGAAGAAAGAATAATAATCAATAACTAGATTCTGAGAAATTTTTGAAACTGGAAGTTTGCCGAAACTTGAAGTTCTGATACTGAAATTTAATTGATGAATTGGTGATTGTGTTTGGATTTTAGAGTATGTGCTGTAGATGAGAAAGTTCAAGATTATCTTAAAATGTAATCTCCGTGAATTACTTCTCTTTTTTTTTGCTGCTTACTCAATAGGATGGCTAAGAACTCGTTCACCAACTGTAACAGAGCCAATATTTAACACATTCAAAGGATTTTTCGAAGATGCTTATCGTTATGTAACACAGAATTTAGAACCAAAAATGGAGGTAAGTGTAAAATGAGATTTCAATTTGTAATGTTCTGAAGTAAATGTCTCAATAATTTATTAGTCAATATAAGTATGCTTAATCTAATCCTGTTTTAATGGTTACTTGTATAAAGGTGTAGATATTGTTTTGTGAATGTACCTTTTACTATCGTCTTAATATTGTTGTAACTTTATTTCAAAACTATAACTCAGTTCCTTTCAGGAATTTTTTTAATCTAAAATTACTCTGTTAATTTTAGATCTTAGATTGAGTTTTGTGTAGTTTCATTAATAACTGTCAAAGCTTTTTATTGGAAACTTGTGAAGATTTCTGAGTTTCACTGAAGTCATGAGTTGACCATTGTTAGAAACCTGGAAGCACTAAAGGGTCATTTCATCCTAGTATGGGACTCATCACCAGTGACGTTGGGCAATACCTTGGATTGATTAAAGTTAGACATTCATATCGTTCACTGCCGTCTCTGTGGTCTGGAGTCTAAGCACTCGAGCGCGAAACCGAATGTCCTGTGTTTAATTCCCGCAAGCGGAGATCGTGGATGCTTCCGGGTTCCTAATCATGGTCTAACAATGATCGTTTCATGACTTCAATAAAACTATCAGTGTTGAAAAAAATAAAATGGAAGAATTATCAATTTCACTGTTTTCACTTTTACTAATGATGCGAATCATCATTTTTAAATATACAACAAGTTTGTATCCTTTTTTAAAAATTTATTTGATAGATTTTACAATGTAATTATATTCGGCAAGCAATTGTTCTACTTGAAGGTCTACTTCAAGGATTAGAAGAGAAAGACATTAAAAAAATCCATATGGATCGATTAATTGCATTTTCAGCAATGTGGTCGTTGGGCGCTCTTTTGGAATTAAGTGATCGTTTAAAATTACAACAATTTCTAATACAAAATGGAAAGTTACCATTGCCAGTATGTGGTGCAGAGGATACAATATTTGAATATATGGTTGATGATCAAGGTGAATGGGCCCATTGGGAGACTAAAGTACCACACTACGTCTATCCACATGATCAAACACCGGAATATACTGGAATTCTAGTTCCAAATGTTGATAATACAAGAACAGATTTCTTACTTGACTTAATAGCAAAACAATATAAACCAGTGATGCTGATAGGTGAACAGGTGAGTTTAGACTGATGATCGATTTTGCTTTGAACTGCACTTTTGAAAATTGCTAGTTTCTGGTCTGTGTGTGATATATTGACGAAAGTTATCAAATAAGAGAACCACATTGAGCCAACCAAGTATCTCCTAAAATGACAAATATAAGTTATTGGCCAAGAAATTTTTATTTTTTTTAGGGAAGACGTTTGTATTTACAGGTAATTTTGCATGTGATTCGGTCTAGTCCAATCCACATACTCTTTAACTCAATAAAACCATGTGTAGTTCAAGTTGAACTACTGTAACTTCATAAATGATAACTTTGTTTGCGAAACAGCAAACTTTAGATTTGACATACGTCTGATGAAGTTAAATGGCAAAGATGAGCTCACTGTCGAATTTTTGAGCTGTGCACTAGTTGTGTCACTCTGCTGAAATAGTTCAAAGAATCTTTTGATCACTTAAAGATAACTGACTATAGTAAATGCATAACCAAACCGCTGAGAGATGACAACAGGCTGTAATAATATGGTAAGTTATCATTACGTGTACCTGAACAAGTGTAGATAAATCAATGTTTTGAATTCTAATAAGTTATGAAATCTGACCCTTGAAATCCTCTTGCATCACTTAACCTAACCGCCCATCGTCTATTTTAATGTAGGCTATTAGCTAGGGTAATAACAGCCAGCATGAAGTATCAACATAAGACGTAGTATCAGCTGATAAAGTTATCCAATCAATTAAGTTTCTTCATCATCATTCATTGGGACTGAAGAGATCGATAGTTAGTGACTGTGACGCAATTCAAATTTATTCTTGCTCCATTTATGTCATTTTCTATATGCTGCTCATTTGTGTGTAAGTTCATAATCGGTTTGAAGATTTTACCATGGTTTATTCAAACATAACAAAACTCAACCCTAAGAGAGTCATTTTGGTAAAATATTAGAGAGTCAACCATAATCAGTGAAAATACTTTTTGGTTTTTGCACGAAGTTGAACAAACAAATGGCTTTTATCGAGAACCGATCAACTCCACGTTATCAAGTCATCCATAATTCGTGACATTCCATCACACTGAATCATCAAACGCTGTTACAACACCAATAAACCAGAGAAAAATCACACAGGATCAAAAATGGCGGCCATCATGGATTAATATAGTGAACATGATTCGTGTTTCATGCTGATTAGTTTCCAGGTATTTATTTGTAATAGTGAACGACAGTGGAGTTTAACCCCAGTCCTTTTTATCTCATATTTCCTTAAAACAGACGACAGAAATACCTTTGTGTTTTGTTCAGAACGTTCAAAAAGCTAACGAAAAATTAACCTTGCTGTCATAGAAAAAAAAACTTATCAAATGCTTCATTCTTTCCACACAGATTGGCATATAAAACACAAATCAATCTCATTCCAAAGCACTAATTTAACAAATACCCTAACTCTAACCAGGAATAATATAACGACTCCTATAAGCCTATTTTCAGTCCTTGCCATGGCTCGAAAAGACGATTCTTGTGTACGAATTTGTGTGCCTTTGCTTTCACAATCTAGAGATAGAATAAAATGTAAAAGATTTGAATAGAAGATGATTGTTTACTTTTTCATAAACTGTTCAACTCACAAAAATTACTTTCTTAATATCAAAAACTTGAGTGAAATTCTTTATAGTTGGTTGTTCTAGTCTCATATGTATGCTATATGCTAGACGCTTATTTTATTGACTGCTTTTTAGGGTACAGCAAAAACGGTTATTATCAAAGGTTATTGTGGTAAATACAATCCAGAAGAGCATACATTTAAATCGGTCAACTTTTCAAGTGCCACTACACCGAATATGTTTCAACGTACTGTGGAAAGTTATGTTGATAAACGTATGGGTAGTACATTTGGACCACCAGCTGGAAAGAAAATGACAATATTCATTGATGATATTAATATGCCAGTTATTAATGAATGGGGTGATCAGATAACTAATGAAATTACTAGACAATTGATAGAAATGTCTGGTTTTTATAATTTAGACAAACCTGGTGATTTTACAACAATAATTGATATTCAGGTATTAATTTTATCTGCAATAAAAATTGACTTTTTCTTTCTTTTACATCTGTTGTTTTTTAAAGAAGAAACATGAGTAACCGAAAAGTTATTTTAAACGTAAGACGATAACTTACTTTGTATATTTTAATGATCATCTAATCGACACAGAGTACATGGAAAAGAAAATGATCCAGAATTAATTATTTATAAGCTAATTTATTCCGATCAACGTCAATTTTATTAGACCGTATGAATAAATTTGTCGAAATGAAGATTTCTGATATTTTTGAATGAATGATGTAATTATACTGTTTTCTTTTACAAAGTGTAGATGAATTTTTGCGTTTCTCATGCAAGTTAAAGAAAATTAACCTGATTTGTATGGATAATTGCACAGCCCATGTTAACCTATATACACTTTAATTTTCCTGATACACCTCGTGTTATTGATGAGAGAAATGTATTACTCCAAATACTTAATAGAAATTAAATATGGTTAAGCTGTAGTGAACGAGAACACAGGTGGGGCAACCGAATTGTATTTAACGAAAATTACAGAGTTACTCAGTAAAATCAGAAAACCATATCGTAAATCGTTCATTTGCAAAATATCAGTTCATCATATCGAACTGGACTGTTCCTGTTGCCAAACATCAATCCATTGTCACTATTCATGCGTTTCATACAAATTCCATTGTGTTCTAACTCTTCCTTTCTTGATCTTCCCCCATGTTCTGCTGCCAGACATTACGTTGACACTCACGTCATATACTACTTATAGGTAGCTCGCATCACACTACAATGATTTTCATTTTATTCAAATTTAGGACTTATACATTGTTTAAGACAGTTTGATGAAACAATGGTGACCTACAAGAGACGAGTACTCTTACTCAGTTTTCCTAAACGAATAAAATTTTCTAACTGAACACCTTATGTCCAGTTGAAGAAATCATTGTATTGCTTTCACGTTGAAATCATGAATCAATCACAGTAGGACCACTACCTGGCAGCACTGAATGGCCATTTAGTCTTGGTACGGGACTCATAGGCAGTGCGCATTCACGACTCCCGCTATTCACAAGAATCGAACTCAGGGCCTTCAGCCTTACACCCGAACGCTTAACACCTACACACTGCTGATGAGTCCCATACTAGGACTAGTGCTTCCAGGCTTCTAATGGTAGTTTAGGAATGATGCATTCATGCTTTCAAGGTAAAACTACGATCTCCATAATAAATACTCTAATGTAAAATCGAAAAATATGCTCACTAGTAACTAGCTTTGTGAGGTTCTTAGAGTTCTAGTGAGAAGACGGGACCAGTGGAGTCCACCCGTGTCGGGTTTTGGGCATGAACTACCAAAGACAGTAGGTGAGGTTGCGCAAAATGCTTAGACTAACCGAAGTTAGACATTAACACCACCGGACTCCGGCCCAGTGGTCTAGGGCTAGCTAAGCGTTCGTGTGTGAAGCCGGTGGTCCTGGATTCATCAAATCCTGCGAGTTGCAGGAGTCATGGATGTGCAGTGTTTGATCTTCTTAACAAGTTGAAATCTTACTATTCTATACTATATCATTGAAACTAATAATTGCCGCTTTATAGTGTAAAGCTTAGAAAAACAATTAGTTGAATGAATCAAACTGATCAAAATTGTTTGTCTGAGTTATTTAAACAACAACAAATATTATTTTTATTCATCATTTATTTGAGTAAGTTTTCGTTTGAAATTTTTTACTGAATGTTTGCCCTTTGCCGGGTTTTCTTTTGTTTTGAAACTAGTTTGTCGCTGCTATGATCCATCCTGGTGGAGGTCGTAATGATATCCCGCAACGACTTAAACGTCAATTTTGTATATTCAATTGTACACTGCCTAGTAATGCTTCAATGGATAAAGTTTTTGGTGCATTAGGATTAGGACATTTTTGTGCTGAACGTGGTTTTTCAGCAGATGTTATTAAAACAATTCAATGTTTAGTACCAGCGACTCGGAAACTATGGCAACGTGTCAAGATAAAAATGTTACCGACTCCAGCGAAATTTCATTATGTATTTAATTTACGTGATGTTAGCCGTATATGGCAAGGCATGTTGTGTACAATATCAGATGTGATTACAAATCCATCTGTTGCATTAGCTTTATGGCAACATGAATGTACTCGAGTCATTGCTGATCGTTTCACTGAATTTAGTGATCGTGAATGGTTTGATAGAATTTTGAAACAAATTGGTAAGTAAAAATTTTTTTTAAATGATATTATATTTCATTATTTTGTATACAGAATATGATTAATGTGAAATTAATCTGTAGGATAATAAATACTTAACTTGAAACCATTTCGATTAAAATATGTTTTCTTCCATACAATAGCTTATTTAGTTGATATTAACCTATTAAATATCTTATTATTGAAGACTAGTTAACTAAATGTACTATAATCTTTGTGTCGATGTGTTCAAACTGAAATCCGAACTCAGTATCTATCAAATCAAACTCTAAGTTATAAAGCCTATTAAACTACTGTATTCAAATGGCCATTTAGGTTTTCAAAGAGTAAAAACTTATTTATAAGTTGTTGTTGTTACTATATAAGGAATTTTAACAGAGACTAATCTATTTCAGTCCTAAATAAATATCAATTGTGAAGAAATATAAAACGCTTTAAAAAAATTTACTATAGTTCATTAAGAAAAGTATCATCGAGGATTGTTAGACTACCGTGTTGTCGAATTTTGTGGATTCTCACTATTGAACACTCATGAAACTTTAAATGATCAGCTAAGTGATTTTTGGGTTCTGTGTTAAATATGATACTTTAATAACACGGCAGTTAATGGTTCACATGTTCAAATCTACTTTTATCCAATGCTGAACCGATTAACGCTAGTTCAATGTTGAAAGACTAGAAGCAGTGGTTGGCTGTGTTTCGCCTCAGTATGACACTCCTCAGTAACGAGTATTAGCTATCTCACAAACAGAAATAGGAATCAAGGTTTGTTTTACATCGAAATCGTGAATCAGTCATCGTTAGACCACCGTTAGAAACCTGGAAGCACTAGACGACTGTCAGGTCTCGGTATGGGACTCATCAGCCGTGCTTTCATGATTACCGTTACTCGCAGGAATCGACCCCACGACCTTTGTTTGATCTTGCCAGTTTAACCCTGTCGGCTGAAGGCGATCGGTGAGGTTGTGCAAAAACTTTGGATGATGAGTCCTGTACCAGGACGAAACAGCCGTCTAGTACTTCTAGGCTTTAATGGTTTTCTAACGATGAGCGATTCACGATTTCATTATTAAAATACAGTTAAGCTGTACTGAATACTGAATACTAACAGGACAACAGCGCAGTACGATGGTTTGCGCAAAATTTCTCTTCAAAAAATTGAATTGTCATTGTATAAAATAATCTATTTTATTTAATTCTTTTTACAGGAGCTGAAGAATGTGGTGCTTTAGCAAATCAAACTGATTGGTCAGATCCTTATTTTGTGGACTTCTTAAGAGATGCAGCGGAACCAACTGGTGAAGAGGCTGACGATGCAGATTTCGAAGCACCGAAAATCTATGAACCAATCATAAGTTTTGAACAGTTGAGCGATCGTTTAAAAATGTTAATGCAAATGTATAATGAAGCAATACGTGGCGGTAAATTAGATTTAGTATTTTTCAAAGATGCTATGACACATCTTGTCAAAATTTCACGTGTAATACGAACACCTAAAGGTCATGCGTTGTTAGTTGGAGTTGGTGGTTCAGGCAAACAATCACTAACACGTTTAGCTTCATTCATAGCCGGTTATCGAACATTCCAGATAACATTAACCAGGTAAGTAATAATCTGTCCACTTAAATAACAGTTTGTTATTATTATTATTAATAATTAAATAAGGCATTTTACTCTTATTGGCTTGTCCTAAACATTTTGGGGAGCCATTTCTCAAATTCATCATATACGAGTCACTTTTAAGTTTCCACTTAGATTTGATATCCTCCATATGATAATAAAAGTAGCTGTACCTCATGAAGTGATAAAACTGTTAAAGTTTAAGGAAAAACAATAGATTTTGATTTACAGTAACAACTAACCGTAAATTGGTCTATTCATGTAATCAAACATAGTGTTTTTGCATTAACTATCTATCTATGATTGATATAAGAGCTTACTGATATAAATTTTAAGATGATCAATAGAAAATTACATACATTATTCACTAAAATTTATTCATTTATAATCTGACTTTCATTTTGTTTGTTTAATTACACTTCTTCTCCTTGCACATTATTTTCCTAGAACATATAATGTTTCTAATCTTATTGAAGATTTGAAATTTCTTTATCGAACAGCCGGTCATCAAGGTCAAGGAATAACATTCTTATTTACAGATAATGAAATTAAAGATGAATCATTCTTAGAATATTTAAATAATATGCTTAGTTCCGGTGAAATTGCTAATTTATTTGCTCGAGATGAAATGGATGAAATGCTACAAGAATTAGTTGGCCCAATGAAACGTGAATTTCCACGTCGACCTATTAGCAATGAAACATTAGCTGAATATTATTTAAGCAGAGTAATACAAAATTTACACATTGTATTATGCTTTTCACCAGTTGGACAAAAGTTTCGTAATCGAAGTTTGAAATTTCCCGGTCTTATTTCCGGTTGTACAATGGATTGGTTTCAAAGATGGCCCAAAGATGCACTGATTGCTGTTTCAAATCATTTCTTGTCTAATTTTGATATAGTTTGTACACCGAGTGTGAAACAAGCTGTAGTACAAACAATGGGTGTGTTTCAAGTGAGTCAGAATTTTTTTTTATGAACTATGATAGTAGAGTAGTAACATTGTTTGAAAGAAAATGTCAATTAACAAACGAACAAGCCAGTTAACAAACTCACAGACATCTGTCTGCATGTCTTAAGCTGTTCTTCTCTAAAAGTAGAACAACCAATTAATTGCAAATTCTCTGAGCTGGTTGTTTTGGTTGTGGAGCTTTCATTGTTCCTCTGAACAACATCATCAGCACAAACTTCAGATAGAAGTGAAGTATTCGAATTTCTTCACGTTTGACCTGTAGCTTGTTCTGCTAACCTCGATCTTGATTGGTTGCCGTTGACCTTAAACCTGTCGTTGTTTGCACCCTTGTTTTGATTGTATCCCCCTTTTGATCTGTTTCATGATCCTATGTCACCTATGATTTTTCTGATTGGCTGATAAAGTGGATCAATGTCGATATGTTTGTTGAGTGCTGATTGACATGAGTGCCAAAAATTCTTTAGTGTTCTTTGTCCTCCCCCCATCCAGTATTTCCACATTGTCCCAATCGAATGTATGTCGGTGTGTATTGATATCAGCGAAGAATTGTCGTGGCGTTTAACTGCTAATTGGTGTTCACGTGAACGAAGCTGAAGAGGCCGTCCACATTGTCCTATATAGTGTTTTTCACAGTCTGAGCAATTTATTTTGTAGATGATATTTGGTTTTCACATTCTGTATTTGTTTGTGATTTTCTGCCTCTTCCCGTTCATATTCTTCACTATCTAATTAATTACACACTTCTTATTACGTAATGATTTTAATGTTTTGTAATCAATTTTCTAAATCTATTTATCCACGTTTGACCCACCTTTTTCAATGTTGAACCATTGATGAAACTTTTGTTATCGTATTTTATTTTTCTTACTACTATCAGGACACTTGTCTTCCTACTATCTATCAACTAGTACTTTTGCCTATTATGTGTAGTGACGTAATCTATGTCATAATGATTACTGACTGGCGAATTGCCTTGATTGGTTCAACTTGTTCACATAAATATTATGTATATGACGACCACACAAACGAAAATATGTGGAAGATCTAGCAATGACGGCGGAATAGGCTGCAAGAGACGGAAACTTGAGACAATTGTATGAAGCTACAAAGAAGCTCGCCGGGAACTATCGTAAACCAGAACGACCAGTGAAAAGTAAGGAAGGCAAAGTAATCAGCAACACTGAACAACAGCGAAATAGGTGGGTAGAACACTTTAAGGAACTATTGAATCGACCAGCTCCACTGAACACACCCAACATTGAAGCAGCGTCCACGGACCTCCCAATTAATATTGGCGCACCTACGATTGAGGAGATCAGTATGGCCATCAGACAAATCAAGAACGGCAAAGCAGCAGGACCAGACAACATTCCAGCAGAGGCAATGAAAGCAGATGTAGAAGCAACTGCGAAAATATTTCACATCCTATTCAAGAAGATTTGGAATGAGGAACAAGTACCATCAGATTGGAAAGAAGGATACCTGATCAAAATACCAAAGAAAGGCGACCTGAGCAAGTGTGAGAACTACAGAGGCATCACTCTTCTTTCAATACCAGGCAAAGTCTTCAACAGGGTATTGTTAAACAGAATGAAGGACTTCGTTGACGCCCAACTTCGAGATCAACAGGCCGGATTTCGGAAGGATCGATCGTGTACTGACCAAATTGCTACATTACGGATCATTGTGGAACAATCAATTGAATGGAACTCACCACTCTACATCAACTTCATCGACTACGAGAAAGCATTTGATAGCGTGGATAGGAAAACACTGTGGACTCTTCTTCGACACTACGGGGTGCCTGAGAAAATAGTTAACATCGTACGGAACTCTTATGATGGATTCAACTGCAAAATCGTGCACGGAGGACAGCTAACCGACTCTTTCGAGGTAAAGACCGGTGTCAGGCAAGGTTGCTTACTTTCACCCTTTCTCTTTCTCCTGGTGATCGACTGGATTATGAAAACGTCAACAGCTGGAGGGAAGCACGGTATCAACTGGACAGTTAGGACGCAGCTGGACGATCTGGACTTCGCAGATGATCTGGCTCTTCTATCGCACACTCAACAACAAATGCAAGAGAAGACGACGAGTGTAGCAGCAGCCTCTGCAGCAGTAGGTCTCAACATACATAAAGGAAAAAGCGAAATTCTCCGATGCAACACAACATGCACCAAACAAATCACTCTTGATGGAGATGCTTTCGAGGATGTTAACAACTTTACATATCTGGGCAGCATCATCGACAATCAAGGTGGATCGGATGCAGATGTGAGGGCGCGGATTGGCAAAGCAAGGGTTGCATTTCTACAGTTGAAAAATATCTGGAACTCCAAACAACTTTCAAACAAAACCAAAATCAGGATTTTCAATACAAAAGTGAAGACAGTTCTACTGTATGAAGTGTAAACTTGGAGAACTACGAAATCCATCATCCAGAAGATACAAGTGTTTATTAACAGTTGTCTACGCAAACTACTTCGTATTCGTTCGCCAGACACGATCAGCAACAACGAACTGTGGGAGAAAACAAACAAGATTCCAGTGGAGGAGGAAATGAGGAAGAAGCGTTGGAAGTGGATAGGACACACATTGCGGAAAGCACCTAACTGTGTCACGAGACAAGCCCTCACATGGAACCCTCAAGGCAAAAGGAAAAGAGGAAGGCCAAGGAACACATTACGCCGAGAAGTAGAGGAAGATATGAGAGGAATGAACAAACATTGGACAGAACTGGAGAAGGAAGCCCAGGACAGAGTTGGTTGGAGAAAACTGGTGGGCGGCCTATGCTCCATTGAGGGTAACAGGCGAAAGTAAGTAAGTAAGTAATATGACGATCACATTGAAAACAATATTGTTCACTTATCTGTGTAGATCATTTTCTCTCTGCATATAAATAAGATTTGACTAGAAGAATTATTTTGTAGCAGATGAATGTTAAGCTGTAGAAGTGTGTATGTACTGAAATGAATGCAGAGCAATTCTTTTGAGATATGCTTCTTCTTCTTCTTCATGACAAGCTTCTACTACCTCATTCACTTGACAAGACAATCAAAACGATGTAACAATTTGTTCGATTAGTTTTCACTCGTCTTGTTTCACTAATGAAATAATATCACATTTACTTTTTATATTCTTTTCTTAAATATAAAAAACAAACAAACAATCTATTCAATTTGAATAATACTACTCATAATCATCAACAACAATAAATGAATGATAGGATTTGGTAGCTGAATCATGTAGCGATTATTTTCAACGTTTTCGTCGTCAAACCCATGTTACACCAAAATCATACTTATCATTTATTAGTGGTTACATGGAAATTTATAAATCAAAACGTGGTGAAATCGGTCAACTAGCTGAACGTATGAATACTGGTTTAAAGAAATTAGTTGAAGCAACTGAATCAGTCAATGAATTAAGTAAAGAATTAGTTGAAAAAGAAAAAGAATTAGCTGTGGCTAATAAAAAATCTGAAGAAGTTCTTGCACAAGTCACTATTCAAGCTACTGCAGCACAAAAAGTTAAAGCACAAGTACAAGTGGTGAAAGACAAAGCACAAGTACTGGTTGATGCGATTAGTGTAGATAAAGCATCAGCTGAAATGAAATTAGAAGCAGCGAAACCGGCTTTATTAGAAGCTGAAGCTGCGCTAGAAACAATTAAACCAATACATATTTCTACAGGTCAGTACATATATATATATATTTGTCTCGTCAGTGTTATTACTATCATTATGACTATTATGATGATTATTATTATGACTGACACTTTTGAATGCCTTTTCATATTATCTGTCTAACTCAAATATCCTCCCAATAGTAATGATGCTAGCGAGATATTGATTCTGTTAGGTTTTGCAATCACGTGACCAGCTTATCAATCAAAATCGTAATCGTACCATTGACTCATTGCTTCGTATCTCGGAACTGGCCAATAAAAATAAATGCCCAGTGGTCCGATGGTAAGGCGTTCGCCTACAATGCCAAAGGTCCCGGGTTCGAATCCTGCGAGGAGCAGGAGTCGTGGATGCGCACTGCTGAGGAGTCCCATACTAGGACGAAACGGCCGTCCAGTGCTTCCAGGTTTCTAATGGTGGTCTAACAATGATGATTGATTAATGATTTCAAATGTGTAAAAATAAATGCCTTGGCTGCCTTTGAGTCCAGAAATAGTAGGTCAAACAGAATTGGTTTAAATACAGACAGACCGGATCACATTACACCATTAAATGAAAAATAATACTTACTCATCACTAACAAACAAAAAAGTGTCATTGAATAGGAGCAGATCAAGATAAATTAGACTGACAACACAATAGGAACAGTAAATTGTAATTAATGGGTCAAGTGAAACATTTACATATAGTCTATAAAATACGAATTAACTCTACGTTTGCTTGATCAATGATCTTCGCTCAACCAATAATACGAATGACCGACAACAACAGAAAACTTTTGAATCTTACTGGTTTAGAACTCCGTATCTATCTGTCCCCAAATGACAATTAGCAGACGAATACAGAAAGCGGAAAGAGCTCTCCATTTTCCTTCATTTGTATTGGCTGTTTGAATCTTCAGCTTAATTACTTAGGATTGCAGTTGACCATGCCGATCGCCTAGATATCGCCATTAATTTACAAGTATTGTAAGCAGAGATGAACGTTGTGTAGCACTGAGACCCACGAAACAGGTTTCAATTTACCTAGGAATCGTCATCTGGATGTACCTGAATCCAAGAGTTGGTGTTCAGTCCGAGACTTAGACCAGTTCTGTACAACTCAAACGCCATAGAATTATTCACTCAACTACTGAGTCTATGTAGCAAAAATATGAACGATGGGTTAATCTAAACCATTTCAATTTGAATTAAAACTTATTTCCGTCATTACAAATAAGTGGCTGTTAGTTATATGTTCACAACACATCACGATTTAGAAATTATGATTTGTACAAAATTGTCATACATGATAAAAAATGAAGAAGTAGGTGAGTAATTGATGAGAATTCTTGAAACGGTAAACAAATATATATAGTTAATAAAAATCAGATGAAAGCTTATACTTAAGACAATATACATTACAAAGTGAGAATAGTTATCATAACTGACCGGGAAATAGTTCTAAAAGTTGTGAAGAGTTGATTAAAAGTGGTTGACAGGACAACCTGGACGTTTTGTGTTATTTGGGACTCATCAGAAAGATATACCTTTTAATCTTAAGTATACTAGTATCCCCTGGAGGATCTGATCCCGCGTTACTCAGTATGCAGTTAGAGACGTTATTCATGAGCTATTAGGTGTACGGCTAACCTCCTGTAAGAGTGAGATGTATTTACAATTGATTGGTTACTAAACAGTAACCGTTCTCGTGTATATCAAGTCCTTTTCAACTTTTCCAAGCATCTACAGTCACTGTATGGTTTAATGTTCTCCAGTGAAATGAACAGTAGATGCTTAGTTTTGTATAGACATGGTGCCGAGTAATTATTCGATCACCTTAAATACGGTCTTATATGTTATTAGAACAAAGTGAAACTTCCATGTAATTTATCTTGCATGAAACGATTACGTAGGAAAGTAATGTTATTTCTGGATGTTGAATGATGGGGACTTGGTGTTTTTAGAAAAAAAACTCGAAATGAATAGTTTAGATTTGCATAGAAAAATGGTTATAACTTGAAACTTAGTTAACCATTGTACAGATAATAGAAATTCAAACTTTAAAAATATTAAAGGTAACACTATGTCCAGGTAATAATCTTGTTACTTTCATAGAATTAGGAATATAATTTGTTTAAAGAATATGGAAAAAAAACTAATCTATTCACGTGATCAGTTTATTAAAGCTGCAACATAAAGACTGCCCCAGCGAGATATGTTTTTTGATTTAGGGGTAGACTGGAAGAAAGCAAGAGGCGGTCAGATCAAAACATGGCACAAATACATGAAGTCGCTGACAAGTGGACTGAGCTATGTTGCTAAGTGTAGACTACTTGGTTGGGGTCTGCAAGCTGATAGTAATCAATGGTTAGAAATTTGAATGACATGGCTCAGAATAGTTTGCAATGGCTCAGGTGCATCCATTCTTCACGTTCACTCGAATTCCAATCTTCTGAATTCCTCATCACCTTTATCTTTTTTTTTCTCAAATTTGTTTAACTGAATTGTACTTCTTGAATAATTTCTTCGAAACCCAATCACCCGGGTTACTGCTAATTCTTCTACTATCTCTACCTTTATGGTATTTGAGTTGACGATTGCGTCTCTTTGCTAATATGGTATGGTAACTTGAAACTAATGTACGTACGTATGATGTTCTATATTGTAGCTGGCTGACACTGACTGACATTGACAAAGTAATATGTATGATTAGATCCGTAAGATTAGATAGGCAGGTAATCAACATATTAGAGATAGTCATTCTTAAAGAGTTTTAAAAAAAAGTAAAACTCTTATCCTCTCTTTTAGTAGATAAACTCATTCAGTATGATTCCTTTATATCGAATCGACTAATTGTATATTTTAGTGAGAAAACTTGGTAGACCACCGCATTTGATTATGCGCATTATGGATTGTGTGTTATTATTATTTCAAAAGAAATTGGATCCTGTTACACCTGATGCTGAACGTCCATGTCCTAAGCCCAGTTGGAATGAAGCATTGAAACTTATGGGTAATGTAAACTTTTTAAATGGATTATTGAATTTTCCAAAGGTATGCATGGAAAATAAGTTGTTTCTTTTTTTAAAAAAAATTTAATTGGTATTATTATTCTTTATCATAAATTTCAATAATAGTTCAGTAATGTCAGTTATAAAGCTATCAGACGGAAATCTCAAAAGATTTTGATTAGTTTTTTAAGAGCTTAACAGTTTAACTTCTTTGACTTATTATATCTTTACAGAAAAGCTAATTAATACCTAAGTTGTCGTCAAATAAATGAAGCGGTTAACCTTCATTATGAAATTTTGCGAGATTTTCCCCGAACATAGTATTACATAAAATTGTTGGGAACGTTAGAACACCAGAACTCATTTGGGAAAGGTCCTGATTTCATAATTTATTCTTGAAAATTTGAATTTCCATGTGTTCGCGCCAGTTGACCGTCAGCTCATATTTCCCTCGCAGAAAATCCTTGACTGTCATCGGTTGATGAATGATTTTAGATAGCTATCTTGGGACAAACGCAACAGAATAGTCTATCGTGTCACTTTCTCATTGCTGTCGTTCCGTTTACCGACTAGTAAGGTAAACGTAACAGCATTCAAGCCTATCGATTGATGAGCATATAAAAAAAACAATTTATGAGTAAAGGAAATTTCATAAAGGCCGCAAACGTTAAGTGAAATTCGACGTTTTAAGCATCTTATTTGAAATTTCGTATGCTTTCTAAGATAAACTAACTAATATCGTTTAAACGTTACAAAATGACAGAATAATCTAACTTGATCATTCTTAATTAACTATCTAATATATATATATATATATATGTATATATATATATATATACCAACCGCTATCTAGTTCCTAGTAATTTATTTTTGGACCTTGAATAGGAAATAAAAGGCCGAAAGTATGAAAGGAGGTTTAGGTCGATGGATTTCGTTTTTATCTGCAGAAACAGAAAGAAGATTATTTTTAGAATTAACTCAGATCATACAGTTTTAAAAGCTCAATGATAATGAAATCTATAGTTATCTAATGAGTATGATGACAATAAAATTAGTAGATAATGCCTAGAATTTTCTTGGAAATTTCTAGATAGTTAAAACCTTTCTTGGTTTCCGAAAATTTTATAGGGGCGGCCAGACCAAAACATGGCAGAAATCCATGAAGTCACTTACAAGTGGACTGGGTCATGTTGATAGATGTAGACTACCTGGTTGGGGTCTGCCAGACGAAAGTCACCAATGGTTAGAGACCTTGAACGACATGACTCAAAATCGTTTGCAATGGCGCAAGTGCATCCATTCTTTGAGCTCTCTCAAATCCTAATCTTCTGGATTCTTCAGCACCTCTACCTTTGTTTTTCTAACCCTATCTCACTGAACTATACCCTAGTCTTCTTCATTACCATTAATAACTCTACTATCTTTGTCACTATGGGATTTGATTAGACATTTACGTCTCTGTGCTAATGTGGTATAGTACATACGTACGAAGTTCTACGTTGCAACTGACTGACTGATAGATGAAGTTCTGAACGCTTCACAGGTGTTGACAGATTTGTTAACAAGAAAATCACTTTTCATAAAGAATTAATTCTGAAAATTATATTTGTTATAAAAATGAAATTTGTTAACTAATAATGTCAGTAATTCATAATGAAAATATTCTTTGAATTTAGGATACAATCAATGAAGAAACAGTGGAATTAATGTTGCCCTATTTTGAAATGGATGATTTCAATTTGGAACAAGCTAAACGTGTTTGTGGTGATGTGGCTGGTTTATGCTCATGGACTAAAGCTATGGCTTCATTTTATGGTGTTAATAAAGAAGTTCTACCGCTTAAGGTAATTTATGACAAATACGCACACACACACACGCACACATACTCTAAGTATATGGATGCTAGCTCAGTAGTCTACAGGCCAAATCTTAGTTACGGTTTCAGGTTGTGAGGTTGTAGTTGCCAATTCACTACGTGTTCTAAAAAGCTCGGTCATTAGCTCGTTCAGACAATCGTAACTAAATGGCGTCTGACAGTTATAAATCAGAAGGCGAATTCGAAGTAATGAATACGTTTATATTTTGGACACACCACATAGTGAAGTTGAAAAGCAGCGAATGGGCGAAGGAAGGGAACGAAAAGGCGAAACGAGTTGGAGAAGGCTAAGAGCCAACTCAAAGAAATAGTCAGGCAAATATAAGACAGACATGCAACAAGCGAAATAGGCACACATGAATAGAAGCGACGAATGATTGACAAGGTCAAATGACACGTCATGTGAGCTCATACAAACCAGAACGAATGGGTACATATAGGTTGTTGCTACGCGAATGGCTTGGTTAAATAGATTAATCGAAAGGGCTTAACCAAGTTAGTTGTAAGCGAACTGGAATATATGTGGAGGCACTACAAGGTCATGAATGTGTACTCGTGAAGAGTGCCATACTTAGGCGAAATGGCCATCCAGTGCCTCCAGGCTTTAGATTGATTTATGATTTCACTGACATCTAAACAATGTTATGCTCACAAATCTTTCATTTTTTACCACACCAAGACCATATTTCTCATTGAAATTAAAGTCTTGAATAGAAAGAACAATATGGAAATCTGTTGTTGTTTTTTGTGGAAAATATATGAATTAAATCGAGACTATCTCGGCATGTCTGTCAAGGGTTCAGTTTTAGCGATGACCTTATCACGTTTTTCTATTTATTAGTTAAACAGTTAAATTAAAAAAAACGCAAAATCGTTTTTGATGAAGAAATTTCTTTTAAGTTGCAGTAATGAGGTAAAATAGTAAAACGTTGTCAAAATTCAATCCAGAAAACTGATTGCATCATACAAATGATAAATTCTTTATCAGTCAGGAGTTGTAGAGAAATTGTTAAAATCATGAATCAATAAATGTTAGCTCACTATCGAAAACTGGAAACTATGGGATTCCCTCGCCCTATAGTGTGCATCCATGGCCCTAAACACAGGGATCAAACCCAAGACCTTCGGTGGTGCGCTCAGACGCTTATAACCTCTAAACCACTTGGTCAGTATATTTAGCTATAAACGATATAAAAAAAAATTTAATATCCGTACGTTTACCTGCAGTTAGTGTTTTAATATATCAAACACTCATTGAAATGACTAAAATTCAACTCATTTCTACATACTCTAGTCATTAAAATCAATATAAATAATGTATTCACAAAATTCAAAACAATTCACAAAACTGAACTATTATTAATTTTCCTGTTTGTTTTGCTAAATCGCTATATTTGGAACTTTTTCACACCATGATGATTATCATGCCAATCTTTCGTCTCCACTAGTCACCCTAACAAATCAAAAACTTTCAAATTAAACTCTACAACCATCTTAGTGTCGAATTTAGTAGAACCAGACAATGTAGTAGTAGTCAACAACATCCCCACTGAGGTATTCAATATTTTGTAACCGAATTTCTTAGGGAACAATTTATTCTCACTATCCTAAGAGTGTGAACTATCTGACTTTCAGACTCAAATGTTCTGTGCTCCTTAGTTTTCTGTGGTTAACTAATTGATTTCTGTTTGTTGTTTAAAAGTCCCTTAAAATAAACCAAATCTGTATAAATACTCAACTAAAAAGTTTGCTCAGCTGAATGTTTATCCATGACCTCCGGAGGCATCTTGATAGATAAATTTTTCTTTTATTGTAATTTTCATATATATATATATAGTCAATGTTAGCATTACAAGAAAAGAGATTAGAAGGAGCTTTAGCTGAATTGGCCGTTGCACAAGGTCAACTAGATCAGAAGCAAAAAGAATTAGATCTGGTTCAAGCTGAGTATGATCGTGCAATGGCCGATAAACAGAAACTCTTGGATGAAGCTGAAGGATGTAGAAGAAAAATGTCCAATGCTACGGCATTAATCGAAGGTCTTGCAGGTAAGTAATAAAAATTCTCAACTGCCAATTCAGTAAAATGAAAAATCGACCACAAAAAATTTAAAATGGCTTCAAACGTTCTCCAGTGTCAGTTGTAGTTAGCATTTGTTTGCAAAGTCAGTTTATAACTAATTAATGGTGTATGAACGAACCTTATTGTCAGTTATTAGTAAAAATATAACTAACCTTCACTCCTACATATGAACCGTAAAGTCAGGTTATCTCTCTAAAACTATTCCAGTACATTTAAACGCTAATAACTCAATTATCTGATCAGATGCCTGTTAAAAAAAACACTGATAATCAGTGGTTGTTATCATCAGATTAAAGTGTTAGATCCCCAGAACTCACTTGAAAATGGTACTAATTTTGGATTTTGTTTTTGAGAAGTGGCTGATCAGTTGACCTTGAGACTACATTTCTCACGCAGAAAATCCTTGAATGTCATTTATTGATGTATTATTTTAGTACGCAGTTTTTGTGGCTCTCCCAAGGACGTTTCTATCACGTATAAATTAGCTCGATTTGTGTACTTATCGACCTCGTATTTTCTGGGTGCTTTCTATGCCTTATCAAGACTTTTTAATATAATTAGCTGAGCCGTAGTTGAACGGATTAGAGCAGCCTATCGTGTCACTGCATCACTCGTTTTAGCTGTCGTTTACCGACTAAGGTGAATTCGTAATAGTTTCAAGTATACCAATTGGCGAGGAGTATATCATCAAGTTTGCAAAAGTTGATGATTATACTAACGTGAACTAAGTTAAAGGAAATATTTCGAATTCATATCGACAATAGTTCCTCTGATATCATTAACCGATAAATACTAGTCCACTGTTGAAAGACTGAAAGCAATGGGTTAGTTATTTCGCCCAAGTATGGTAATCCCCAATAATGACTACTCGTAACCTCAAAAACGGGAATAAAATCCAAGGATCTTCAGTTTCGCATGCAAACACCTAACTTATAAACCACTGGGTTGGTATCCAACTGTTTTAGTATCCAACTTCAATCAGTCTACGACAGTGAGCAACCATCTACCATAATGTCTGGTGGGTAGCTAACTGACACTTCAAAAAGGCTTAGTTCTTATCACCTGATTTTCCAATGATTTATTCATAATTTTGAACAACAGTGTTAATTACACGATTGATTTTTGCCAATCTGCGTCACTTATGGCGTAGGCGAGATATCCGTTTGCTGACTAAAGGACGAGTGTACTGTGCAGTAGTTCGCTCCGTCTTACTTTATGGCTGTGAAACATGGCCAGTGAGAGTAGAAGATATTCGTAGGTTACTAATTTCCGATCAGAGGTGTCTTCGAAGCATTGCTCGAGTATCGTGGGACACCCCAGTGAACAACGCTGTTATTAGGAAACGGGTGCTAGGTAAGAATGGCAGATTAATAGATGAAGTAATGAAACTTCATCAGTTGAGGTGGTTGGAACATGTGTTACGTATGCCTAACCACCGACTGCCTCGTCGATCTATGTTTTGCGATGTAGGAATAGGTTGGACGAAAGCTAGGGGCGGCCAGACCAAAACATGGCAGAAATCCATGAAGTCATTGACAAGTGGACTGAGTCATGTCGGTAGATGTCGACTACCTGGTTGGGGTCCGCGAGATGATAATAATCGATGGTTAGAGACCTTGAATGACATGGCTCAAAACCGTTTGCAATGGCGCTGGTGCATTTATTCTCTCCCAAATCCCAAACTTTTTAATTCTTCATCACTTTATTTTTATCTTTTTAATTCTATTTCACTAGTTTCTACTTCTTGAATAATATCTTCTAATCCTAACCTCTCCGATTACTTCTAATACCTTTACTATTGGATTTGAATTGACAATTATATCTCTGTGCTCATGTGGTATGGTAACATGAACTGATGTACTTACGTATTAAGTTCTACGTTGCATCTGACTGACTGATTGACTGACTGTTATATACTTAAAGATTTATTGGACTGAAACAATTTATGAAGCAAACAACAACCTAGAATTATAAATTTTAATTAATCTATGCCTAGTAATCATAAAACAAGGACAACCGGTTTCTTTACAATATTTGATTGATATTGTTTTACTTTAGTCAAAAAATTTCAATCAATTAACATAATACTTTTATTTTTAAATATTTTTTTATCCAGGTGAACGAATTCGATGGACAGAAGCAAGTCAAACATTTCAAGAACAAATTAATCGTCTAGTCGGTGATGTACTTTTAGCAACTGGATTTCTTTCATATACAGGACCATTTAATCAAGATTTTCGTAATTTACTAAATCAAAATTGGCGTCGTGAATTAGTACAGAATAAGATACCATTTTCGGATGTACGTTCTTTTTTGTTGACTGATTGCAGTAATGAATTATGAATGTATATGATTGATGGATGCTTGTTAAATTTTGTAGCTTAAACTATAGACTGACCTAACAAAAGCATTGAAAACTAGAAAGTGTAAACCCTTTGATGCCAACCCAATGATTCGAGGATTAGTGGGGCACTGCAAGACCTGAATTTCTTGGGTTTAATCCCCAATGTAGTCCTGAGTGGGCATTGCTGAAAAGTCCTATATCCAAAGAAAACAGCTGTCTAACCAAAATCTAAACAAACAGCTGGATCTATAAACTGGCCGCAGTCAAACCATATACTAACAGATATAAGTAACCAGTGTCAACTCGTCAATATATTTCATTACCTTCGGTAATTTTCGTCCCCAAGTTGGCTTTCTACAAATAATTGAGTGAGGTTAGAGAATGTTCATTGCTAACTGATGACGAAGTGATTTATCAATAAAAGGCTTATCACTAAAGCTAAATAACGACGAACTGATTTACCAATAAAAGGCTTATCATTAAGGCTGAAATTTGAATTTTAGTAACAAACCAACTTATGATTAGTCAATGTGAATGTATTGAAAGAATTGTGTCAGTGATAATTTTAGGATACTTTTCTCTATTTTGAATTTTGAAAGCTTTCAAACTACTTGACAAACATCCCGTTTATCTTAAATAATATTTTATCAAATAATACGGTCATTTTGTAACACAAAGTTGTTTACTCTACATAGAATAATATAGTTAAGTCGAATAATGGTTTTTTTTCATGTTTTTCTAATTCCATTCACACTTCAAAACAAAAAAACAAACAAAACAGGACATTAATTATATCACCATGTTGGTGGATAATGCAACATTGAGTGAATGGAGTGTTCAAGGTCTACCGAATGATGAATTATCAGTTCAAAATGGATTAATTGTAACACGTGCTAAACGTTATCCATTGTTGATTGATCCACAAGGTCAAGGTAAAACATGGTTGAAACGTAAAGAAGCGGAAAATGAATTACAGGTCAGTTAAGTTGTAGAAATTACTTACATTTGATATTATTTACAATTTGCTTAATACTTTATGGTGTCCAGTTTAATACATAAAAGTAATAGTGCAAATTTTGAATTACGTGTAGAGTGGAAATAAAAGTGGCGCCGATCCAAGTAACAGTGTATGAAAGTGAAGTTTCCCAGAAGACGACCCATTTTCAAAAATGTGAACAAAAGACTGTATTTGATCAGTTTCTATTGGTAGATGCTCTCACTGTGAGCACATTGTCATAGTAGTATCTTTACCGAGTTGTTTTAGTAAGTTGGATTATATGGTGAGGAACAAAAACAACGTTTATTGTTTAGGAAAACTTAAGTTACTTACTAAAGTGTACAAGTGATGATAAAATAGGGAAACACAAAACCGAATTCTAGTCAACAACTAGCATAGTAATAGTATCAAAACTGTATAGTAGACGAAGTCATCTGTTGGGTAATATGAACGGTAATGATTAACTTTGTGGTATAGGGTCGTGAAAAAATAATTTGACTGACCACAGAGCGTGGACGAAGACCGACGCAGCCTACTGACCATCAATTATATGGGTCCCTTTTCTCTTACTGAATTTTTCTCCGAACTCACTAAGTGTGACTGCTTATGGCTATGTGGAATAAGATATCGTATACTGCTTGTGAATCGTGTATCTGGTTTAACGTGATCTAGTCTCTGTATGGTGTGCCGTTCGAGTATCTCATTCAGTGGTAGTATAAACTCGACCACACTTTTATTCTCGCTGTATGAAATGCAATGGATGAAAAGGCATCCAACACTTCGGTTATATCACTTTGTTCAGAAAAATCTGCAAATTAGGGCTTGTTTATGCAACATAATTTCCATAAGTCTGATCACTTTTCAAAGTTATACTTTTTTTGTGTTTAGAAATAAATTGAAATGTAAACAGTTTCCACCCAGGATAGGATAGTGGTTACAAGCCACCGAGTTCACACTCTAATCAATTAGCTGTCAGATGCTCTCTGTTCCTCAATGTTTATCTAAAGTCATTTAGAACTATTTACATGAACCCCCTAAACAACAGTTACATCATTAGCGACATCTTGATGTGATTAATCAATCATTATTTACCTGATCTTATTTTCACTTAGATTACATCATTGAATCATAAATATTTTCGAACACATTTGGAAGATGCACTATCACTTGGTCGACCATTACTCATAGAAGATGTCGGTGAAGATCTGGATCCTGCTTTAGATAATGTTTTAGAAAAGAATTTCATTAAATCCGGTTCAACATTTAAAGTGAAAATCGGTGATAAAGAATGCGATATAATGGATGGATTTCGTTTATATGTTACAACAAAACTACCAAATCCATCATACACACCGGAGATTTATGCAAAAACTTCCATTATCGATTTCACGGTTACAATGCGTGGTCTTGAAGATCAACTTCTTGGTTTAGTTATATTAACAGAGAAGAAAGTAAGCTATATAGTTGAATTGTTGTTATCAGTGATTATGATCAATTATGATCACTAACACGACTATAAAATATTGACTATTGAATAAAAGTTGAATGATATGAGTGAATGGGTGAGGTCAAGCAAAATCCGTAGATCAATCAGAATTAGACATTAACACCGTCGGATGCCGGACCAGTGATTCTATGGTAAGGCGTAAGCGCACAATACCGAAGGTTCCGGGTTCGAATCCTGCGGGATGCAGGAGTCGTGGATGTGCACTGCTGATGAGTCCCATACCAGGACGAAACGGCCGTCCAGTGCTCCCAGGTTTCTAATGGTGGTCTAACAATGATTGATTGATGATTTCAAATGTGTAAAAACACAAACATTCAAAACTCTGCCCGAGAATGTGTTTAAGTGTGATGCTTTCAATAAAATTGACAAATTTTCCACTCGATTCATTCAATTAGAATGACAAGGCTGGGATTGATATTTTAGATTAGGATCAAAAGTTTAGCATCGACAATTAGGGTTTTAAGTGGCAATCACCACTAAATGACTAATTACGAGCATGTCACCGAGAAAATAAATAAATCCATGTTAAAAATATCTTTACTGGCGATTTCGTGGTATCGACAGAATACCGAAATCATGCCAGAAAAGATGGGCAAAATTACAGTGGAGCCAAAATGGCGGAACGTAAACAGAAAGTTTGCACGTACACAGATGTGTAATAGACAAAAAGTACAGTTAAATAATCACGGGTACAATTGGTTATAGTTTCTATTAAACCAATCGCGTTCTCTTCATCAAAAGTGGACCCACTACACAGTTAAAAATAAAAATCAAGATGTAGACTTTCAGATTAATGAGTTATACATTATTAAATTAGATTTCACGATTGAGGATTGAAATTAAGTTCTGTGCCCAGTTAATATGTGTACCTACCTATACCATAATCCTAATCTTTAATTTTAAACGCTTCATTCCAGTCCTAAATTTTACGTTCTACTTTTAATGTTAAATACTAATTAATCTTGAACTTCAAATCAAAATATATTATTCACGATTCTTTATTATGAAACCATGAATCGATCAATGTTAGACCACCATTAGAAACCTGGAAGCACTGGACGGCCGTTTCGTCCTGGTATGGGACTCATCAGCAGTGAGCATCCACGACTCCTGCACCCCGCAGGATTCGAACCCAGGACCCTCGGTATTGTAGGCGAACGCCTAACCATCGGGTCACTGGGCCGGTATCTAACGGTGTTAATGTCTAACTTGATCATATTCACGGAGTTGCGCAACCTCATACACAATCTTCGGTAGTTACTGTCTACACCCGAACAGTTTGAACTTCACTGGTCATGTCTTCCCACCAGAACTCGGAGAAGATTTCTCACGAAGCTAGTCACTAGTGAGCACAGGTAATTTGCATTACGGGGTTGTTGTGAAGATTGTTAAGTTTTTCAAAAAAACTTCCAGTTTCTATTGGTGGTCTAACAACATTGATCGATTCATGGTTTCAAATTGTGTAGCTTAACAATCTTCACAACCCCGTAATGCAGATTCTTTATTATTAGTACGGCTTTAATCTTTTCTGAACTTTTGAGAAAAAAAAGCTTATACTGTGTTATTGTGCGCTTATAACTATGAAAGTTTTGGTTACGATTCTGTTTTATTCACTGTATTCATCATTCCACTTCATTTTTGTCATTGAATGCATCAAATGTTGATCACTTCTTGAAAAAAACATCTTTTTTATTTAGTTGCTGAATTTAAAATGAACATGGGTAATATTTTCTTACTAACAATGAACAAATGTCACATACCAAATTGTTCTTCCGATTGAATCAGCAGTTCTTGCTAGTTATTACCTTTCAACTGTTAATTAAAATGCGATTTATTGGTCATTAAGTTTTTGTGAATGACAATTTCCAAGTTTTAACGCACTAATTAATCCATCAGTTATGGAGGAAACTGCATCAGTTAGCACTTTGACATTTTTCCTTTTTCTTTCTTTGTACGCTCATTATTTTTCTCAAGGAATTAGAAACGGAACGAACTAAACTTCTAGAAGATGTGGCAACGAATCGTCGTAAAATGAAAGAATTAGAAGATAATCTATTATATCGTTTAACAACCACCGAAGGTAGTTTAGTGGAAGATGAATCGTTAATTGAAATGTTGAATGTAACTAAAATGACATCGAATGAAGTAAGAGAAAAGTTGAATGTTGCTGTTGATACTGAAGTGAAAATTAATGCAGCACGTGAAGAATATCGTCCGGTAGCAACACGTGGTTCATTGTTATACTTTTTAATTGTTGAAATGAGTATGGTCAATGTAATGTACCAGACATCGTTACGTCAATTTCTTGGTTTATTCGATTTATCCATGGCTAGATCACAGAAATCACCACAAACACAAAAACGTATAGCAAATATCATTGAATATATGACGTTTGAAGTGTACCGTTATACAGCTAGAGGATTTTATGAAGTGGACAAGTTTACATTCACTGTATTGTTAACGTTGAAAATTGCAATGAATATGAAAGAGGTGAAACCGGAAGAATTTCAAATTTTCATTAAAGGTAATTAATTGCTATTATGGATAAATTTAATGACGAAATCCATCATCTTTTATCTGTATTTGTTGTGTTCTATTGTTCAACACTGTTATGACATACGTGTCCTACGATATTCCAAACCTATATATAATGTGAATGAGAGGACCAAAATAATTAGGAAAGTTTAATCGATAAAAGAAATTGTAATTAACACACATCATTTACACTGTTGTCATGCTAAAACACATGTCTTATTTATTTATCTCTTAATTTTCATGTCAATTTTGATTCAACTAATAATCTTTAGTTCTTCTGTTTTCTGTTCAACCCTAATATATAGGTGGTGCTGCATTAGACTTGAATGCTGTTGCACCAAAACCTAGAAAATGGATACAAGATATGACATGGTTAAATTTAATCGAATTAAGTAAATTAAGTCAATTCAGTCAATTACCAGATCAAGTAGCTTCAAGTGATAGAGTATGTTAGAAATTTTCCATTTTATTTTTGATTTGATTGAACAGAAGTTTACTATAACACATAAAGACTAACACTTATCGACTACTTAGATTATCACTGCATAGAAACAAAATGATAATAACTAAAATCATCAATCAGTCATTGTTAGATCGTCATTAGAAACCTGGAAGCACTAGATGGCCGTCAAGTTATGGTATGAAACTCATCAGTAGTGCGGATTCACGACTCCCGCTGCTCTCAGAAATCGAATCCAGGACCTTCGATCTTACGCGCGAACTCTTAACCTCCAGACCACTGAGCCAGTATCGAACGGTTTTAATGTCCAACTCTGATCAATCAAAGGATTTTGCGCAACCTCACCCATCGTCTTCGGTAGATACTGCCTATACCCGACACTACTGGATTCCACTGGTCACATTTTCTCACTAAAACTCCAAGGATTTGCTCAGGAAGCTAGTCATTAGTGAGCACATCGTATGCTATTCATCATATATTTTCTAACAACGACAGCTTTTCTGAACCAGTGTGATTAAGTGGAAACAACAAAGCGCACATAGATGAAGATCATGAGCTATGCATAGATTTCTTCCAGACTTCAACTGGTTTCATTTCTTAAATAAATTTGTTATCAAACAGATTTAAGATTAATTTCAACCCCAATCATTTTAATGACGATTATTTTTTCATTTAAATATAAAAAGAGTTTACTTTATGGGCTCAATTCAGCTAGTGAACCCTTGAAAACTTTATAGCACTGAACAGATGAATCGTTCTCCTTCAGGATTATTTAATTGGCAGAATCTACAACACTATTAGAGATATAACTTAAGTGTTACCCTATCAATATGCAGATGCTATAAACATTTCCTCAACAAAAAAAGATAGTAATACTTGTGAAAACAAGTCAAATTATCATCTTTCAATCCTTTACCTCAAGCTATCCAGCAGTGATAATTAGTTAGAAAAGTTTCTAAAGTTTCTTGAATATTCGAATGATTCACCGTGATACTGTTTGCGCATCAGGAGTGTTCATTACATTTCTGAGCATAATGAGGACATGTGGTCATTCGAAAACAGTAAAAATTCACATAGTTTTATATCTTTGCACTGACTACAAACTAAAGTTATGAGATCTGTTTTATCGATATCACGAACCGACCTAAGTTAAACGACCACTCAAAATCTGGAAGCATTGAATGGCCATTTCGTCTAAGTATGGAATTATTTACTATTGCATGTCCACGGCATGCAATTTGGAATCTAATCCAAAACTCTTTTGTTTTTTGGGCAAAAACACTTAACTTCCAAACCGTGTACTAACCAGTGACTATGTTCTAGAGGAAATTCCCCAAATTCTAGTGGGAGGCCGTGACCACTGCAGTTAAGCCATGTTGAATCTGAGGAAGATACTTGCCGAAAACAGTAGATGGTTGCCGATTATTGCAAACTGATTCAAGTCAAACCTGTACATTACTGAGTACCGGGTCAGTGGTCTAAAGCTTAAGCATTCACGTACGAGGCCAAAGATTCGGGTTTCTATCTCTTGAGATGTAGTTGTGAATGAGTAATATTCAGGAATCTCATACAAAGACGAAACAGCTGTTCAGTGCTTCCAGTTTTTCAATGCTTGTCTAACTTAGACAAGCCTATGATCTTAATAAAACCGAAACGATCTATGTAACTAACTCTATAATGACACCAAAATATTACTAATGCATCTGTGCAAACAGGAATAACTCATTTTCATCCTCAATAATCTTTGTTTGCCCTGTTTTGATGACATTTCTTCAGTGTAAGAATATAATTCCATCCATTTTATTGAATAGAATAGACTATTATTTTTAAATACTCATCATTTTTTTATTTATTTTAAGGCATGGAAAAGTTGGTTTGATACAGATGCTCCAGAAGATGCTGTAATTCCGGATGGTTATGATAAATTAGATACACTTCATCGTTTATTATTAATAAGAGCATGGAGTCCTGACAGGTGTATTCCAATGGCTAAACGATATATCGCTGAACGTATGGGTGTAGCGTATGCAGATGGTATTATTACAAATTTAGAAGAAATGATTGAAGAGTCGGATACAGCTACTCCAATGATTTGTTTCTTATCAATGGGATCAGATCCAACTGATAATATTGAAAGATTAGCAAAGAAGATGAGTTTGAGTAAGTTGTATTATAGATTCAGATTTGAAAACTTGATTATCTGTAAAATTGGTGTAGAATTTGCTTTTCATTAAATGCCAACATGTCGTTTTAAACGGATTTGGGTGAGTTGATAAGATAAATCAACAAAATGTTTTTACTTTTCTGATTGGTGTAAATGTGGTGAAACTATAACTTATGGACGGCCCTTCAAGAAGCTCAACATGAACTTGAAAAATTTCAGCCATTCAGAGAACAGTTGAGATAAAGAAAGAATTTACTGCTAAAAACTTCTTTAACATGGTGCAGGTAACAAAGAGGCCCTGAAATCTTAATGCGTACGGTACAGGGACTTAGCCATATAGCTGCTCCACAACAGTCGACCTCTATAGCCGTGATCAAGTTCCTTTACCTCGACAGTTTCATTGATTTTTATCATTTTTCCGATTCCTTCAAACAAAACTGATTCACACCCATCACCATTATTCCATATTTATCTCTACAATACACTCTATTGTGTTGTGACTTATCAGTGGCACTCATCCAAAAAAGCCTTAGAGTCCTACAGTTAGTAATTACCCATCAAACTTCTTGTTTGGCGCCCAACAGTACACATTTCTAACTCCAACTAACTGAAGCTCATTACCAAAGATTATAATTATGAGCTCACCGGAAACCTCTTCTCAAGGTGACTTCTTCCTAAAGTGATAATTGGAATTCATAACTAACTGGCAGAATTCAATCATATCGGGAGGGAAATATTTGTCAACTATTGTACTGGATGATCATCAAACAACTTATTTCCTGAAATCATATCCGCGGAATTTTATTTAGTAGTATCCATCAAGTAAGATTATTGCATTTGAAGCTTTATATCATGGACAGCTGTCTCATTGTTTCTAGTTTTTAATAGTTGTCTAACTAAAATCAGTCTGTAATGTGGAATAATAATATTATTAATGGTCAGACGAATAACTTATGCTCCTATGTCTCTTTATCCTTTTCGCTAATGTCAATAAATTAAACTGTACCTGGAGATAATACAGAAGATTTGTAACTGGTCATCAGATGAATGATTTTAGTAGAGTTTCATTCTTTAATTTGAATGAAGCATTCAATGTCCTTCTAGTCAAATTTCATTGACATAAACTTTAGACAGAACCTGATAAAAGTATAATGCAAACAGACGACCTTGAGCGACCTATTAGGCAACCAGGTAACGCTACCTAGTTATGATACCATTACCAGCATAAAGCAATAAAATAACAATGGGATAATTGCTTTGATTTGAGTATTACAATCCTTACATCGAATTATTCTTTGTAATAAACGAAAGTTAAGTGTACGTAGTAGGAGTTAGGCTAGTGTTCCTTAACACTAGCGTAATTAAACAGTCTTGAATGCACATTAACTTAAAGCAAGTACTTTAATACTCAATCTGACGTGGAAGGTATATTTTGTAATTTACCACCTTAAATTAATTCTGTTTTCGGTTGCACGATCGAAACATTTATTGATTTTAATCTTTTTAAGAACAAGAGATTGTCAGTTTACACTTCGTTCATGGTGACATGCAAGTTATCTATCACTACTAAACTTTAAATTCCGTGCAAAATACATTAGGCATTATCTTGATTCTGATTGGTTAACTCAACGCCCTCAGTATATCATACTTTTACCTGGACATTTTTTCTTACTCATAATCTTATCTTATCAGAGAGTATTTCAAGTGAAATTATTGACTTATTCAAAATCGAATTAAACTGTCATAATGAGAGGTTTTCAACATGTTTTCCTGTAATCACTTTTGTTTAAATAGAATGTGGTGCAATCTCCATGGGACAAGGTCAGGAAGTTCACGCTCGACGTTTATTAAGCATTAGTATGCAAGAAGGTAGATGGGTGTTATTACAAAATTGTCATCTAGGCTTAACATTTATGGATGAATTTACTGAAATTGTAAGTAAGAATGTATTTTACCATTAAGCATTGTTTACATTTATTAAAAATATTTGCGATACCTGAAAATATTCATGAATTCAGAGTTATATTCTATCCTCAATATTGATTGCAGTCTATTCATAGTTCATTATGTATGCATTGATAAGTACGTTATAAATTACAACAGACGGATTATCACATTTCAAACAATCTCATTGGTTAACACAAGTATAAATAAAAAAAAAGGATTCCTTTTTCCGAAAAATCTTCTAATAATAAAAATAAGCCTTAGAATCTTTCATACAACATACACACTCTCTTTATAATATTGCGCAACAATGGTTACATAACATATTTATCTTACAGCACAGAATGCTGCTGTAGGAGTAGTAATTTATCGTAACTATACATTCACTTTTGTTCAACTTCTATATGAACAGTTTACAGTTCCATCGGAAACCAGTAACATTCATTCAAGTTGAATAAGCAACTTAAATCACTTAGTTCCTTTTAAAAATTTTGATAGAACAATGAGAAAACGTAAATGATCTGAAAAATATGACTGAAATTTAGGACTGCAATTGATCAGCTGATATTCCTAATAATTCACAAATATCATGAATAGTAGTGATTGGTGGAAGCTAACAGTGGAATCCAGTAGACAAGTTTTAATTTACTTCAGACTCGTCGGCTGGATATACCTTCATCCAAAAGCTGATGTTCGCTCTCGAGGTCGAACATAGAACCGTTCGCTTCGAAGGCCATCACGTTATCTACTTAGCTGATGGGCGATTATTCGGATGCGTATCCTGGATTCCTTTGCTTCGCATTGACAAAATTTGAAATTTCATTTTGTCAATAATAGAATAGTAAAGAAATATATATTGATGAATACTGGTGGTTTATGCTAAATCAGATTTGGTGGTAGATCACGAGGCATTTATTATGAATGCAGTAAAAAAAACATAGATTTTTTAACTGTCAATCAATGTCTGTCATCTGATCAGTTATGATGACGTAAAATGCTTAAACAAATCTTTAGATAAACATTTAATGTAGCTGACTTGATTCCAGCAGTTAAAAATAATAAGTACAATTAGAGAAGATGGGTGAAAAGAGTTTATTAATGTTGTGCACAGTTTTTCAAGGTTTTTAATGAATCAGTGGTGTTACAATCTTAATGAGGATTTGACCTTCAGACTTTACTTTCATGAGTATTGATGTCTTAATAGCCATTCTCACCTAAATGCCCGGTTACCAATCTTGCTGGGTATTCAGTCTTACTCGGCAGATCAAAAGTATTGTCTAATTCTCTATCCGATATTGTGAGTAAGGTAGATTATACAGAAACAATCATACAGGTAGATAGTTGAATTTCCTGAATACTTCTAATTACGGTAATGGAATTAAAAACCTTTAATTGAATATACATTTTTAACAGATTCAAAAATAACTTACAAATCAGTTTCAGCAGTACGACTACTAGGTATCTATACAAACATCAAGACACTTCCATTGTATGAGGCAGAAACTTGGAGAACCATGAAAGCCATTATTCACAAGATACTAGTGTTTATTAACAGTTGTCTACGCGAAATACTTCGGATCCGCTGGCCAGACACTATCAGCAACAACCTACTATGGGAGAGAGCACACCAGATTCCAGCTGAGGAAGAAATTAGGAAAAGTTGCTGCAGTTGAATAGGACACGCACTGAGGAAAGTACCCAACTGTGTCACAAGACAAGCTCTCACTTGAAATTATCAAGGCCAGCGGAAAAGAGAAAGACCAAAGAACACATTATATCGAGAACTGAAAGCAGACGGGAAAATAGTGAACGGTAATCGGATATAACTGGAAAAGAAGGCCTAAGATAGAGTAGGTTGGAAAATGATGGTTGTCGGCCGATGCTCCATTGAGGGTAACAGGCTTGAGTATACAAGTACGTAACTAGGCATGATGGAAAAGTGGACTACTATAATAAACTGATTGTTTCTAAATCCTGAGAACACTGATTACTGCATTTTGTAAGCCACCATTATAATTATTTTTTTGGCAATTTATTCTAGATGACAACTTCTAAAAATGTACACGAATCATTCCGTTGTTGGGTAACAACAGAACCTCATCCACAATTTCCAATAAATCTATTACAATCCAGTATTAAATTCACATATGATCCACCTATGGGTATACGTGCTGGTCTACGCAGAACATATGCTTTATTAACACAAGATCAATTAGAGATTAGTAATTTACCACAATGGAAACCTCTATTATATTGTGTAGCGTTTTTGCATACTACAGTACAAGAACGTAGAAAATTTGGACCAATCGGTTGGAATATACCATATGAATTTAATCAGTCTGACTTTACATCAACAGTTCAATTTATTCAAAATCATTTAGACGAAATCGATCCTAAAAAAGTATGATTTTTTTTTGTAATAGCTTGAAAAAAAAGCACACCCTAAACTGGTGTTGCGTATTTAATCATTCTTTTACATTTTATCGTTTAAATGATAAGATTCGCACTACAATCCTGTTGTGATATTGTCTACATCATGGATTGATTTTAACTAACCAGAAAGTAACTAATTTTGAGAGGTGATTCCTGAAGTTACAGTTAGAAATCATGACTAATTGATGAACTTCAGCCATTTATGATGGAAGCAGGCTACTTACCAGAGTGACATTGGAAGATGGTTGAAATTTAAAAATTACACCTTTGGGGATGCTGACTGAATGGTCTAAAAGTTTAGAGCCGCTTAGTAAGTTAGTTAGCCATTTGCGATGTAGAAACTGGCATTTAAATGCATCAGTGCAAGTTGTCATATCACATCATAGCAGCAAGATGTTTAAGTGATATAACTAGTAATAATGTTTGTGATAGTAGGAAAGGTCAGAAAAAGAAGATATGATTCTAGGAAATATGAACTACAAAGTCCTGGTTTCCATCCCTGCTGGGGTCACAGATGTTCACTGTTAGTATATCTCATACTAGGATGAGACAATTATTCAACCAACAATCCTGATCTTTAATGATTTTGTACAAATGGGATGAGATAAATGTTTGTCAGTATAATTTTATCGATGGTTATTGTTAATTAAAGAAACCTAACTCGACTCAATAACCACATGGATGTTTGTTATGAGTTTTGTTTCAGTAATTAAAGGTGGACAGAAGTTTCAAGATGACCAAAAAGACGTGAAAAATAAATAATCAAAAACTAACAATGTGTTACCGAAGGGTGAAAACGACAGGTCCACTTCTGAGTAGTAATCGGATTAATTAACCAGTTATGTAGAAATTTTCTCTAGATACTTGTGACTATGGTTTTGTTCAAATTTGTTTTGAATTTCATTGAAGTCATGAACTGATCAAAGTTGGATTCATCTAGTATAGGAACCCTCTATAGAACGCGTCCAAGACTCTACTACAGAACATTGAACTCAAGATATTTGGTCTAGCTCGCGAACGCCTAGCCTCTCAAGACCACTGACCTGGGACTCAGCAGTGTACAGCTTCAATTTCAACCACTTCATAGCGTTGTGCAACCAATATCCATTTTCTTTCTTCTCATACTTTACACGGTTTAGCTCTACTAATCAAGGTTTATGATAGCTGTCTCCTCTTAAAGAATGTGATAGAATAGGATCCAGAAATCGTTTGTAGTGTTTCAGAAATACCAATGATAACATGTATTTAAGATCTGCAAATTCTTATTCTCCTTAACTTCAAACAGTTTCTGTTTATTTAATTCCAAATGTATCATTTTGAATTAAATCTTAATCTCATTCACACAATAACTCTTTTTATTATAACATGTAGTGGAAAAAATTATAGCCTAATCTTGCAACCAGCATGCGATTGACTTTTAGTCTCCTCTAATTCATACGATCGATTTGATGATTTATTCTAGTATAAAAACTGGTCCTTACAAATTTCACTTATTCCAAAGCCAAGTTATACACACCAATGAATTGATTTACTGTTATTTATGTTCTTTCTTATAAAAACAACTGTACAAATTTTTTAACGAGATAAGACACTAATAAAGAGAATTTTCTATTAGGACATAATAGCTGCATATAATAGTTTTTTTTTAAAAAAAAAAACTTTTACAGGGAATTTCATGGCCTACTGTCCGCTATATGATTGGTGAAGTCCAATATGGTGGTCGAGTTACGGATGATTATGATAAGCGTTTGCTGAATACTTATGCCAAAGTTTGGTTTGCAGAAATTGTATTCAGTGATACTTTTGAATTTTATCGAGGTTACAATATACCCAAATGTAAAACACTTGATGAATATCAGACTAACATTGACAATTTACCATTGGTTGATTCACCTGAATGTTTTGGTTTACACTCGAATGCAGATATTACGTAAGCTTTACATACAGTTCGGTTATAATTTGTTGTGATATCAAACACGACATAGGTAGTAAGTAAAGGTATAGAAGAGATTCGAGAGAGAGTGACAAATAAGTATCAATTAGTCAGACATCAATTTTCAGTGTATTTGGAGTATTGTTTCAAGTAGAATCCGTGATATTCATTGGATCTTAGATTAGATATGTGTCGGTTGGAGGTAATTAAATCTCAGTGTTGATGTTCACACTAAGTCTCTACTGATCGAAACGGGAAAATACAAACTATATCACAAATAACTTTGCAATCTTTGAACGACTTAGTGATCATTCCAACTCATTTGCTAAGTACATAGTGCTTTGAAGCAAGTTTCAGTGTTAAACATTAACACTGAGATCTAAGCAAATCCAGCTAACAAATCCTAAATACGAAGGCATGCGATTCGTGAATACGAATATTATCCAGAGCTCGAATCTATTGAACTTGTCACCACGAAGTTTTTGTTTCATGCCACTATAGAGAATAAATGTAGTTATGCAGTATACCCGACACTGAAATGAATGTATATTTATACTTATCTGAACTTAAATTACATTTGTGACTTGGAATGTTGTCTGTTAAATGTTAACTGACGAAATTAACAATGATATGAGTAAAGTACAGCTAGAGAATGATGTACTACTGAACTACAACATTACAGCAACAGTATTTTGAAGATGACTTCAAGCTAGGAAACAGACAAACTTGTTAAGAGGACAGTGATAAATACCCTTGATAATTTGATAATCAGGTTAAATCAATATTTGGGCGCCACAAATTTCAAGTCATTTGTTAAACTATTCTAACAAAATTTCATCACAATCATTCACTTGAGCTTCAAGTTTTCTCCACTATCTCAACAAAATTTCATACTTAAAATTGACAATTTCTAGAAATAAGTAGAAAGATAACAAATACTCTAGGGATTACTCTAATTAACATGAATATGTAATAAAAACTCCCCAGTGTACTTTATTATATAAAACAGAAAATGTACAACCAAGATAGTTAAGAGAAAACGACAAGCGTCTGTCAACAAATAACAAGACAATACACCATTAGATTTAGGTTAACAATTTGGAGATTAGGCACTCACTGCTGGACCGAAAGTACTCAGTCCGATTGCTAATGTGGTTGGGTTGTGAATAAACAGTTCTTGATACTAGGTAGGACAAAACAGTCGTTCAGTCCTCTTCAGCTTTCAATGTCTGTTCAACGCAGTTGTAATGAAAATTAAACAATCTCCTTAAACTTCATACTACTGATTAAACTAGTATTATTTCTATCCACAGTTTCATAGATTGATGTTATAATATAATTTGATAGTTTATTTTTTATTTCAGCTATTCCACAAATACAGTTAATGCAATGTTATCGACTATTGTTAACATTCAACCAAAAGATAGCGGTGGAGGTGGAGGGGAAACAAGAGAATCTGTTGTTTATAAAATGGCTGAAGATATTCTAGGAAAATTACCACCCGACTATAATCCATTCGAAGTAAGTGGTGTGTGTGTTTTAGCAAAAAATAATATCTGATTAGCGGTTAAGGGTGAAGTAAACAAGACAGTATCTTACTTCCGATTGATTAGTTCAAGGCTGTTGTGAGTATAGTAGTATACTTGTGTCGGAAATGCTCAACGCGCTATTCTGGTGCGTAGCTAAGCATACACCTTTCTAAATGCAACTAAGTTTTTTTTATCAAGAGTCGTACTTCGCTCTGTTCTTACTATAACTTGATTGAATCAGTAGTGAAGAATACAAACAATACTGTTTATTTTTGTGCTTAACAAAAATGATAAATTATTTTTGCTTTATTAAACTAACAGTTATCGAGAACACCGAAAAATCCTCATTCCTCCTGAAACTTACCACTTAACTTTATTACCAACAAATTGCTTTTTCGACAAGATTTCTACAAGGATTATTTTCATCCTGGATAATAATTTCATCTCTTTCTTATTAGAGTTAAATATTTATTCGTAAATTTTGCGCATACTTCGTTTGTATTTGAATAAAAACAATTATTTCAACTATACAGTAGTAGTGGTAGTAGTTCTTGGCGGGGAGTAAGCATTAAATTTTGAACTCATCCACCGGTAGGTAAGTTACCTATTTATTATACTCTATCCGTGTTTATTTATAGATGAATTCATTGATTCAAACTAACATATAGATACTCATATTTTAATTCTTTCAATCCAGGTAAAAGAACGATTAATTAAAATGGATCATTTAAAACCACTTCATATATTTTTAAGACAAGAAGTTGATCGTATGCAACGTGTTATAAGCAGTGTTCGTACAACATTAACTGATTTGCAGTTAGCTATTGATGGTACAATTATAATGTCAGAAAATTTACGTGATGCATTAGATAACATATTTGATGCACGTATTCCAAGTACATGGAGAAGAGTAAGTTAACTGTGATTGATCTAAAGATGTAAAATAAGTAGACTAATTTGATTACTGATTCTAGAGAGAATAAATAATCTGTTTCGTTTTGAGCAATTGAGACCAACTTAGAAATTCTACCTAATGATAGTTAGTTCAACTTGGATTGAAATTATTACTTAACAGTGAACTTCACTGATTTCATTTCTTATAGAGTAGATTTAACTTTAAAGTCAGTGGACCTAATAGTCTCGTGTTTACGAATGTACATACATATACAGTGAAAATATCAAGGTTGAAAAAATACATAAAATCATGAATTTTGAGATGCGATGCAAACTACCACACCAGCATAAGCAGACAAAAGACATGACTTTGTAGTAGAGCTTAGACTAGAAACTAGTTAATCATTCGGTAATGTTATGTATGTGTGTTCCTTTGGTGTTGATCCAATCCTATCGATTAGGTTGCTGAGGCCATTATCCTACATAACTGGTCATTGCACTATGCTCAGAGGTTAAGTGGTTGGAAGTAGTCGAAATACGTTTTGTGTTAGTTGGCACTTTTCTGTGGTGTAACTACAATGTTGAAGGGATCAATTCATCCTGAGATTTGAACTCAGGCCACCCAGTTTGACAATTTTAGATCTTACTGCCCAGTTATTTAAGTCTCTTTACATAAAGGAAACACCAATTATGAATCTTTAATTTTTAATGACAACTTTGTAAAAGCCATGTTGTCATTGCATTGTTTGAAAGTACAAAAGAACTACTTTTTCAGTGGACTTTTATAGCAATTTTCCAACTTTTTCTAATCATCAAAACCTTTTTCTAGATGTCATGGGAATCAGCTACCCTTGGATTTTGGTTCACAGATTTACTTGACAGGAATACTCAATTTAGTAACTGGCTTTTTGAAGGTCGTCCGGTTTGCTACTGGATGACAGGATTTTTTAATCCTCAAGTAAGTGTCCTGTATGAATGTTTATTTTTGGAGATAATTTCTTTATGCAAATTAATATCCAGTTGTGGAACAGCAAATACACGCCTTTGCCATTGATCCATCCAGTTTTTATGTCAGAATTGATAACTCTGACAGTCAGTAAGAGGTAAGAAAAATGTCATTATTTTAAAAGTCTGTGATTCATCAGTAACGTCTCTGACAAGAAGGTCAGACGATTAGATCTGAAATCGTTCAATAAAATGTAGTCAATTCCACTGTTGTAAGAATAAAGTTTATATCACGTGTCTGTAAAGCGTTTTCAAGGCTGTTTTCGGCTATCACTATATTACGGATCTCAGTTAAATATAATTATAGACATATTTCAATCATTACCGAATAGGAGTAGTATATCCAGCGTCTTACTGGTGAAGAGTTTTAACTAACACTATTCTGCCAATAATAATTTCTCTAAACTTAATTTACCATCTTTATTTTGAAAAAAACTGTTCAAATGTTCAGTATATAGTTATTTTAGACTGTAGAAACCAGTAGGGTAAGTTAGAATGACAACTCTAGAAAACACATTCCTATTGATCGTTGATAGTTTTGTCAAAACTAAGATATGTCATAAAGAAACTTGTGTGAGAATATTCATTTACAATAGTATTAATTTATGTGGAGTGATTGTACTCTTCTCATTTACGTGACCGTAATAACTATCCTTCGATTTTATGCTTGTTCCGTCGTTTAAATTATCAATTTAAAAGAACTAAAAAACTGACTTTAAAACCACTAATTATTGTTATGTGTGTAAAATTACCAACCAGTTTTTTTTTTTTTAATTTCCTCCAACGATTATGAAACTCAATTGTTATTCACTACCTTATTTCAGGGTTTCCTCACTGCCATGAGACAAGAAGTAGCCAGAGCAAATAAATATGCCTTAGATGATGTAGCTCTAACGAATGACGTCACAAAATCAATGCGTGAAGAATTAACTAAAGGTCCAAATGAAGGCGTTTACATTTATGGTCTTAGTTTAGATGGAGCTGGTTGGGATCGTAAACTGGCTAGACTAATGGAACCGCCACCAAAACTATTGTATACTCCACTTCCAGTGGTACATGTATCTGCATTTTCCCAATCGATCGGTGAGAAAAATAAACCTGGAATATTCTATTCATGTCCAGTTTATAAAAAGCCTAAACGTACCGATTTGAATTACATATTCCCTTTGATGCTGCGTAGCGCAGTTGATGCAGATCATTGGATTTTAAGAGGAGTTGCTTTATTATGTGATGTTAAATAGATAATTAATAATTTCTATTTCTACTTATTTGAATAACGCATACAACAAAAATACATAGGTTACCAAAAAACAAATATAATCAATCATCTTATACATAAATGATACGCATTAACTTCTGTTCTTTTTATGTAACATTTTATTCTGACAAATTGTAATAAACAATATACACAAATAAACAAAGATTAAGAATTTTATGTCTTGATTGAATTGAATGAAACCTGAAATGAAATGGGAATGTGTCGATTTCTATGATCTGATTGAAAATTTTAAAATTTGTACTGTTTGTTAGTCAATCATAAACTTGAGTCTAATGAATTCTTAACAAACTGTATTATGCATCGGCTTGTGCAATAAAACTAGTAGTAATCTATTGTAGGTAGGAGTAGTTCAATAGGACTTATAACATTGGCGTTGATTAAAGACTGTTAGCATAGTATACAATGTTTTCCAATCCAGTTATAAATATTGAAATCACTACTACAATTGTAGCTGCGTTATGAATGCTGTTGTGAGAAATCTTCACCAATAATAATAATACTCTGTAAAGATAGTTTGCTCGCAAACATTCTATTCTTTAAAAATACCTAGTTTGTGAAGTCCAGTGTTCATGCAGTAAAACATATTACAATAAAATAAAAAAAAAAACGATTCAGAATCTATAATTCATCTTACACAAAACTATATCAGTATGTCACAGGCATGCATCAATCACATCAAAATCTATCTTGACAGTGAAAGACAAAACTGACATCCTTAAATGAAGAGATAGATAGGTTTGAAACCTTTTTGAAATAAACATGATGCCATACAATGTCTTTTGAAAATGCTAAATAATATTATGAATCTTGAGATATATACTGTGTTTCATAACTGCTCATGCTCGATGGTTCATACTTCTTCGCTCCTGTTTAGATTTAACTGTTACTTCACACTGTAAACATGCAACAAGCAAAAGTTGATTATCAAAGTTCATTTTATGAGAATAAAGTAAATTAGTACCAAAATAAACGAACTGTAAAGCATACTTACCAATTAAACGTAAAAATATGTAACGACTTCAAATATTACAATATACTATTTTCTAACTACTTCGTAAATATATTACTTATGTGAAAAACCACCAATCGAATTATAAGTTAGCTCGTATATAAATAACTCTGACTTGAAGGCCACTAGTAAGCCGATCAGTCCCCATATATAGAATATCAAATTAATTTAAAACCATCGTGTTACATGTCAGTATATATTGTTTTACTAGCGAAAAAATTATAAATACATTTCAAAATATTCTAATAAAGTTCTCATGTAATAAGACGTGAATTGCTAGATTATGTTTCAAAGGCAGATTGTACAATAATATCTTTTTTTCAGTTCATTTATTTTGCTACATTCTTACTATATAACTTCTACTATTTCGTCGTACTGCTGACTGCAGAGGGGTGTGACAGCAGTAAGGTGTTTCCCTCGGACAACCAGCATCTGCAGCGATGCTGCCTTCTCACAAGGAAGGAAGGGTTAGAAAAGTTCGACCCTAAAAATGTCACACCTCACCCTACCTCACGGATTTCCGTCTCCGTCGGTAAGGGTGCCCACTAAGGGCCTTTAAGAGCGGAGCTAATACTCGAAAATCCTTTCATCAAAAGGCCGTGCGTGACAAGCCTCAAGCAGTTGTCCCTTGGACTCTGCGGTCCCGCAACCAGGTCGTTAAGACCAACACTAATCTATCTTCCTTTTCAGGTCCTTCCAGAAACAACCTTCCACGGTGTGGGCAGCCGGAGAGTGACAACCGCCCCCATACCCGTAACAGCACGCGAGACCAAATTGGTCAAAATCAAATCCTTCCTACACCCCCTTGTACCTCTCTTATCTCCACGACTAACTCATCTCACATTTCGTTATCACACTGCACAGCTAACGCAAACAATGGGAGTTCACGAAATGTCATTCCTGGTCTCTTGAAACCTCGTTCTAGACTACATGTTGGAGCATTTAATGTACGGACATTGTGTCAAATAAGGCAACAGACGTCATTAGCTAGGACTTTAGAATCTCGTGCCATCGATGTATGCTGCGTCTCGGAAACGCGCATACAGGATCCTAGTAAAATCATTAATCTGATTTCACCTTGTCAAAATAAAGAAGCAGATAGATTTACTTTTCGTGTATCTGGAAGCCCTGATGCTGCTTCCAGGGGCCTTGCTGGCGTAGGTATAGCATTGAGTCGTACAGCTGAACAATCTCTCCTTGACTGGATCCCAGTAGATAGCCGCTTGTGCGCTGTCCGACTAAACGGGACAGTAAGGACTCGGAAAGATAGGGACACTCGCCGTTGCCTCTTCGTCGTATCTGCCTATGCCCCCACTGAATGCAGTTCAGATGATGTAAAAGATGAGTTTTACAGAAAGCTTTCGGACCTCCTCCAAAAAGTTAAGCGCTCTGATAGTTATAATGGCTGGTGACTTTAATGCTCAAGTAGGTAGATTGAGTGAAAATGAAAGACACTTGGTGGATGTTATGGTGTCGCGGCTCAGAGAACAGACAATGGTGACCGTCTGTTGCAACTGTGCTCAGATAGCCGCCTATTCTTAGCAAGCACTAACTTTAGGCATAAGGAAAATCATCTGTTGACCTGGCGACCCCCGAAGTCATCTCAACGTTGGACGCAACTAGATCACATTGCCATCAGCCACCGATGGAAGGGTTCGATAGAAGTTTGTCGCTCGTTGTGAGGCACATGTTTAGATTCAGATCATGCTCTAGTGCGAGCGCGTATTTGTTTGAAGCTTACTAGGCGTAGGAAAGACACCGTAAGAAAACCTCAGGGTTTTACTTAATGATAATAAGGCGAAGAATATATTTCAGGAACAACTAGAAAGACAGTTAGGTGACCACTTAAGCTATTCCCATCCGGAGGCAGGTTGGAATGATATCAAAAAGGCTGTGGAAACAGCAGTGATATCTGCTAGTAAGGTTTACCATAAGTCCAGAATGAAGCCGTGGATCTCAGTAGCATCCACCGATCTGATGGATGCCCGAAAACTCATCCCACCTGGCTCTGAACATGATGAAGAACGACGTCAGCTTAAGCGCAGGTTGATAAAAAGCCTGCGCAAAGACCGTGAACAGTGGTGGGTGGTGAAAGAAAAAGCGATGGAAAAGGCAGCGGCGATAGGCAACACTAGACAACTTTTCTGACTTATCAAAGAAACTAGTATTAGGAATCCTAGTGTGAGACTATCTCGGAAAATGATGGTACTATTATTTATTCTCAATCCAGGAGACTGGATCGATGGGCAGAACACTTTAGAGATCAGTTCAACTGGCCTCGAGCCACTCTTCGGTTACCCACGATCTCCAGTCAACCTGAATGGCAAATCGACGTAAGCCCCCCTAGTCTTTATGAAGTTGAGAAAGCGTTAGGAAATCTGAAGCGAGGGCGAGCTGCAGGTCCTGATAGACTGACCCCTGAGATATTTAAGGATGGTGGTCCAGTTTTAGCAGCTAGGTTGACTGAGATCTTAGGTAGAATCTGGGAACTGGACGTAATCCCATCCGACTGGTCTCAATCACTGATTGTCCCAATCTATAAGAAAGGACAGAAGTCTTCTTGTGACAATCACAGGGGAATAAGTCTAACTAATATAGTATCTAAAATATTGACCTCAATAATACTTCGACGCTTAACGAAAGCTCGTGAAGAGCAGACTAGAGAAAACCAGTCTGGTTTTCGTCCTGGACGTGGTAGTATAGACCACATCTTCACACTACAACAGGTCCTGGAACACAGACACACATTTAGACGCCCGACAATAGTCGTGTTCCTGGACCTAAAAGCGGCATTTGACTCAGTGGATCGTGAGGTTCTGTGGCAGTGTCTGTCATTAAAAGGCGTACCAAAGAAATACATTAACCTTATACAAGCTCTCTACTCGAACATCACTGGTCGAGTGAGAGCTTATGGCGAACTGTCAACAGAATTCTTTACTTCAGGTGGTGTCCGTCAGGGATGTCCACTGTCCCCATTCTTGTTTAATTTTATCATAGACATGCTCCTAGAAATAACCTTATCCTCGTCTGAATTTTCAGGAGTAGACCTGTTACCAGGTGGCTCGCTTATTGACTTAGAATATGCCGATGACATTGTCCTACTTGGTGTAGACGCTGACAAAATGCAGAGTCTTCTGACTACCCTAAGCAACAATGCAAGCATGTTCGGGATGCGGTTTTCCCCCTCGAAATGCAAAATGTTGCTTCAAGATTGGGTTGCATCGGCACCTGAACTAGTGATAGGGAGTGAAGTAGTTGAACGTGTAGACCGCTTCACTTATCTTCGATGTCTCATCAGTGCCGATGGCCTGGTGACTGACGAAATCTCAGCTCGGATACAGAAGGCTCGACTGGCTTTTGCCAACCTGCGTCACTTATGGCTTAGGCGAGATATCCGTTCGCTGACTAAAGGACGAGTGCACTGCGCAGTAGTTCGCTCCGTCTTACTTTATGGCTGTCAAACATGGCCAGTGAGAGTAGAAGATATTCGTAGGTTACTAGTTTTCGACCACAGGTGTCTTCGAAGCATTGCTCGTATATCGTGGGACACCCGAGTAAGCAACGCTGTTATTAGGAAGCGGGTGCTAGTTAAGAATGGCAGATCAAGAGATGAAGTGATGAAACTTCATCAGTTGAGGTGGTTGGAACATGTGTTACGTATGCCTAACAACCGACTGCCTCGAAGAGCTTTGTTTTGTAGTGTAGGAATAGGTTGGAAGAAAGTTAGGGGCGGCCAAACCAAAACATGAAGTCATTGACGAGTGCACTGAGCCATGTCGGTAATTGTCGACTACCTGGTTGGGGTCCGCGAGATGATAATAATCGATGGTTAGAGACCTTGAATGACATGGCTCAAAATCGTTTGCAATGGCGCAGGTGCATTTATTCTTTGTGTTCTCTCAAATCCTAATCTTTTGGCTTCTTCAACACCTCTAGTTTTGACTTTCTAAACTTTTCTCACTGAATCATACTTCTTGAATAATATCTTCTAATTCTAACGTCTCCGATTACTTCGAATACCTTTACCACCTCTTCTACTATTGGATTTGAATTGACAATTACATCTCTGTGCTGATGTGTTATGGCAACATGAACTGATGTACTTACGTACAAAGTTCCACGTTGCATCTTACTGACTGACATTTAAACTTGCTAAAGACTTTCATTGCTGTTCTCGCACATTTTCTATGCTGTGAGACGATCATAAAAATGAATCATACTCATTGTGATCAAGTGAAAGAGCGCTGGTAAGTATTTTTCTCTAGCATTGTCAGTGTAGACATCAAAGGCCTGTATGTGGTTAGACCTCAGGGTGAGTAATACTGACCGCTGGTCTGTCTGAATACTCTATATTTGACAATTCAGCATTAAATTCTAGCCTGTCCTTAATCCGATCGGTTTTCAAAAGTACATTATGGACGCGTAAATGATGCGAAAACATTGGGCTACATTTTTGTTCAAGAGTGTAAACTAATCAGTGAAAAATTATTTCAAATACATTAATAATAATTAAGCAGTTTATTTTCAAGAAAATGTACATAAATTTTCTGGAGGTGAAGATAAAGGAATTGTACCAGGGATAAAATTTCCAGGTGAACGATATATAGATAGCTCATCTTCATTTAGCTGATCGTAAGAGCTATAAATTTCTGAAGTGTCATATCCCCATTCACGATATCGAGGTGATTGCATTTTGATTGCTTTCTCAGTCTGATGAAATGAAAAACCTATTAAACTAGGTGATGTTGGTTTATTAATAGTTTTGTTAACACTATTAGTATCAACGTTAGGTAAGCATCTTGTGAGATTATTTGGCAGACTGTTTGGACATTTTGAATCGACGGTTTCCTTTGAATTTCTGCGATAGGTATGAGATGAATTGGCTGAATAAATGATAAGTTTAATGTTACTCTGGATTAAAATTATTCAAAAGAATGAGTAAAGTTTCAGAGGTATGATCAAATCATTCTATAAAAAAGTTATAATACTGAACCAAACTTAAAAAGGAAAAATCCAACTTTTCGTTCGGCAATCTGGTCCAAGATTTTCAAGGAAATAACTAAGTTTGTCTAACTATTAACGGTGTTTCTTTAAATACTAAAAAAGGAAATCACACTGAACTGAGGATTTAGAGCTGGAAACATCTGCAAACCTAGTGATCAAGACGCAGATGCAGTTATGTATTCGAGACACCTTGCTGAAATCAACTTGGGAACTATTATTTTAAAATCATTTTGCAATGCCGAGTTTATCAACACCACAGGTCACGGGACATTCTTTAAATAGCATTTGAGGGTGAACCTTACAGTTACTTCAATATATTATGAATCCCTTAGTGTTGAGAAACACTAGCTAATGAAATCTGATCCAACAAACGTACAGAAAGTTATGGGTTTAGTCAGAAAAGGATTTAGAAATACAAACTTTAGCAGGTTCTCGAGGTAAATAAAATATTTATCGTACTGAAACCACGGACCGATTTGAAGTTCACACATCCACTGGAAACCTGAGTGCACTGGAAGTCCGTTTCACCCTGGTACGAGACCTGCTAGTACTCATCCACGACCATGCTATCAAGAGCTGACGTTAGGACCGGTTGTGCACGAACGCCTAGCCCTGAAGAGAACTAAGCCGGGATTACATGGTGTACAAATATAGCTTCGTGATCTTAACACAGTTCGACAATCTTTATAATCACATGGTATTTCACCTGACGATGTCAGTTTTTATTATTGAATGCTTTCATACCAATTAAGTATCAACGATCACTAACAAATACAGAGTTTGATTACGTATAGATTATTTTAAAAGTTCCCTAAAAAATGTGATAAAAGGGAAAAACCAAATCAATTCATAAATATAATTACCACTTATGTCGTGTGAAAATGTACATCTGACCCCATTATGACAATATCCTTGTAGGTAAAATTTACAAGGAATAGATCTAAAGTTTAAAAAAAGGTTTTTATATAGCATCAAAACATAAAGATGAGAAAACAAATGTTTAAATTAGTGGAATGAATATTATTATCCCAGTACAATTAATATTATATCATGGATGGTAGATAATAAAAGTTACTTAGCAGAATTCGTCTGAATTAAACATTTTACATGATAACGACGAAAATTCATGAACAAATAGGTTAAATAACGGAACATTATGAACAACAGTCAACAGTTTTAGTAAGTAAAAAACTCAGGTTTTGAATTGCAATATATATATATATTTCAGTCCCGAACTGTAAGGATGAGAAGCACTACACAGCGTGTGTGAAAATTCCGAAAGCGATATTATCTACATAAATTTTTAACATGCCTTAGGCCAACTGAAATGGAATACAGTGACATGTTACAGCACGATTATATCTAACACTAAGTTAATGGTAAATTCAATATGTCCCAGAAATGGATCTTCGCTTCAAAAATTCGTTGAGCAATCGGCGACAGTCAATTCGCTTATGAAGCTATTGACTTTATTTTGGCCATGTAGAAGACAGAAATAACTTAATCGGGATCTGTAAGATCACTAACATCAGTGGTGACCAAGTGAAATTGAGATGGTTCACGATGCTTATCACTGGTGTTGATTCTTCGGCTACCTCTTACTTTTGAAATCTCTTATTACCCCTGAGAAACGCCGCCACTATCAGAGTTATTATTACTGCCACTTTGTCCCTACATATGACGTATGGCAGCTTAAATCAACGAACACTTGCTCGAGGTACTGTGTTGTAAATGTTTGACTTTCATTAATGGAAGCCTATATTTTCAGACGAGAAGCTTTATCTTGTTAAGATACAATTTGCCTAGACAGCAAGCTAAACGAAGTATATTACAATCTTTATGAATTATTGAAGAACCATGTAGTAGTGAAAAGAAGTGTAGAATAATACATTTATAAAATCAAATTTATCAGTGTACTGGATGAATCGGTAGATGCAATCTAACAGTAAATATGATTATCACTGTTATCCAGACTTCAGCCAGTCAGTTACAACGCAGAACTCGGTACGTATGTACATAAGTTCAAGTTGCCATACCAGATTTGCACTGAGACGGAATTATCAATTCAAATCCCATAGTAGTAGAGGTAGTATTAGCAGTAATCGGAAATTTTAGGGTTCGACGATATTATTCAAGTAGAATCTAGTGAAATAAACTTTAAATAAAAAGACTATGAGGAATTCAGAAGATTAGGATTTAACAGAACGCAAAAAGTGGATACACCTGCGCGATAGCAAACGGTTTTGAGCCATGTCATTCAAGACCTCTAACCATCGGTGTTATCCGGACTTGGATTGACTTTAATAATGATGAATTAGAATTAACTAACATGCTCGAGTTAGCCAATATGTAACTTGGTAGATAATCATGTGACTACGTACACACGCAAACGATAGACAGATTTCCCAACCGTAGTTGCTACCTTGAGGTGGTGGTCTGTCGCGTCTTCAAGCTATACTGGCTGGAACAATTGTTCCTGTACGTCCTGCCATGCCAGACAGGTCGATTGGAGAACGATGAGACTAATAGCAGCTGCTCAAGGTCTGAGGGTGAAGTCGTACTGCTGACTGTAGAGAGGTGTGACAGCAGTAAGGTGTTTACCTCGGACAACCAGCATCTGCAGAGATGCTGCCTTCCCACAAGGAAGGAAGGGTTAGAAAAGTTCGACCCTAAAAATGTCACACCTCACCTTGCCTCACGGATTTGTATCTCCGGTGGCAAAGGCTTCCAAACAAGAGCAGAGCTAGTACTTTAAAAACTTCTCATAAAAGGGCTGTGTGTGACCAGCCTTAAGCAGTTGTCCCATGGGCTCTGCGGCCGCGCTCCCAGGTCGTTAAGACCAACACTAATCTACCATTCTTTTCAGGTTCCTCAAGAAACGCCCTTTTATGGTGTGGGCAACCGGAAAGTGACAACCGCTCTCATACCCGTAACAGCACGCGGGACCAAATCGGTCACAACCAAATCCTTCCTACAGCCCTAATATTCTCTTATCTCCAAGACTAACTCTACTCACATTCCTTTATCAGCCTGTACCGCTAATGCCAACGATGCGAGTTCACGAAACGCTATTCCTGGTCTCCTGAAATGCACGGACATTGTGTCAAATAGGGCGACAGGCTTCATTAGCTAGGACTTTAGAATCTCCCTCAATTGATGTATGCTGAGTTTCTGAAACGCGCAGGATGCTAGTAAAATCATTAATTTGATTTCACCTTTCAAAACAAAGAAGCATCTCGATTTACTCTTCGTGTGTCTGGAAGCCCTGATGCTGCCTTCCGGGGTCTCGCTGGTGTAGGTATGGCATTGAGTCCTAGGGCAGAACTATTTCACCTAGACTGGATCCCAGTAGATAGTCGCTTGTGCGCTGTAAGGACTCGCTGTTGACTATTCGTCCTATCTGCCTAAGCTCCCACTGACTGCAACTCAAATGAGGTGAAAGATGAGTTTTGCGGGAAGCTTGCGGACCTCCTCCGAAAAGTTAGGCGCCCTGATATAGTAACAATGGCTGGTGCTCAAGTAGGTAGACTCAGCGTAAAGGAAAGACACCTGGGTGGATCTTATGGTGTCGCGGCCCAAAGAACTGATAATGGCTACCGTCTGCAGCAACTATGCTAAGATAACCAACTATTTCTAGTAAACATTAACTTTACGCAAAAGAAAAAACATCTGACCTGGCGACCCCCAAATTCGTCCCAACGCTGGACCCAACTGGATCACATCGCCATCAGCCACCGATGGAGGGGTTCGACAGAGGAATTTCGCTCGTTCTGGGGCACATGTTTAGACTCAGATCGCGCCGTAGTTAGGCGACCATGTAAGTGATGCTCATTCGGAGGCAGCTTGGAATGATATCAAAAAGGCTGTGGAAACAGCAGTGATATCTGCTAGTAAGGTAAACCGTAAGGCTAGGAAGAAGCCGTGGATCAAAGAAGCATCCACCGAACTGACAGACGGTCATAAACTCATGCCACCTACGCTGTGATCGCGAACAGTCGTGGGTAAAGAAAGCAAGAGAGATGGAAAAGGTAGCGGCAATAGGCAACAGTAGACAGTTGTCCCGACTTATCAAGCAAACTGGAATTAGGAATCCGACTGTGAGACTATCTGAGAAAAAGATGAGACTATTATTAATTCTCAATCCAAGAGATTGGATCGATGGGCAAAATACTCCAGGGATCAATTCAATTGGACTTCAGCAACAATTCGATTGCGCACGATCTCTAGTCGTCCTGAATGGCAAGTCGATGTAAGTCCTCTGACAGTTCCGTCTCTGTGCTGATGCGGTATGGCAACCTGAACTTATGTACCCATATACGAAGTTCCACGTTGTAACTGACTGACTGGTATAGATTTTATGAAGGGGATCTGTATATACAATTCGATTCCTTTTTTTCATCCAAATTTTAAAAATCTACAGATTCATATGTTGAACAAAGATTGCGTACTAATGCTGTAAAACATGGAGATACTCACTTCGGAATCTGCAAAGACCTGGTTTCTGGCAAACAGTGAGAATTAATGCATCGATCACCATAGATACACCGATTCTTTAGATAAAAAGGACAGACCTGTTTTCCCTAATCAAAGAAAAAACTGAATTGCATATCACCTGAGGTTTCATATATTTGAAACATTGCGAAAAATATATAAGGGTGAGTTATTATGTGAACTAGTCGTTTTGAAGCAAATTGTTATTATTTACGTTTATTCATTAAATTTGTAGAATTCATTCCAAGTTCCGATTTTCGTGACAGCTAGAGTTACAACACAGTAAATCATGAATATATGGAATGCGGGTCAAACCCATGATACAGTGTTGTCAATCAAGCGCTATAGTCTCTGAGCCACAGCTGCCCAAACACCAGTGAGTTTATTACCCGCTAAAAAAGGGATGCTAACATGGTCCACACTGAAGCTAGTACATGAAAACAATGGACAGAGCTAATACAGCAAAAGTGAAATAGGTTGGTAGAAACATAGGTAGTTTACAAAGACAGGATATGAAGCTCAAAAGCTAAGTCCTACAAAGAGCATAATCTAAGCCCGTATTTATTAATTTAACCATATGAGATCATCACTAGTTACCTTATCGCTCAAAACTTAGGTATGAAATTTGGTACACAGTTATAACTTTGATTAACACATTTGTACACTAAAATATTCTTCACTTAACAACAGTCCAGAGATATCATAGTAGCGAGTACTGTCCATTCATGTGATAAGGTAGTTAAAATATCAACATATCTCTTAATAATTAGTAGTTACGTTATCTTTCAATGCTATATGACGCTTTTCATCTAATTTTACGTTATTCCCTGTATTTTTCCCCTTAAATTCGTGAGAACTCACTGCTGGTGAATGACCCTGACGTCGAAACACTCGCATTCTCAGACTCCAATATCCAATATCCAATACCTTTTAACGAGCTAGTAAAAACAAATTGGTTACTTTGCGCTCGATTTTTTTCCGTCGGCACGATTCTAGATAGTGCTCAGCAGATGCGGATCCAGTTAGTTGGAAGTTTTTTGTCAGTTTTTACGTCCCGTAATTTGATTGAATATGTTTGTTTCAGGGCAGCAAGGATTATGAATAGACCAGCTACAACTCGTTAAGTGTTGCTCAGTATGAGGATATTCATCTGAGGTAAAGAATATATCTACGAACGAATAGTCTATATCTATATCACTTAATTTTCTATTGCTCACAGACTTACAGACAATCTGAGGTTTACTGTAAACTGTATCCGCTTGTGGGCTCGTCAAGTGTTTGAGGCCAGGCACACTTTCTATCAGGTGCTTGTAATTATTTGTCCAGGAAGCAGTGGATGGTGCTGAGTCACTCGCATGGAGGTTAGTTGTATTTATATCTATGAGAGGGATACAAGGTAACGAGATGTCGTGTCCAAGTTCATGGTACAATTTTGGTGAGCCAGTAGGAAGATCACAATGCGATACAGATGGATCACTTTTCACACAAAGTTTGTTTTTATTCGCTTTGATATTGGATTTGGATCTCCTACAGGTGCTGTATGCGTCCGGCAAAATGTAACGTTTTATCTATAAACGTGGCGTGTTTCAGGATTTATTTGTAAGTAGAACTTATGCTATGTGGACTGTGTTCGTTCAAACTTACATTGATAGGAGATAGGAGTAAGTTTAGCACTCCGAGAGCACTAAGAAAATGAAGCTAAAAACCGCAGTAAAAAGCTAAAATACGAATAACTGATGTTATGAATAAAACACCGGTTAATATATACACTTGGTCACGAGTAAAACGATAGGAATAAGAGCAAAAGAAATCAAGTGAAAAAAAGTTAAAACCTTCAAAGTACGCACTCATTTTTTGTCGAGAACGAAATTGTCGATTTCAAATAGTCCTGTAGTTTTGAGATTCTCGATGAGGCCTAAATGGGCCTCATGCTGCTGGACAGAAGACAAAAACTTAATCCCTAGATAATTTGGAATTGATAGCCTTACGCTAGTAAACCACAATGTCTCTAGGACTTCCGTTTCTGCAGTGATGAAGTGAATTTAATTTTCGCTTTCACCTAGTGCTACAGATATGCCTAATTCAGCCATATGTTGAGACGAGAGATGGAAATTTATGGCATTTTCAGAAGGAAGTGAGATCTTGCTTCGAATACTTTAGCAGCATAACTCCACACGTTTATCAGATTTTGTCAAACCAAGGACCCATATAAGTGTTTGAAGTTTTTATACTGACTTTTAACTAGCTAGTCATAAGAGGACCTGTCTTTCAGGATCTTAATATTTAATCTGTTCCTTAGTGTTGAGTGACAGGCATAGTTCGATGGTTTCTTAGTTCCATAGCTCCTTGATCCTCATTTCGGTTCGAACTAGGTGCAAACACCGGTAATGTGCGAATTGAGGTTGTCAGATAAAATTCTGTGTGGTCTTCTACTGACAGAGATGCGATCAGCATGTTTTCCTCAGCCGCCACTTGATCATTAATGAGTCGTGACAGTGTCTGCTTGAACAAATTGTAGATGGCGTCGATATTTGATATCAAAATCATACCCTGAAAGTACCAAGGCCCACCTCTGAAGACGATTTGCAGAATGGGCTGGAATGCCAGATTTAGAACCGAATCCTGCAAACAGAGGCCTGTGATCTGTGAGGGACGTGAATCTCGGTGAACAGCAAACACAAGGGCAAGAGCCGCCTTCTCTACCTGGCTGTACTTCTTTTCTGCTAGGGTTAGTGTACGGGATGCATGCATAACGGCTTTTTCTGACGCGTCTGGAAAGTGATGTGAAATAACGGCACCTAGGCCATATGCTGAAGCGTCTGCTGCTACGATGATTGGCATGGATGGATCTTAGTGTGTTAATAACAATTTCGAGCTAATTATGGACTTGAATTTACCAAAAGCCGCGTCACACTCTTCAGTCCAGTTCCATGTGCTATGCTTCTGCAGTAGACAATTCAATGGAGCGCGAATATCATGCATCGAGGGAACAAAAGCTGAATAATAACTGATTAATCCAAGAAAAGATCGTAATTCGGAAACATTAGTGGGAGTAGGCATCAGTTTGATAGCTCGGATATTCGCGGGAACCGGTATGCGGCCATCGGCATCAAGGATGAGTCCCAAATACTTTACCGACTGCAATAAAAACGGGCGTTTCTCCGGGTGCAACCGTAAACCGTTGTCACTGATGCGTTTTAGTACCAATGTCTTGCGTTCCCGTAGCTGTTCTGTTGTCTTCGCAACAATCTAGATATCATCGAGATAAGCTGCAACCCCTGAGATATATGATAGGATAGTATCCACTAGTTGTTGGAAGATAGATGGGGCAGTCTTAACTCCAAAAGGCGGACGGTTGTACTGGAACGAATCACGATGAGTATTGAAAGTAGGCAGTTCTTTAGATGACATCGACATCCACTTGCAAATAAGCATCAGCTAGATCGAGCTTTGCGAAAACCTTTCCCTCATTCAGCATCGTATACAGGTCTGCGGGGACGGGCAAAGGATAATGATATTATTCCAGCGCTGCATTGAGACCTGTAGAGAAGTCTGCACTGATACGTATCGTGCCGCTGGCCTTCTTGATATCGACTATAGGTGCTGCCCAACTAAGGAATGGCAGTAATAACCCCTTGTTGTTGAAGGCGATCCAACTCCTCATCTACTATTGCTAATGTTGCATAAGGTACGGGTCTCTTTGAACCGAAAGCAGAGTTAGCCTCAGGTTTCAAACGAAGTGCTGCTTTCATGGCAGTGCACCGACCTAATCCAGGGCGAAAAATGGTTGAAAACACCGTCATCAGCTTCCTCATATCTGATTCAGGGTCATGTGGTTGTGATACCAGGTGGCATATGGTATTTAACGGGACATCAGCCAATTTCATCTGATCGAACCAATCTAAATCAAATAAACTTAGGTCAGTTGGCTTTATATAACATACCCCAGTAAGTGACGAATCTCGGAAGGTACCTTTACATTCCGATTGTCCAAACAGACGAAGGTACTAACCACATGCTGCAAGAGGTTTCTGTGTTGTGTGCCGCAGGCTTGGGCTACCCAATTTGCGCGAGAGGATGGTGACATCAGACTTCTATTTGCATTCTACACAAATGCCAGTTAACACTGAGAGTAATAAATTTCCTCTCACAGACTTCTTGGCACTTCTGGATCGGTTCTGCTTTTTCTTTAGGCAAAAACCATCTTTATGACAGATGACCTTACACTTCCTGCATCGATGTTGCCTAAATGGGCAGTTCCGCCATGAGCGTCAGTGCCAGCAAGGAGCAGGGGGATTCATTTTGGACTTTTGGGCAGAGATGGAGTGGGATGAACTGGGTGTAGCATGGGCAGATTTATTTTGATCAGGTGGCTGCTGTATCGAAAGTACTATAGATCGGCTTGAACTACCATTCCGCACTCTATGTGGGTCTCGTTGTAGGTCAATGCTACGTTGGTACTCATTAGTCATAACATCAGGGGTGAACTTCGGATCTTGCTATAACCGACATAGTAGCCTTGTTCTAATGTCACTGAACTTATGGGACTGGAGGCTGCAGATGAGTATAAGGGCTTTAAACTGATCTTCCGACAAAGACCTCAACCAAAAGCGTTCGCATTCACGGTTGACGATGGCCACATGCGTAAGAAAATCATCGTCTACGTTCATAACCAGATCCAAACATCGATAACAAGTATTACAGTGTCGAGCTGTCGCCAAAGTGTTGGCTTAAAGTCCGAACTGTCTCATCAAATGAACGATCTTGTGGGTTCAAAGGTAGGATCAAATTGCAGTACTTGTCCAGCTCACTTGCACCCAAATTTCAAAGCAGCAGGCGAACCTTCAAAGCACCATCTTGAATGGCGAAATCAAATTTAAATAAATCTTCATAACGCTAGAACCACATATCAAAAGTAACATTGGCATCAGGATCATGATGAAATTAAGCTATGCTATTCGCGATGCCGTCGATGGCACACTAAAATACACAGCAGACAATCATAGCCATGGATTTTCCTGGTGGGAAATGAAACATCAAGGTCAACTGATTAGCCCATGCTCGCAAAAGTGAAATCCAAAATAAGGCATTTATCAAGCGATTTTTGGGGATCTAACATCCCCTACAGTCAGACCCTGCTAACAAAAGGAAAAGTCTTGATAAGACTTGGAGAATACATTCTACAAGTACCAAGAACATATGAAGTGGCTAAGCTAACAAATCCAGCTAATTTAAACAATCATCGCAATGTGTTTGTGTTAGCCAAAAAATGGGGTACTAAATTAATCCATAAACAAATGAAAGTCAAGGATTTCCTGAGTGCGGGATGTAAGCTGAAGGTCAACTCATCATCTCTGGTTCGGAATCGGAAATAAACTACAAAATTAGGAATTTTTCCGAGTGAGTTATGGGGATTAAACAACCACCAGCAGCCGGGAAAAGCTACGGGGGTTTTAAATGTTAGTGCACATTGAAAGTCTATTCTTACATTTATATTCAGAAATTCCGTAATCATTACGTGTCCCATAACTTGTGCATAGTGTAGGATTTAATTTGTCCTACAGATGTAATTCTAAAACGTAAACGCAAATACCGCCGATGACAGATTCAAGAGTAAATCAGAACAATAAACTTGGGTTTAAACTGTATCTGTTTCTAAACAAAAAAGACAAATAAATTAGTACAATAAATAAGGAAATTACAATTATCAAGCAGGATGAGCAAACGTACCGGACAGTGTAGCGTGTCTTTAGGAAATGAATAAAAAACATGAGTCACATCTATATAAAATAAAATGATAACATCCTTCAATCGATAGGTCATTCACAACAAAGAAAGTTTATAGACCGGTCAGACTAGATAACGTGGTGAGCGCTTAACCAATCTGATTGGTTAGTTATGACATAACTACAATTAGTTATAAAAT